AGGGCCCGCTGAGCAATAGTGCCAGTACTGAGCATCCTCAAAGAGCCTCTGGGCACAGCTAACATTAGGGGCCAGACTACAGACAAGGCAGGATGAATGCTGGTGTGAAACACGGACTGCAGATGCCTACACAAGGGGGAGTTGCATGTACGCTGTCCAGTGGTGTGGCTGCATACTGTGGTTCTCTCGGTGGTTCTTCCCTCCTGCCTGTCGTCTAGGACACAGCAGTAAAAACAGGCTTGCAGCGCCTGGCTAGGGCTAGCCCAGGTCAGTAAAAGGGGACATAGATACATCTCAGTCGTTCTTATCTGCCCCTGCTGCATCTCTCTCTCTCACCCAGGACTATGAGCTAGAAACAGAGAAGCTCAGGTCCCTCTTGGACCTGGAGAACGGGAGGAACAGCCACGTGAGCAAGAGGGCCAGGCTCCAGTCTCCTGCCGCCAAAGTGAAGGAAGAGGTAAGCTCGGTGCCAGGCCTTCCAGAGAGGAGGCAGAGAACAGCACGGTGCCTGCACAATGGGTGAAAGCCGGGATGTGCACCCTCCTGGGCCGCAGCTGTGGCGCTAGTCTGCACTTGGCTCCCCTGTGGGCACACAGATCGGCTCCTCAGCCACACAGTGGAAAGGCTTACAGAGGTCAAGGCCTGCTCAGGGCCAGTGGCATGGGGCTGCAACCTAGATCGTGTGACCCTGAATCTGACTCACTCTCTGCCACTCATACAACCTCCTTATCCCTCCCAGAACTTTGTAAAAACTGCGCCCAAGCACTAGCACCTTCCTGCTCAATCTATTGACTGCATGTTGGCTGGCTTCTCCATAGGAAGCAGCTCTGGCGGCCAAGTTCACTGAAGTTAATGCTGTCAACAGACAGAGGCTGCAGAATCTGGAGTTTGCACTCAGTCTCCTGAGACAGGTAAGTTATCTCACAAAGAAACTGACCAGAAATAACTCTCACAGCTGTCTCAGAGGAATAGCCTGGGAAGTGATGGGCAGTTCCGTACTCCCGTTCCTGAGTGGTGACATGAGGATGGTTAACTTACACGTTCAGTACAGCAAACATTTGCTGAATGCCTGAGCACCCACGATGTCCACGATGCCATTGTCACAGCAAGAAACTGAAAGCAAAAGCATGTCTCCAGCAGTGTGGGTGAGACATGAGGGCCTATCCCTCACTGTGGCAAACAGCTACTGCAGGCTGGCAAAGCTGCCCTCTTCAAGGAGAGGCCCTTGGTGCAGATCAGAGCTGGGATGCTGTGTTCTCACACCACCTCCTCCTGCAGTTGTAAAGCAGCAGTAATCCCAGAGGACATATGAACCAGCACCGAGAGTCCCTCAGGCACCAGTAGACGAGCAGTCTGACCTACTCTCAGGTGACTCAGGCCTCCGTAGGACCAGGTATAGACAGGTCTGGCATGTTCTGTAGCGGTGGGTCTGGGCTCTGACCATGCCTGGTCCTCTTTCTCACAGCAGCCAGAAGCCGAAGTGATCCACAAGACCCTGCACGGCAGCGAGCCAGGATCTGGCATGGATGAGACGTGGAAGATGAAGAAGGAACTGGATGAAGAGACGGAGCGGAGGCAGCAGCTGGAAAATGAGGTCAGAAGCGCCCAGGAGGAGATCCGGAGCCTGCAGCATCAGCAGCCACAGGAGTCAGTGGTGAGGAAGGAGGTGTTCAAGAAGGTGCCAGACCCTGCGCTGGAGCAGAGCTTCCAGCGGCTGCAGCAGACCCTGGCTGAGGAGCAGCACAAGAACCAGCTGCTGCAGGAAGAGCTGGAGGCACTGCAGCTGCGGTTGCGGGCACTTGAGCAGGAGGCCAGTGGCGGGGGGCAGGAATATGTGGTCAAGGAGGTCCTGCGCATCGAGCCTGATGGGGCCCAGGCCGATGAGGTCCTGCGGCTGCGGGAGGAGCTGGAGGCGCTGAGGCGGCAGAAGGGCGCCCGTGAGGCAGAGGTGCTGCTCCTGCAGCAGCGTGTGGCCACCCTGGCTGAGGAGAAGAGCCGACCACAGGAGAAGGTCATCGAGAAGGAGGTGGTGAAGCTCCAGAACGACCCCCAGCTCGAGGCAGAGTACCGGCAGCTGCAAGAGGACCGCCAGCGGGAGGGCGCACTCAGGGAGAGGCAGGAGGAGGAGCTGAGCTTCCTGCAGGACAAGCTCAAGAGGCTCGAGAAAGAGCGAGCCATGGCCGAGGGCAAGATCACTGTCAAAGAGGTGCTCAAGGTGGAGAAGGATGTGGCAGCAGAGAGGGAAGTCGGTGAGCTGACCCGCCAGTATGAGGATGAGGCTGCCAAAGCACGTGCAGGTCAGCGCGAGAAGACCGAGCTGCTACGCAAGATATGGGCCTTGGAGGAGGAGAACGCCAAAGTGGTGGTTCAGGAGAAGGTGCGGGAGATTGTACGGCCGGACCCCAAGGCCGAGAGTGAGGTGGCCAACCTCCGCTTAGAACTCGTGGAGCAGGAGCGCAAGTACAGGGGCGCCGAGGAGCAGCTGCAGAGCTACCAGAGCGAGCTGGAGGCACTCAAGCGGCGGGGACCCCAGGTAGAGGTCAAGGAGGTGACCAAGGAGGTCATCAAGTACAAGACGGACCCCGAGATGGAGAAGGAGCTGCAGCGGCTCAGGGAGGAGATCGTGAACAAGACCAGACTCATTGAGCGCTGTGACTTGGAGATCTACCAGCTCAAGCAGGAGATCCAGTCCTTGAAAGACTCCAAACCTCAAGTGCAGACCAAAGAGGTGGTCCAGGAGATCCTGCAGCTCCAGGAAGACCCGCAAACCAAAGAGGAAGTAGAATCGCTGAGGGCCAAGCTGTCAGAAGAACAGAAGAGGCAGGTGGATCTGGAGAGGGAGCGGGCGTCCCAGGAAGAGAAGGTCAGGCAGAAGGAGGAGGAGCTGTCGCAGGTGAAGGAAAGGGTGGTGCAGCAAGAGGTGGTTCAGTACGAGGAGGAGCCAGGCCTGCGTGCTGAGGTGAGCGCCTTCACCCAGAGCATCGACACTGAGCTCCGGCAGATTGACAAGCTGCGCACCGAATTGCGGCGGCTGCAACAGCGCCGTGGGGAGCTCGAGCGGCAGCTGCAGGAGCTGGAGCGCGAGCGGCAGGCACGTAGGGAGGCCGAGCGGGAGGCGCAGCGCCTGCAGCAGAGGCTGGCCGAGCTGGAGCAGGAAGCGGCCAAGGCCCGTGAGATGGTGACCCGCAAGCAGAAGGTGGTGCTGCAGCCAGACCCCCAGCAGGCCCGGGAGCATGCCATGCTCACTGTGCAGCTAGAGGAGGAGCGGCACCGGCGGCAGCTGCTGGAGGGTGAGCTCGAGACTCTGCGGAGGAAGTTGGCCACCCTGGAGAAGGCAGAGGTCAAGGAGAAGGTTGTCCTCTCTGAGAGTGTCCAGGTGGAGAAGGGCGACACAGAGCAGGAAATCCAGAAGCTCCGGAGCAGCCTGGAAGAGGAGAGCCGGAACAAGAGGGAACTGGATGCTGAGGTCAGTCGGCTGGAAGCCAAGCTGTCAGAGCTGGAGTTCTGCAACTCCAAGTCATCCAAGGAGCTTGACTTCCTCAGAGAGGAAAATCACAAGCTACAGCTGGAGCGGCAGAACCTGCAGCTTGAGACTCGAAGGCTGCAGTCGGAGATAGAAATGGCTGTGACAGATGCCCGAGACTTGCGCAGTACGCCTGTGCCGGACTCTGGGAGCAACCTCGACTCCAGGCTGTGGTCCCTCGAGAGAGAACTGGACGACCTCAAGAGGATCTCCAAGGACAAAGATGTTGAGATTGATGAGCTGCAGAAGCGCCTGGGCTCCGTGGCTGTGAAGAGGGAGCAGAGAGAGAACCACCTCCGACGCTCCATCGTCGTCATTGACCCCGACACAGGCCGGGAGCTGTCCCCAGAGGAAGCCCACCGCGCTGGGCTCATCGACTGGAACATGTTCGTGAAACTCAGAAGCCAGGAGTGTGACTGGGAAGAGATCTCTGTGAAAGGTCCCAATGGAGAGTCCTCTGAGATCCACGACAGGAAGTCTGGCAACAAGTTCTCCATTGACGAGGCCCTGAAGGACGGCCGGCTGAGTCCTGCTCAGTATGAGCGGTACGTCAACAAGGAGATGTCCATTCAGGAGCTGGCTGTCTTAGTGTCTGGGAAGAAGTAAGGGCCGCCTTCCTGGAGGCCAGCGGCTGCCTTCCTCCTGCCCGGTGATGTTCCACACGTTGCCTTCTCCCTGGCTTCTAGTCTGTGCACCAACTTGAGACAGGCAACTCTCATTTCAGCTGTCATTCCACCTGCCAGAGTGACTCACTCTGACCCAATGCACTCATGATCCCCAGGCCTTTGCTCCTCCCTTCTTTTACTGTAGATTCCCTGTGATGCCTGGAAAGCAACCAACTGAAAACCACCAGTGTACACGGTCATGGCCAATGGGCCTGCTCCAGGCAGCCCAGCCAGACACTACAGCAGGAAGAACTCCCTCCAGCAGCCTTTGGTTTTGTCGAGGACCAGACCCTGAGAGCTGCCTGCCTGTGCACATGATCTTCCAGCTTTCTGGCTGAGAATTCAGCCTGCTCCCAAGATGCAGCTGGGATCCAGAAAAGGGGCATGGAACGTGGAAGAGCGTGGATGTCAACTGTCGGCCAGACTGTCCCAAGAAAACACAGCATCAGTGACTGAAATGAAAATGTCTGGATAGTGGACCATGTTGCCATTAGCCCTAGTTTCAGTGCCTTACTAGTCTTGCTTATTATCTCACTGGCATAGCTGACAGTTGATTACTCACCAAATGACTTTCTGGTTCTTGGTGTCTCACATAGTATGTAAGAAAATGGCAGGTAATAGGGAACTTTATTTATAGCATGAAAATAAAAACCTGGTGGCTTGACTCTTAGCTCCACAGCATGCAAATATTTTTTTCCTTTTGCCTATTTTCTTGAAGCTTATTCTCCAAACTTCCCTCTTGTGGCTAAAATGGATAGTCTATATATCCCAGCCCCTTAGAAATACAGAGTAAAGGAGGAAAACTGGGTTGGAAACTTTGAAACAATTTATTGAGTTGCTTTATACAAGATTAACAATTTTCACACCACCCCGAACACCAACATGGTGGCCACACAAAAAGCCACAGCCCCTCTCACACCTAAGCAACGGCCGCGCCCACTACGTGCTCAGAGACCTTCGCTGCCCACAAGAAACCAAACCCCTGCAGCCCCCAGGCCCCGAGCCTACTCTGCCCAACCCTCCACTGCAGCCGGGCCTGCAGATCTGCCTTACCATGGCTGTGTCAGTCATTCACTCTTTCATCATCACAAATAAAGCATAAACAAGAAAAAGAAATCTCAAACTCCCCATCAAAGAAACATTTCCCTGAGGCAAGAGGCATCACTAGATTCCTAAAAAGAGGGTTTCCTGCTCCAGCTGCACGCTCAGTGTGACATGGGAGGAGGGAGCACCAGCAGGGAAGGGAGGGGGCTGGGCTGCTACCCGGGGGTCTGGGCAGAGCGCCCACTGCTCAGCCTTCTCTGACGGCCTCTGCTCTGAGCTCAGCGACACAAATCTCTTCTTTGGCTCTTTTGCTACTACCTAAGACTATCCCGTAAACAAACTGGGAATCCAAGTTGCAAAAAACACATAATAAAGGGATCAGGAGTTCATGTAGCCCAATGTGAAACACAGACTGATTCTATGTAAAAAAGGGATCAGAGCAGAGGCCGGGGAGGGCTGAGAGACCAGGCTCCCAGAGGGCAGCAGGCTGCAGATCTGTCGGAACTGAGTCACTGAGCAGCACACAGGCATACATGTGCTGCCGCTGTGGACTCTCCACGTGTCAAGCTACTTAGCTGTGGCAGTCAAGTCAGAGTCATCGTGTGGCACAGAGTTCACAGGACAGGCCAAGGCCTTCCAAATCCTCGTGAAACAGCCACTGGCCGAGCGTGACCCAGGAGTGCTGTCGACACTGTCCCAGCCTGACTCAGATCTGCTCTCCACACTCGTCTGTGTCACTCTAAGAGACAGCCCACTGCCCGGACAGTCCAAGACTTCAAGGTCTGTTTGCATACGGCAGACCCTGGCAGAGGCCTGTTCCTGCAGCTCTGCCTGAGACTGGCTTCTCAGAGTGAGACAAAGTGGAATGTCTGTCGGTGATGTGGAACCCCTTGTATCCTTGGCCTCAGAGAGGCCCTGAATCCACCCACGTAAACTCTGGAAAAACAAAACAAGAGCCCTGCTCAACTGACTTGGGGTTGTGGGCCCAGATGACTTACAAGTCAGGACAGCATTATGATGAGCAGCTGTAAAAAACTCAAAACTGGATGTGTCTTCAATACAGACACATCTTTTAATTAAAAAGGTCTTCGTATCAGATCCACTCAGAGGGCTGAACAGATGTGCACTGTCAAATCCTGCCCCACCACAAAGGCACTGGAATTACGTCTTCCTATAATATGATGTGTAAGAACTGCCCCAGTCCATCCAATGCATTTAATTGTAATGATGAAAACTGAGTCCAAAATAGGTGTCTTTAAAAATCCTATTACAATAGTTGAATATACAAAGGTCATTTCTCTCTAAGAGCTTCATTGTCAAGTTCAGAGGAGGCATTGGCCCCTCACAATGGCCAGGTATTACATGTCCTCAGTATTTCGTAGAGACCAGGTAGGTCTCCCAGCTGTGGCTGATGCCAGAAGGAGTCCCTGACCACTAGGTGCTGGGAGGCACTGGGACCAAACGCCAGGGGTTCAGGTGGATTTAAACCACACCTCTGCGGCCGGTATTGTAAACACGTGCTCCCCAACACCGCCGAGCCTGGGACACGCCCCTGCTCAGAGCTGCCCTCTGACAGCCATCAGGCAATAAAGCTGCAAGGCCCCAAGCACCACGGTCATTAAGTGCTCCCTTGGTTGAAGGCACCTCAGAAGTGCCAAGAAATGCTTCACTTAGGACTCACGCCTGCTCCTGAAGAAAACCAATTGGCAGAAAGTACAGTGGCTCCATCACCGCAGACCTACACAGTTGGCTTCCACGCAGCCCCGAGTTAGTCAGGCCTTTCCTCAGAAGCAGTCATAATTTTCGTGGTACTCCAGGCCCCTTCCCATGAAGCTGAGAAGTATCTGGAAAATAAGAGAAACAGAACAGAGTCAGAATGGGAGCCCCCAATTCCCTCATGGCAGCAGTAATAAAGCTCAGAAGGATCATCTCCACCACCAAACATCCATGAGTGCAGAACATTCAAAGGTTCAAGTAAGGCAGAAAACTACATGTGCATACCACTTGCAGCAGCCCGCGACATGCATGGACACAGGTGCTGTGCAGGCGGGTAGCCCACGCACGTGGCTCAGAGTGGTGATCGCCACACAGCCCATGCCACTTACAAGGCTGTGGCTGCCTGTGCTTTGCCAGGGGAAGGCCTGATGACCGCTCAAGATAACAATAACCATTCCTCTATCCTCTTCCTCTTGGTTGCAACAGGAACAAATTCAAAGGCACTGGCATTTTGCGACCACACGGGGAAGAGATAAGCCATGGAGACACAAGTCACAGCTGACATGCTGAAATGCAAGCAGCTGGGCCCTTGTGGCCCTCCCATGCCCCTACAACCTGCAGTCTAGCTGAGAGGGAGAAGGTCCACTTGAACTGAGCAGCTCTTTCAGCAGAGTTGCCTTCCCATTAATCTTTTACTATCCCCAAGGAGAGAAAAACGGCATAAAAATGTCTCTTTTTTGCTTCAGCTGAAAATCCCACAGATCAGTCTGTTGTCAGTGGCTTTTCTATTCCCGGCACAAACAGAGGCAGGTAATATCTCAGAGCTTCCACTCTCGCCTCATTCTCCCAACTCCAACGGCAGCTCCAGACAGGAGAAGCCACCACAGCTCACTGCTCTCCAGAACAAATGGCTGACTGTGGACAAAGGTGGGGTCCCTCAAAGACACACTGCCATGGTGGAGGTTTGTAAGTCCATCATCAACCCCAGCAGGCTCCTCACTGCTAAAGCTATACCTACTTCAGCCTCAGGAACTACAGTGAATCAGAAGGCCAACTGGGACACAGCCCCCAAGTCATGTTTGGAGCAGAGCTGGGATAGTGAAAGAACACTTGATGCAACCAAGAATCAAGAATCCAGGACAAGGCAAACCCACTTGTATAGAGGCAGGGTGTCCACATGCTGTTCCCCTTACCTCCACATACCCTCCAGTCAAGCCAGAGTAGCTGCCACCTCAGTCTTGGGCTTCCAAGCATCTACTTCCATTAGTTTACTCATCTAGACAGACTTACACTATTCTCTGGGATCCTTGCTGCCACCGGAAGTCAGCTGTCCTTCCAAAAAGCTCTCTCTCTGAGGGGAAAGTAACTTGAGAGAACCTCTTCCAACACCAACAAAGCCCAGCAAACCTGATGTGCCAGCAAGCCCTCGAGGAGATGTAAGGAAGGAAAGGGGGAACTAAGTGGAGAGTGCCTCTGCCTTGCACTCAGGCCCCACAGCCTTCTCCGTGATCATCCAGGCAAGAGCTGATTAGGCAACAGTTCTGAGCACGCACCAAGGGAAATCTCACAGTGGTAGAACCCCATGTCATTCTGAGCACCCACAGAGCCAGAGCTTCAAAGGACACACTGAGACACCAACACAGTTAACAGAAGGCAACAACACTAAAATCTTCAGCAGATGAGCAGCTACAGGTGGAGTAGAGAAAAGCAGAGGGTGCATGTGGCACACTGCCCAGCTGGCGGTTACCTGGCAGAGTCTGCGGGATATGGGTGGACACGGCAGCGTGTGGGAGAGGCGCTGCGTGGGGCGGGCTGGGGTGCAAGCCAGCCAGAAGACCTGAGAAGACGGGAGGGAGAAAAGAACAAGACACACACATTGAAGACGGGACAGAAAAGCTGCTCTGGCAGTCAGGAGCCACAGATGACCTGTGGGATGTGTCTAGGCTCCACACCCGAGGGGAGGGGTCTCAGCACAGTTCCCAGAAAGGTTCCCTTATCACACACCAGGCACATATAGAGCAACCATAGTATACAACACCACAGGGACCTGAGGACACAGCCTAGAGGTTCCCCAGGTGAGAGAGAGCAGAGATACTTACTGGGACTGAGGCCATGATGAAATGTGCCCGGGGCAGGGCCTGTGACAATGGCATCCTTGGAGACCCCTGCTCTGGCAGAAGAGTCAGCGCTGAAGGATAGCACGTGGAGAGGAAATGGGACAGGGGCTATAATTCCCAGTGAGTTAGAGTTCATGGTCCCAGGCAGCTTCGGGTTGCTGGACTTGTAGGATGAAGACAGCAGGTTTAGGGGAGAGGAGCTGGTCAGCAGCACAGCCCCACTCGTTCCTTTCTGGGGAAGAAACATCACAGAGTCAGAACTCTCATCACATTCACAGGAAGCTGCCAAAGGCAACCTGAGGTCACCCAGGATGGGGACATGTGCATGGCCAAGGTCTGCACCAGCATCCTCCTCCTCCTCTGTAGCCCAGGGAGGATGGTCTCTACAGAGCGACAAGCAGTGGCTTCCAGGGTCCACACTCTACTTTTCATATGCCTTTGTGAAGAAATGGAAAATGCACACATCAATATCCAAAGTCCATATACATAGGTACACGCGCGTGTGTGTGTGTGTGCGCACTTACAGCCATAAAACATACACACAAGGACAGGACCTTCAAAAGTTCATGAGCAACATGTACGAGAAAACTATGCAGGGACTTAAAATTTAAACACATTTAAATCCCATTTTCCACCAATGTTGGAAGTACCACCTTACAGTATTAATTGTGTATGTATTGATCTTTGTATTTAATAAACAGTAAAAAAAATGTGGTGGTAAGGAAGTGATGTCTCTTTAAACAGACCTTTCTGCAGTGTTTCCACAACCACAGCTGAGGGTGTACTAGGAGCAGCTCATCGTTCTCGTTTGCCCAACCTGTGTCCAAATGTCTTGGAATGATTCAAGCCTCAGGACTCCTCACTGCTGGCCTGAAGCAGACCACCTTTTGTTCCTGCCTTGCAAAGCTCTGTAAGAGCTGCTCAGAAGACCTGCCACTGACAATACCTCCACTCCCTTATCCGGAAAAATGGGCAGGTCAGAGGCCGCAAAGGCAAATTCTGTGACTCATGGTGCACCCAAAGGGCCCAGCTTCCCTGAAGGTCCAGGGCTGACCAGTCCTGCCACTCACTGGCACCCCTACACAGAAATTCACAACACCTTGGGCTTTTTGTCACCAGGAAAGGGAAGCCCTGAGCTCACCATTCCCACCTGGCCTTCGGTTTGGGACTGCCTTCTCCACCCAGGGCAAGTGGGCAGAGCTGGGCTGCCAGGATACTCACTGGCAAGGAGGTAGACGACGCCACACTACTAACCACAGCTGGCTTCAGGGAGGAGGTCAGTAACTTCGCCACTCCCTGGGTCCCACCTCCAGCATCTCCGTTTGGACCACCAGGAGGAGCCACCAGGGTCAGTTTCTGAGAAACAGGTGGTTTCTTCACTGTAGAGCTTGACATGGGCCGGCTGGCAGGCTGTCCTGTGGAGGGAGGCTGTGTGCCAGGCAGCAGGGTCCTGGGAGGAGAACTTTGCACTGGGGCTCCTCCAGAGGAAGAGCTTCCAGAAGAAACCCCATGCTTGGAGACAGAGCCTGCAAAGGGGCTATTCTTGTATACTGGCCCTGCAGGGCTGGCTGCATGCTGCTTGGCTGAATGGCTCAGGGCAGTGGAGGTGGCTGGGGTCTTCTGAGAGCTGCTACCAGTAGGTGGTGTGCCTCCCGAGGAGGATGGCGTAGGGGAATGGAAGCCCTGACCTTTGGCCGCTGTCTTTACCAGCTGCAGGAAGGAACGATGACACTGCGGAGAGGAGGCCTTTGGGCCTTGGAGCTTATTTACAAATGGGACTGGGGTGAAGTTTTTCTGTTGCTGGGTACCTGCATGAAAGACTTTGACTTGGGGGCCAGGCATGGCCGCTGTCTGGGGTCCGTGCGACGTCCGTGGCAAGCTGTGGTGCTTTGCTTTGGACTGGTGAGCTTCTGGCACGCCCTTGCTGAGAGGAGCCTGGCAGGATAGCTCTTTGTAGCCAGAACTCTCGGTTTTTTTCTCCTGAGAGGACTGCCCGAGTGCCAGAGCCTGTTCAGCCAGAAAATTGAGGGGTGACTGCAGAGAGTTAGTGGACTGGGGGCCAGAAGGATTGGGCTTTGCAAAGTTCCTTTTCTCCTCTGTGCATGAAACACTTCCAGCTTTTTCTACAGGTGCTTTGGAGGGTACAGGTAGTGTAAATTCAGAGCTCCCTGCTGCTCTATTCAACACAGCCAGCTCCTTGGACACAGATTCCACTGTGGAGGCTGGATTACGGCCCACATCTTCATCCAGTGAGTTGTCCAAGCTGACAGGAGCAGGGTTAACAAGGCTGCCAGATAGCTGAGACGGGAGCTCTCTGCTTGTGGCCCCAAGGCTTAGGCCCCCGCCTTGGTGTTCTGAGGGCAAAGCTATGGAGCTGCCCATCTGTCCAGATGGAACAGAAACTTTTTTATCAGGCTTAGCAGAGAAGTCCTAGAAGAAAAAAGAAACAATAATGTTGAGAAGTTTCTAAAGCTGCCAACATTCATCTGTTGTCAGGATTAACTGAGATGCCAACAACTGGGCAGTCCTGTGTCACCACAAGTAAGTATGGCAGACAGCAGGAGCCTGCCTGTCTTTTCTTTCAGGTATTCTTTATTTTCATGAATTTGAGAGGCAGAACGATAGAGGGAGAGACAAAGGCAAATCTTCCATCCACTGTTTCACTTCCTAAATGCCCTCCACAGCAAGAATTCAAAACTCCATCTAGGTCTCCCACATGGCAGTAGGTGCCCAACATCAGAGCCATCACTACCTGCCTCCCAACATGCTTGAAAAGGAAGCTGGGTTGGAAATGGAGCAAAAGGAACTCAAACTGACACTCCAATATGGGATGTTACTGTCACAAGAGTGGTGGCTTCATCCTCTACTACAATGCCTGCCCCTGCCTTGTGTTTAAATGCTGCAGCTTTAGCACCCTCTGGTGCAAGTCCAGTTGACCAGGCCAGATTCATCCCCAGCAAGAGGGGACACACACACACACACACACACACACACGGGGACTTTTCTCCTGTGTTCTTCCAAGATAGTATGATTCATGCAAACACAAACCCTAGTTATTGGCAGTCACACAATCTTAGAGCATGCCTACCCATAATCAGGTCTAGGCATAGCACAAGAATGACCTACAATTGGTGTTCTTTTTATCCTTGATTTTCCCAGCACTCATCTCCTCAGTTTGGGTTCCAACAGACAGGGTCCATCTTGGAGCCAGTGCTATGATATAGAGGACTAACCTTCCACCTGCTGGCATCCCAGAAGGGTGCCAGTTTGAGTTCACTTCTAATCCCGTGCCCTGCTAATGCTCTTGGGAAAGCAGTGGAAGATAGTTCAAGTACTTGGGCTCAAGAAGCTCGTGGCTTCGGACCAGCCCAGCTCTAGCTGTTGTGGCCACTTGAGAAATGAACCAGCAGATAGGAAAACTCTACCCCTCACTCTGTGTTCTCTACCTTTAAAATACACAAATAAATCCTACAAAAAAAAGGGGGGCACCCTAACGCAGTGTCTTACACATCACAGGTGTTCAAACCTAGGAGGGATTTGCACACACTCTCACAGGTGATTTCAATATGGTGAAGGGCACTGGTAACAGCATCAGTCTCTTACACTCATTGTACTTCCTCCATTTTTGCCAGCAAGGTCAATAAAGTTTTTTCTTTCCTTTCTTTTATTCAAGGCTGCACCACTGGCTAGGAGCCATCTCCTCCTCGGAAGACCACCCCCACCTCCACATCTGCACAGATGTGTCCCAACCTAACAATGAAGGGGCTTGCCACTCCCTAGAGGACACTTACCAAGTCCTCCCGTAACCCAAAACAGTCCCAGCACTGTGCCAAGCGGGGGCAGTTCTGTACAAGTGCCCCTCTCAGGCCTCTGCCCAGGGGTAATTTCAAGAGTATCATCTGGAACCGCTGCTCCCAGACCCACAAAGCTGAGCAAGCTGCCACGGTCACTGCAGAATTTTCCAGAACTTAGGTGCAGAGAGATGAAGACAGCTGGTACATGTCCTGTGCAGGTTGACTCACCTTCACCTTGACTTTCGAAGGGGCCATTACTTTCTTCTTGGCCCTGTCCGAAGGAATGGACACAGAGAAGATTTAGCAGATACCCAGAGAAGGTGATACAATGACAGCAACCCTGAAGAGCCAAGACAGAGATACTCACAGGATTGAAGTCAGGTGTCCGTGGCCTCGTCGGCTCTCCTTAAACAGAGTCCTGAAAGATAAAGAACACTGGGCATTTGCATACGGCTCTACCTAGACACCTGGGTACCCAGTGGCTGCTCCTTGTTAAGTGTCAATTGACACATGAACTGAATTTCTGCTAAGAAGGAAAAACCCAGAAGTCTGGGCTTACCATAAAAAGTTATGGCTCTGAGACTTCGCATGGTGAGACTGCTCACAAAGGCAGCAGCAGTTTCCTTACTGCCTAGTACCGTCCCTCCTAAGAACTACAAATGCAGTGATACACATGTGTTTTTCCAGAAAAACTAAAGTTTTCTTTATAAAATCCAAACTATATGGAGAGTAAAGCAATACCAAAGGTTCTGTAATCTGTCCAAACCACAGTTCAATCAGGCCTAGTCAGCTGGCTGAGCCTTCCTATCCTGCAGTATACACTCCACTCATGGGAAGTGCCATCAACAAAAGGAGCCCAAGATGCAAACTTAGCACCAATCAGCACCCAGCCCTGCTACTCACACACGAGAAAGATTAAGATGAATCCACCTTGTAGGCCATAACAGAAAACGCACACTGACAGGAAGTCAGCTCTGAACTGAAGAGGGACAAAGAATAACAAAGACAAAATCCCACCTGTGATCACCCTTCAAAGCTCCTGATGTCCCTCGTCACCCAGATAAGGCCAGCACTGGGTTGACTAGACAATAACTCCCCGAGGACACACCCTACTCTCCTGGCACAAAAGCCATGCTCATCCATTTCTCTATTTGCACGTCAGCCCTACCTGGTCACAATTCTCACCTGGCCTGCATCCAGCCTTTGGGCCAGAGTGGCTTCACCTCAGCATCGAGAAAGGCCTTCACACAGTCCTCCCATGCCTGGGCCTTGGTCCTGTCCAGCTCGTGGCTCTCCAGCTTCATCTTCACTACTTGGCAAAGCAGTTCCCTGAGAACACGGCAAAAATCAGTCTTCCAATCCACCTCCAGATGCTACTCTGGGATTTCAATAATGTGCATTCAGCAGCCCAAATGAAAACAAAGGACCCTGACTTTCCTCAGACTCTAGCCCCACACACCTGATTCCTGAACACACCTGATTTCATCATTCCACTGGAATTTCTTCCGGGGTCCCATTATCCTTCTGCCCCCCTTCTCTTCATCATCATCTTCATCGGAACAAATCCGTTCTCTCTGTTCTTTGTCCTTTTCCTCTTCCAACATCCTGCAAGGGCAAACAGAATTAAACAGGAGCCTAAGGACTTCTTGCCATCACCTCCTCCTCCCCTGAAATAACTGGGACTTGCCAGACTAAAGGGGGAAATGCTGAAAAGAGCCAAGGGTTTCACCTGAAAATGGAAGTGAACACTGGGAGGTGTCGAGAAGAGGGGACACAGGGCGACAGTGTGCACGGATGCAAAGGGAGACACTCACTTCGCGACCTTTGCTTGCGTGTGCGCCTGGCATTCATCCTGGTACTTGGCCATCTGTTCTGGCATTGCTCGGCCGATAGCTTCCTTGAGCTTCTGTAGAGGTTCCTTCAGACGTCCTCCCTGCAGACAGGGGACACATGCATACTTCTGACACACAGGGCACTGTGGATGGTCAGTGCAGATATGCTACCCACGAAGGAGACTCGGCCACCCCAGCGGCACTCCACAGACACCCATGTACCTGTTCGTAGAGGTGAAGTTTCCGAGCACGCTTAACTAGAGCGTCCTTACTGCAGGGGAGGAATGAGGCGAGATAGGCATACACCCCAGAGCGGACCTGGCTACTCAGCTCGCGGGTCTGCACCTCTATGCTAAAAAAACAGAACAGAGCGACCATTGGCCTGCAGTTTCCGGCTGCCTCTCTCTTCACAAGCTCACACACCAGAAATGGAAAGGTAGGAGCTGAAGCCCCTGAAGCTTTATCAGTGGGCCACACATTCTAATTGGGCAGCCACAGCAATAGGACCTGGCTAGGTAAAGCAAGTCAAGGCTCTTATGCCAGGGACAGGACCAAGTCAGAGAGATCAGAACAGCCCAAGAAAACATGCTTTAAAGTGCCAAATTTCATCAACACAGCAAGCACAAAAATATTCAAAGTGGAAAGTAATCAGTAGTTTGGGTTAAGAGGAAACACTTTCTGAAAGTGTTTCTCTCAGTTCTCACTGTCCATAGTTACAAGGTCAGGGAAATCCGTATCACTTCCTATCCACTCCTCTCTCCTGCCCCTGTTTCCCCATCTAGATAAGCAGAACATTCCTTTTCAATGCCTGAGTTCACCACATTTGGCTTGGTCAGGAAGCGTCCACGTTGGCAAACCTCTTGTCCACAATGGCCTCTGGGTGCTCTTTGTAGCTCACGTTTCCTGACCCAAGTGGTCATCCAGATGCTGGCCAGGGAAGGTCATCTGTTGGACATGCTACAACATTCCCGAGTCTCAACAACCCTTCTTACACTCACATGATCCTCAGGGCTGAGCAACCAGCTCCCCTTGTTATGTCCAGTAGTCCCTGCTACTGGAGGCTAGACACAGGAACTCAGCTTAGACTTTTTACAGCAGATTTTTGCTTCTTAATCCAATGCATACTATGCAAGGCCCAAGATTTGGAAGAAAATTTACAGGACAATGTGCCCAGGCACTGGGAGAAGTGAGACTAAGAGGATTATGGTCCCTAACAGAGCAGGCCCAAGCCCACCTCGGTGTCACTCATTCTTCTAGCTTCTCAGACATGGAAGCCATCACTTGGCTCTCTCCTTGTCTCATAGTTGCCACAAAGTCCTCTTCCAACAAGCCCTGACTGTGAAATAAAGGGTTCTAATAAGACTGCTATCTGACACTGTAAAAGTTGAACACAAATACCGAGTGTGTCCATTTAATACAAAAGCAACAACAAGAGAATTATACAGCCCAGATCTTCTTTTATTTTATTAGTGGCCTGTGTGGATGGATTTCAGTGGGACTCCCTGACCCTGGGCCTGCTCAGCCCAGGCCTGGTTACAGCAGGTACAAATAAACAAAAGATACTCACTCCAGCAGGATGCCATTAATATCCTGGGTGAAGAACTTCTGTCTGCTCTCTCCCTCAGCAGCTCTGGCAGCCTGGTTCATAGCAGACAGAACAACCGTTAATGTTTGCTCCCCACAGATTCATACTTACCACAGGTACAAAAGTTACACTCCAAGACTATCACCTTCTCAACTCTCCCATAGTTGCAAGCTCACGTTCACCTGTGATCAACTCTTTTTCCAAATGCTGCTACAGCATCTGTATACTGTTTGTTCTTCCCAGGACTTAAAGTCAGGTAAGAGAAAATTACCCAGGCCTGAAGAAATTAAGATACATTTGGTCAGAGGCCAGTTTAGCCAGCTCTCTACTCCTCATGCCCATTCTCCATTATAAAACAACTCTGGAAGATTATATTTCCAAGTATCTACAGCTGAAAAGCAATTTAAAGAACCTCACAACCCTCTCATTCATCAGAGTAAGAGAGTAATGTGTAGCCTCAGCATTTAAGGCATTGTAATTCTTTGAAAACTCATAGTCTGCTTACAGTTTATCACAAACATTCCATCGGCTGGCCCACCAGGATGACTAACAGATGATAGAATTTGACCTCTCAGGCTTCTGCTTTCCAATGAGAACCCATTTCATAACCTGAAGAACAAGCTTGGAGGCTCCACAGCAACCACAGCAGGCTCCAAGACAACAAGAGCAGAGATCTAAAAGTCAGACCTAGGACTTCTCAGATTTGGCTGCACATGAGCGCTCCCCCACTCCAGACCAATTCTTCTATAAGCTCTAGGAACTCTAAAGGGCAGAGCGGTTAGAAAACCTCTGGTCTGAATATAGGAGCTGCTGGCCTGAAAGCCTTTGGTGAAACAAAATTTGTGAAAACCAGACTTGATTCATAGCAATGGGCAACGAGGTGACAGGAGACAGAAATCCTGACCCACTCCTCCATGCACACACAGCTCACCCCAGCCCCTCCTTCCTCTCATCACATCTCCCAGTCCTTCCTTCTGTCTCGACCACCAGTAGCTCCTTTACTGGAGGACACCCAGGGTTCTCTCTGGAACTCACTTCTTCCAGTAACTTTTTTCCCGACAGGCTTCAAAGTAATGCACGTTTATGCAGCGCCCTCAACTCCAAAGCTGGGCCTAATCCTTTCCCAGTGACCTCCAAGTCATTTCCAATTACTTCTGTTATTACCTGCCCCTTGAAAAGCAAACTCAACTGCCCCAGAACCAGGCCAACCACATTCTGCATGGCTTCTTCAGCTCTCCCACTTCTAATAACCACACTCCCAACTTCTTCACAAATCTGCCCATTCCTATCCTTAGAACTTTTCAATGGCTCGTTCCCAGCCTAGAAGCAAACTCACACAGCCATCCAGGATCTGGGCCTGGCCATCCACTCAGGTTCCAACTCCTATCTCATTCTGGGATAACCCACCATTTAACTACTCTCAGCCTCACCTCTGAGCTCTACACTATCTTCCCCACTTGGCCAGCCAAGCTGGTTCTCATACCCTCTTCCTGTAAAGTATGTCTGACTTCCTTAAGTCTGTGTGTCGAGCTATCTGATCAAACATCATCGAATTTATTTCACACTGTTCCGCCCTATGGTCTGGTCCGTTACTCAAACATCTATCGATCAGATCATTTTCTAAGACGTTCATGGAAGAACTGAATCTTAGTCATCAACATGCCTTCCACAACTGCCTATCACAGCACACGTACCTAATAAACGTCAGCCGACTTAACAAAGAGATGAACAAAGCTAGAGACATTAACTATAAGAACCACCACCGAGTGGCAAAGCTTCATACCAATCAAAAAGAACCTTGAGACAATACACAAACCTCAACCCTCTGAAGGTCACTGGTTAGAGGACAATCCAAAGGCCTGAGACAAAGGGAGTGAAATGGGTGACAGGAGAGAGAAAGGGCACCACTCTGCACCATCCATGTGCAGTTCTCTTAGCCTTTCAGAAGCATTTGGAACGCTGTCCTGGTAATTACCGGATCTAAGAGAGCAGTTGGAGAGAAAATAAAACTGTGGCTTTATTCTTTTGTTTAGGCTCAAAGTGGTAGTTACAGGATTCTAGCCTCACACATGAATTCAATCTCATTGTGTGAATCTATGGTGCAAATGCCCCACAATTTATCAGACATCAGCCACTGAACTTTTGAATCAAACTGCATTTTTAGATACTGGTCGTTTCTCTAACACTTCAGACGCGTCCAGCCTTACAAACTTCAAAACCATTTTCTGAAGGCATTTGAGCTGCACAGACTATATTCTCTGAAGGTTTGATTTTAGAAAGATAATTAGTCAACGGCTGCACTTTAAAAATTTTTAAGATTTATTTATTTTTATTGGAAAGGCACATATACAGAGAGGAGGAGAGACAGAGAGGAAGATCTTCTGTCTGATTGTTCACTTCCCAAGCTGAGCCAATCCAAAGCCAGGAGCCAAGAGCTCTTGCGGGTCTCCCACACAGGTGCAGGGTCCCAAAGATTTGAGTTGTCCTCAACTGCTTTCCCAGGCCACAAGCAGGAAGCAGGTCCGCCAGGATTAGAACTGGCGACCATATGGGATCCCAGCATGTGCAAGGCGAGGACTTTTAACCACTATGCTATCGTGCCGGGCCCAAAGGCTGCACTTTTAAGTAAACCTAATTAAAAGAGCAATTGCATATGTATCTGATAAGTCTTCCAGAAATAAGTCCTTCACCCTAAGAAGAGACATTCTTGCTCCAGGAGTTGTATAAATTAAATCAATCACAAATTAACTGGGAAATGAAGTCAAACACCTTGATCGTGCTGACTTCACAAGAGTTCCAACAGCCTTAGTAAGCCATTTCATTTCATTTATTACAAGAAAATTGTGTGGCCTTTCTGCACCAGCTCAAAATTGTATATACAATACCTGTTTTGGCTGACTAGTAAAAGATCTGGCATGATCTCTTAACTTTTACAATGATCTGTCAACTGGTTTTTGTTTACCTTATTCTTTTAATGGCTTTACCTCTCCCTGGCTTTCTGGTGACACTGGGTTAGTTCTAACTCCACAGAAGGGTCCACCAGAGGATGGGGGACATGGGTTTTCTGTTTCTTTATTAGTCTTAGTACTGTTACCATTTTATATTGGATGGGAGAGGACCAAAATAATTCTGGGTCACCTCTATGGATGGGCAGGTGACATCAAGAGACTGTAATTTGAAAGGATCTCAAGCCTGACATTCTCGGCAGCTATATGCTCTAACCACGAAGACTTTCAAAGACGTAGTCAATGCATATTACAAAGAAACAGAATAGGGCCATCAAGTCATCAGATGCCCTGGGGTCCATGCACAAGAAATGAAAACAGACTAAATATGAAAAGAAATCCATAACACAGCCTGGGCATTCACTAAGACATCCCTCTTGCAGTATCTCTTTAGCACACCGAGTTTCCCAAGATTTTTTAAGGTTTCAAATACCACACTTTGTTCAAAGTCTGACTTTTGCTTCCCCACAGAGCATTCTTCTCTAAGGAATCCACACATACTGCACTAGAAGCTGATGTGTATCTTGGTAGACAGTACAACAGGTCCACATTTTCCTCCTGCAGTGAAAGATTCCCCAGTCTCTGCCAGAGGGATGTCCTCCGGCTCCTGCCCCTACACCCGGGTACAGCTGTTCTTGTGACTCGATCTAGCCAAGAGTGAGAAGGAGGCAATGTGACACACGTAGCCTCCTAGGCTGCATCTCAAAGGCCCTGTGGCTTGCACCTGAATCACCAGGAGCTGAAGAAGTCCAGGATGAGAAACCTAAGCACAGAGAAGCCTGGCCAGCTTGCCAGCTGGATACAGCCACGGGAGTGTGCTGAGGCAGACTCCAAACCAGAAATACCCAACTAGCCCACAACCAGAAGGGAGACATTAAGTCTTACTCATTTAATGGCAGACTTGTGGCATTAAGCCGAAAGTTCCAGAGTGATGTTCAGGATAGCAATACAAAAGGACACATTTCTACTCATATAGGGGTTCCAAGCACCCCCAATGTTAGGCTCTAGGCAATAAGGAGCTCTTGGATCCTCTGGAGGGGAAATACAGGGTTTTTAAAAATGTCTTCTCTTGGGCCTGGTGTGATAGCGTAGCGGCTAAAGTCCTTGCCTTGAACATACCCAGATCCCATGTGGGTGCTGGTTCTAATCCCAGCAACCCTGCTTCCCATCCAGCTCCCCTCCCTGCTTGTGGACTGGGAAAGCAGTTGAGGATGGCCCAAAGCCTTGGGACCCTACACCCGTGTGAGAAACCCAGAAGTAGCTCCGGGCTCCTGGCTTTGGATTGGCTCAGCTCCAGCTCTTGCAGTCACTTGGTGAGTGAACCATCAGATAAAAGATCATTCTATCTCTTTTTCTCTTTGTGTAAATCTCCCTTTCCAATAAAGATAAATAAACCTTAAAAAAAATATGTGTTCTCTTTAACACAACCGTTAAAAGTGATGAGGACTTTAAAATAATATTTATTAAGTGAAAATAGCAGGAAACAATTACTCACAAATATAAGTACAATATCATGAAAACATACATGAAGGCTGGACAGGCACAGGAGAACAGAAATCATTTTTGACTGGTGCGATGTAGACAACTTCTAGATGCCTTCCATTCCATTTTCCAGTTTTTCAGTGCTGGTGCAGAAGTATCAACCACACCCTTGAACACTGTGTTTTCAAGCTGGAACCCGCACTTCCTCTGATTACCAATTTCCCCCAGGACACAGGCCCACCTTGTGATGGGATCCTGGACCCCTCTCTGACAATTCCAAATGTAAGCCAGAGGTAGACAGTTGGCCAAACAAGGAATCTTTCCTGTGAGGCTGGACCACAGTCCAACATGTATCCATCTGATGTCACTTAATTCCCACCTTTCCCAACAGAGTAATGAGCTTAAGTTATCAGACCAGAACACAACCTGTAGTGGGAACTGAACACATCCAGGAGTCCTGCCAGAGACCCAACTTAACTAACAAACTACAGAAAATCTGTAAGACAAAGTGATTACAAATTAGAAGGCTGAACTGAATAGTCAGCTTTTACATCAATCCTGACAGCAAATGCAGGACAACAGGCTCAAACAAGCCAAGTTTCAACTTGCCTCTGCCCATCCCCATGCATATTAAACAGGCTGTCCCAGCCACAGAAGTCATTACGTTCAAACAGAATCCATCACTACATACAGCTGGCAAGGATGAGCTGGCTCTAAACAGATCCTTTATTTGCCTCAAATGTTCCCTTCAAATATTTTTTAGAAGTGGGAAAATCACCTGTAGCGGTGGTTGCTGTTTTACCTTGCTCTAACATGAGAGATGTTGCAGGTAACAGGAATTCTGAAATGCCTGAGTTACTGATCCAAAACTCACAGCTAAAGTGTAAATGTCACTACAACTGCACTACTAGTCATCATAAGTACAGTTAACCAAATCAAGTGTCACCGTCAAAGAATAATCCATCACTGAACAGGAAGCTTCTGGTGTCCTTGAAGGAGCAGCAGCAGTGGTCGCTATCCTGGAAAGTCCTGCCATCCTTTTTAACAACATGGACAGCATATGAAGTTAAGCTCCTTCTGACGGACCACAATCAGGCACTCTTACAACCATTATCTAACACTGATGACATGCAACCAAAACCTATGGCAAAATTCCATGGTCACAAAGCATATACTCTAGCAGCAATCTTTCACAAATCTTCAAATCCTCCCAAACACCACAAAGGTCGATCTGACTCAGGTGTCTGCTGCCAACATCAGTGTCAGCTTGACTTATAAACGAAAGAACTATGTAGGAGGAAATACTGACAGGAAACTGGAAGACAGTAAAATCTCCTTAAAGAAAGTAGTTTCTAGTCATTAAAGTATCAAGAAATGTCTAAAAACAATGCCTGATGGGCAAAGCTTACATTACATCCTTACTCAAGACAAGAGAGGAGCTTGGAAAAAGCTTGCACCTGAACTGCCAACTCACTAAGGGTTTCTCTGGGCATCCAGCTTCTCAATGTCTAAAACAACGTCCAGGAAAGCCCGGCCACACCATGTCACCATACCTGAGCCAGCTCCTTAACGCGCTTCTCCAGGGGTGTTGGCAGGCCTTCGGGGAGGGACGAGGGCTGCCTGAATTCCTGGTCCAATCCCACCCCAAGGGAATCACTTCCATCATCCATATCACGGAAGGGGCTTCCTTCTGGAGACTCACTGAGCAGTTGCTCCAAGTCCAAATCAGTCAGCGAGTCCATGGCAGTGGCCGCCTGAAGCAAGTCGTTGTCAGAGGTTGAGCCAAAGAGTGAAAGTAAGGGGTCAGAGGCACCCTCCAGTTCCCGAGAGCCCTGGGCTTCCACGGAAGAGGCCACTGCAGGCCTGTGCTCCTCCTCCCTCTTCTTCTGAGCCTCTTTCTCCTTCTGAAATTTCTTTAGCATCTCTTTAACACTCAAAGCCCCAGAGTATTTCTTTTTCTTCTTCTCCTTACTGGCATTGAGGGCTGTGAAGCTGCAAGTAAGAAGGAAGAAGCCAGTCACACAGGCTGCAGGACCCCTCCCCGCAAGGGAACTCAGGAGGCCTTTGCCCCTGCTCCCAGGGCGACAGGCTCCAGGAGCACCTCAGTCACAGTCCACCCTGTTTTATTCCTCCCTCCTCTTGGCATATGGAGCTCGTTCTGGCTGAGACCAAAGCTTAAGAGTTAATACAGGTTAGCAACATAATCTAAATATCCGATGGGTTTTTAACAATCACTGCCAGGCTGAAATAAAAGAATGCAAAAAAGGGAAGGGGCAAGAAAAGTATTTAAAGGCAGAAAGCAGGAGCAGCAGAGAACAGCAGCAACTTGAAGGCAGCTGGGGTGAGACTAAGTGAAGAGAAGGAAGCAGGACCATAGAAGACGAGGGGAACAGCTGACAGAACAACTAGGGCACAGAGGAGTGCTCAAGAGAACAGCAACACCAGCAATCACACAGTGACAGAAACAGCTGCCAACACTGACAGTGGAACAGAGAAGCTCTGGCTGTCTGACACACAGAGATGTGAGCGTCTTACTGTGCCCAGCAAGGCACTGTGGGAGGCGTGGGGAGGACGGGAGGCCAGGCCCTGCTGCCTCTTCTAAAGCTGTGGGGAGGAGGGTGAGTCAGCTCCCAGGTGTCCTGCCCTAACAGGTCAGACTGCAACCTAGCAAAGAAGCTGCTGCCTCTCACCCGGCTTTGGAAAACTTGGACTTTTTCGATTTCTTCTCCTTGTCATAAGAGTCATCTTTTTTCTTCTTCTTTATCTTCTCACCACCTTCCTTCAACTTCCGCTTCTGAGAATTAAAGACAAGGCACAGTTACACAGCTCCCTAACTGAGGGAGCAGGTGCACTACACAGCACTGGCCTTGCTCCGCCCAGGTCATACTCTGAGACCTGTCTTATCTGCTTTGTGAGCAGAAGCTCACAGATCGGTCCCTGGACCACAATCCCACAGCATTCCCACTGACAGTACCTCCTGGAAACGCCCAGAGCCTTGTGAAGCCTGAAAGCTTTCTACTTCTCTCATTTTAAGCACACAAGCACTGGAAGGCATTTTAAAATATGTTTATCTTTGGGTGGGTGTAGCACCCACAAGTTAGGCTGCCACTTAAGACACTGACATCCTACTTCAGACTGCCAGTCCAAGTCCCAACTTCTCCACTTCTGATCCAGTTTCCTACTAACACATATCTGGAGGCAGCAAATCATGGCTCATGTGCTGAGGCCCCTGCCACCCACCTGGGAGACCTAGATAGAGTTCAAGGCTCCCAGTTTTGGCCTGGCCAAACCCTAACTGTTGCAGGTATTTAGAAAGTAAATCAGAGAATGGAAGACTGATCTGTCTCCTCTCGTTGTTTCCTTTGAATAAAAAAAAAATTTCTTTAAAAAATTAACTATGCTCATATTAAGGTTGACATGCTTTCAGCGGGTGACAGCCCTGGGAACTGAAGTCCTCGATATGTCCACAGAAGAGGGTCAGCAAGGGTGGCACACACTCCCTCAACTCCACACCCTCACTGCTCTCGTCCCCAACCTGAGAACACTTCGAGCAACAACTCTGTGGAACGTGCTGGGATGTCCCAGGATAGGGACACGATGCCCGAGAGCTGAAGAGCCCCATCAGCACTTGACCTTAGTACAGCTCTGCCCTTGCACCAGCCTCCTGAGCCATCCTAAACCAGCACATAGTCTGCTGAGTCGCCTACTGGTCTGACAGAATCATGGCAAAAAAGCATTTCTGAAATCCAAAAGCAAGCAGGCTCTAACCTTTGGAGATTTTTTCTTCTTTTCTTTAATGAAGTCATCCTCAGATTCTGATGCTTGTCTAAACTGCAGGGTTCCAGAGTTAATGTAAAATCCTCCATACTTTGTGGTCAAAGAAGCAGGAACAAGCTCATCATACTGAAGGGGGGAAACAAACTGTCAGCTCCAAGTTCTGTTGTGTTTCTAGCCCAAAGGTGCAAAAAGGGTACCGAAAGATATGTGACCTCGTTTCTCTGTCACACTTTAGACAGCATGCTAAGACATCCTTCTGGTCAGTCATGAAATGTGCAAGCAGCAAGGCGTTCAGACAGACCTACCCATGTTCACATGAAGGAACTAAGGCCGGGATCAAGGCAGTAGCTTCCTCTTGCCTTATACTAAAAGGAGGGCATGCCTGCTCTGACTGCTCCGACATCCTGGCTGCTATCAGTAAAAGCTAAGGTATGGTGGTGGTGCTCATGTTCAACTACTTACCGCCTCAGAGTTATCGATGAAGGAATCGGACTCATCATAACCATACCCCATATCAATCAAGTCCTGTATTCGGTCTTTCCTACGTTTCTTTCCACCCTAAAATTTAAGAGCAAAGGGTCATATTTTTTATGCATTCACTGAATTATCGCCTTGAACACTAGCTAGATTATGGATTAAAGCACCAGGCAATCTACCACATATCCCAAAACCTTCTTCCCTGCAGATCTGCTTAAAACAGGGCACAGGTGGGCAATGTTGCACAGTGAGTCAAGCTGCTCATATCCAAGCACCTGCTTCTGATCCAGCCTCCTCCTAATGGATACCCTGGGAGGCGGCAGACATTGATGCACTAGTTGAGTCCCGTCCACCCTCATGGGAACCTCAGAAGGATGGGGTTCCTGCATCCTGCTGACTCTTGCCTGGCCCAAGCATAGTTGTTATTAACACTAGACATACTTACACTTGTACTACAGGACCTAAGACAAGATGAACTACATGGCTTCTTATGCTCCATTTCAAACAGTACCACCAAGGCAGGCAAGAGCCCCTCTGGGTCATTCACCATTGAGCACCACATGCTTCTCCTGCCACATGCATTTCTGTACCTTCACCTACTTGTTTGGTAGCTGTATTCTGCTCACACCTAGCATTACACTTATTTTCAGATCAATGATATAATCCACTAAAACTATATGAAAATGTCTAGAAACCTATCCTACTCAACAAAGTTGTTCCGTTGTTTGAGAGAGAAATCTTACATATTTTTCTTCAAACTTCCGGGCAAGAGCCTCCACTTTATGCCTTTCCTTTTCTTCATCATTGAAAGGATCCAAAAGATCTTTTTTCTGTAAAGAGATTGTTCCATTAAATTTTTTTTTGTTTTTAAATTGCACAATTCTATTCACAGAATGACAATCAACTAAGAACATGTTTTTCAGAAACACAATACATGTTATCATATCAGTATTTATTTTCACTACTAAAGGCTGTTAAATCCCAGTCAACAGATTAAAAATGTTAAGGACTGACTAAATGTAGCACTTGTACTTGTGCGCTTTGCTGTTTAGAAATACCATGCACTTTATACTTCTCAGTCCTACCAACTTCAAACCCAGGTTCTCCATGTGCACTATCCCCAGAAGCTGACCTTCCCAAAGTAATTTAAGTAAAACACAAAAGTTACAGAAAGAGTGGATGGAGTCTAGAACTCCATCTAGGTCTCCCATACAAGTGGCAGTGTCCCAAGCATTTGGGCCATCCTCCACCACTTTCCCAGGCACATTAGCAGGGAGCTAGATCAGAAATGGAGCAGCAAGGACATGAACTAGTGACCATTTGGGATGCCAGTGTCACAGGCAGCATTTAACATGCTCTGCCACAATGCCAGACTCTTAAAGCCCATCTTCATCTCCTTTCATCCTCTCGATCTCAAAACTTTCCAAAAAAGAGAGAGACTCCTAAGGCAGGTATATCAAGGATTGCAAAGCAGGGGTGGGTATGCGGTGTAGCAACTGCGTGGTCACTTGGATGCCTGCATCTCCTATCAGAATATCTGGCTGAACTCTCAGTCACTTTGCTTCTGATTCACCTTCTTGCCAGTGTGTGCCCCGACTCAGCTCCTATCCCCATCACCCCTGTGGCAGCTCTAGATGGAGTTCCCAGCTCACGGCTGAGGTGAACCAGCAGTCACAGACACCTTTTTCTCTTTCTACCTTTCAAATAGAACTTAAAAAAAATTTTTTTTTTTTAACATAAGTTCATAGAAAATACATTTAAAAAAAGAGACTCTAAGGGTTGACACAGTGTCCTATCAGGCTAATCTTAAAAAAAAAAAAAGAAGATTTACTTATTTTTATTGGAAAGTCAGATTTACAGAGAGAAGGAGAGAGGAAGATCTTCTGTCCCTGACTCCTCATTTCCCCTTGCCCCCCGCCAAGTGGATACCACACCGGAGCTGAGTCGGTCTGAAGCCAGGAGCTTCCTCTGGGTCTCCCCTGCGGGTGCAGGAACTATGGGCTGTCCTTCACTGCTTTCCCAAGCCGTAAGAAGGGACAGGATGAGAAATGGGGCAGCCAGGACACAAACCAGTGCCAATATGTGTAAAACAAGGACTTTAGTCACTAGGCTAAAGTGCCAGGCCCCACCAGGTTAATCTTATGCCCATGGCATTGTCATCCCATACAGACACTGGCTCATGTTCCGGCTGTCCTATTTCTGATCCACCTCCTTGCTTATGGTTTTGGACCCCTACACCCATATAGGAGCCCCAGAAGAAGCTCCCAGGTTCAGACTGGTCCAGCTCTGGCTGTTGTGGCCATCTGGGGAGTGAACTAGCAGACAGAAGCTATCTCCCCCTAAGTAATTCTGACTTTCAAGTAAAATAAATATATCTGCGCGCGCGCGCGCGCACACACACACACACACACACAAAGACAAGATTCCAAAATAGACTGAAACACTAAGGGCTGGAAAAATGAAACTCATAACACCCTCCAACTACACCTACTGAAATCCTATCCATCCATGAAAGATCAGTTAAAGGGACACTTACCAACAGTATAGAATATAGTCACATACAATGCACATATCACAAATGGTTCCTCTTCCAGACAGTGGTGAATTGGTATCTTCTAATCTTTCCACAAAGATTGCATACAATTTGAATGGTCCAAATCATGAGCAGCACACAAATCAACACATAGCAGTAAAGCCTTGCAAAACAGTAGTCTTTCAATAACTACCCTTTTCTGACCAGAGCAGAATCCACCTCTGTCCAAGCATCCAGGACACAGGCTCCCCTCACTCAGGTCCTCCAGGGCCTGAATCTGTCTCAGGCTGAAGCAATGACCACAAAGTAACATCTGCTACCTGTGCAGGTCTCCTCAAATACCTACAAGACTGCAGGGGTAGGACTGGAGCAGCCTCTTTCCATCATTAACACAGTCCAGTGTCCAGCACAAGGAGGGCTCACTGGAAGAAGCACATGCCAAGTTAACTGACGCCCACTGTGTGGGGCTGCACTGTACTGTCATCACCACACAGCAGACCCACGGCATTCAGTTCTGACCCTAAAATCCAGGTGTGACCCCTGACACTGGACCCAAAGTTCTATACAACAGAAAAGTTCTATACAATAGAAATATAAAATACTATTTGGAGCCCCAAAAATAGTAAAATCAGAGGGCACTGGGACTCTAATTTCAGTTGACCGAGTTGATTTGAGCCTATAAATGAACACATTAGCCAATACTGGATGCCCTTCTCCAGGAAGAAGGTTGCATACCTACCCTGGAAAAAGGATAGTCAATGCATTTTATATTTGTTCCTTATGCACATGCTGGCCTCTGGCACAGCGCTGTCTTTCACACAATCAGATCTTAAACTCAGTTGAGGAAAAACACGAACAAAAAAACCGAGGTAATCCTTCTAACCAAATAACCCCTCTTTAAATGGTACATCCATCAATCAGACTGACTGGGCACTGAGGTGTTCACCAAGACCATCTCATTCCAAAAACATGTCATAAGCCAGTTTACTGAGAGTCACTCTGGAGACCAGAATGCTGAACGTGCAGCTGAATTTACCTTTTTCTTCAGAGCCTAACCTACTGCAAAGGGTTAAAATTGCTCTTCATCTATCTCCTACAGCCATTAACTAATCCTATTAACATAAAGTACAAAAAAACACACAGAAGTGACCTCAGCTGTTAGCTGCCAAGGGCCTGGGAGGAAGGGTTCTGGGTCCTGAGTCCTGGTCAAGTGCAGGTTCCAGGGACGTGTTGAGTCCATGAATATTTATCAAGCCATGTGTTTAAACATGTTCACTTTTCTAATATATGTAATTCAATAAAAACTTCATCAGAAATGCTTAAATTGGACTCGGAAAGATTGCCCAGCAGCGAAAGTCCTGGCCTTGAATGACCTGGGATCCCATATGGGTGCTGGTTCTGTTCCCAGCGGCTCCACTTCCCATCCAGCTACCTGCTTGTGGCCTGAGAAAGCAGTGAAGGACAGCCCAAAGCCTTGGCACCCTGCATCTGCATGGGAGACCTGGAGGAAGTTCCTGGCTCCTGGCTTCAGATTGGCGCAGCATCGGCCATTGCACTCACTTGGGGAGTGAATAATCAGATGGAGGATCTTCCTCTGTCTCTCCTCCTCTCAGTATATCTGACTTTGCAATAAAAATAAAGAAATCTTTAAAAAAAAAAAAAGCTTAAATGTTAGTGAATTGCTGAAGCCAGGTGATGAGCAGCTACTATGTCTTATAGTTTCAAAGTTTCATACTAAAGAGTGAAGAAAACCTCTGGAAAACAACAAACACCATTTTTAAACATTTCAGAGGGGCTGGTTGGTGCCCTAATTGCTACACTTCTGATTCAGTTCCCTGTTAAAGGCCTGGGAAAAACAGCTCAAGACAGCCTAACCGCCTGAGCCCCTGACACCCATGTGGAAACCCATACACATTCAATGCGCCTGGCCTGGCCTGGCCCGGCCCTATGGGGGGCTCAAGCTCTCTGTTCCTCTCTCTCACTCTTTCAAACATAAATAAATTTTAAAAATAAATAATAATAAATCATTGTTTTCAAACACCCCAAAAGTCTAGCACTGAATTCCAGCATGAGATCAAACAGATTGGTTTCATTTACACCTGGCATGAAAAAATTTGCTATTTATTTATACTGACTAGCCATAATTCATATTGGCTTTAGAAACATTGTATGTTTTTCTCTAACATAAATCTAAAGAGAAGTTCTAGAAAGAATTCTCTCCTATCATGCCCAGGGCCAGGACCAACAAACTTGGGCTTGCTCCATCTTGGGGCCACCCAACCTTCTTCAGGCAGCCTTGCTTCCCTGCCAGAAGTCCTTCACATGCACAGACACCCAGGCCTGGGCCAGCAGCAGGACTCCAGGTTCCACTGGACCTACCTTGTCTCCAGGTTGAAGGCCTTTAACCTTTCCTCGTATATTCTTGACCAGCTCTGGGTAGAAGAATTCCGGGCACCGTTTGTGATCCGGTTCAAAGAGTGTGAGTGTGATCCGAACAGCTGCTGCAGCAGGCTCACAGTCTTGATGTGGCTCTGTTCCAATCTCCTCCTTCCGAGACTTCTTTAAAAATGCAGGATTTAGAGAACCTGGGAGAGAGGTGAGCTGGACCCTGTGGGGCTCCGACATGGCTACCACCAGGTCTCAGCAGGTGTCACTGCATGATTCCTGTTAACACACAAGAGTTGCCAGGTCAAACCAAGGGGACAAAATCACTACTTTCTCATTCAATTACACAGGTTTAAGTTTAGAATTTCTCTGTCAATAATCCATTGCTAAGCTTTTTAAACTGTCATCAGCTGCTTTCCTTTATATGTTTTCTAAAGATTTTTGTCTGAAAGGTGGATTTTTGCAGAGAGAAGCAGAGTTCTTCCATCCACTGTGTTCACTCCTGCAAGCGCCACAGCTGAAGCTAAAGCTGGGAGACAAGAACCTCCCACAAGGTTGCAGGGGCCCAAGCACTAGGATCATCCGCTGCTGTCCCAGGCACATTAGCAAGGAGCTCCACCTGACATGAAGCAGTCAGGGTTCCAGGGCTGCAGATGGCAGCTTAATCCGTATGTCACAATGCCAGCCCCTCGCCTAGTTCTAGCGTGCCCTCTCCAACCAGATCTCTCATACAGTCTGACAAAGTATTCATCTCATCTAACTTTTTAAGTTGAACTCACTATATTACAATAAGCTGGGAGAGTTTCTTTAATTCTTAACTAAATAATCCTTTTTGGTCCCAGTGTGATAGCGCAATGGTTAAGGTTGTCGCCTTGAATGCGCCAGGATCCCATATGGGCACTGGTTCTAGTCCCAACAGCTCCTCTTCCCATCCAGTTCCCTGCTTATGACCTGGGAGTGTAGTCGAGGATGGCCCAAGGCCTTGGGACCCTGCAGCTGTGTGGGAGACCCAGAGGAAGTTCCTGGGTCCTGGCTCTCTGGCTTCGGGTCAGCACAGCACCGGCCATTGTGGCAAAATGGGAAGTGAGTCACTGGACGGAAGATCTTCCTCTCTTTCTCTCCTCCTCTCTGTACATCTGCCTTTCCAATAAAATAAATAAATTAAAAAAAATAATAATAATAATCCTTTTTGGCCCTGCTGATTCTACATTTAACATACAGGATCATATCAGATACCTAGAGTATGCAACGTTCATCGGTTATATTTGAAATGCTTAAAAAATGCAATTAAGGTCTAAAGTATTTCCATGTTTAAAGGACATAATGTATTTACACACTGTTTATATGAGTTACTTAAGTCACTGAAAAGGTTTTACTATCACGTTAATAAATTCACCTCTTGAGAACTTTAAAGTATTCCAGAGAAAAAAGATAAGTTACCTTAAATGCAGTTTAAAATATTTAAGGGAGTTTAATTTTGTAAAAATAATTCATTATTTAAGGAGACAATTTCCTACACTGGTGCATTAATTGAACCACTGTCAAAGATGGAATATCTAAACATTTAAAAATTAAATGACAGGGCCCAGCATGATGGCCTAGTGGCTAAAGTCATGGCCTTGAATGTGCCAGGATCCCATATGGGAGCCGGTTCTAATACCTGCAGCTCCGCTTCCCATCCAGCTCCCTGCTTGTGGCCTGGGAAAGCAGTCGAGGACGGCCCAAAGCCTTGGGACCCTGCACCCGCGTGGGAGACCCAGAAGAAGTTCCTAGATCCTGGCTTCGGATCAGCACAGCACCAGCTGTTGCGGTCACTTGGGGAGTGAATCATGGGACGGAAGATCTTCCTCTCTGTCTCTTCTCCTTTCTGTATATGTAACTTTGCAATAAAAACAAATAAATAAATAATTCAATGACAAATTATGGGCCCCATGCGGTAGCCTAGCAGCTAGGGTCCTAGCCTTGCACATACCGGGATCCCATATGGGTGCTGGTTCCTGTCCCGGTGGCCCTACTCTCCATCCAGCTCCTTGCCTGTGGCCCAGGAAAGCAGTCCAAGTACGGCCCAAAGCCTTGGGAAGGAAAATCTTTGAATGGAAGATCTTCCTTTCTGTCTCTCCTCCTCTCTGTGTATGTGACTTCCCAACAAAAACAAAATCTTTAAAAAAATAATAAAATGACAAATTAAAGATCAACTATCTTTGTTTGCATATTCTTCAATTACTAAATAAACAAAAGGCTAAATTAACAAATGGGTAAAGTTGCTGGTATTCCATATGAGTGCTGGCTTGAGTACCATACCAGCTGATTCCTTTCCAATCAGACTGCCTGCTAACATGCCTCAGAAAACAGTGGAGGATGCCCCCAACGGTTTGAGCCCTTCCATCAGTGTGGGAGACCTGGCAGAAGTTCCTGGCTTTACACTGGCCCAGCTCAAGATGCTGCGGCCATTTGGGCAATGAACCAGCAGGAGGAGGATCTGTCTCTCCCTAATTCTGCCTTTAAATAAGCATACAAATATATTTTTTTAAATCTCTAAAAGGCATAAAAATAAGTTTAAATACTTTAATGAGCTGAATATTGCTCTACACACAAAAATATTCTTCTCACAAAACCACAAGTGCTACTTGCAGTACAATGCTAGTTTGTATTTCTAGTTATTTTTTTTTAAAGACCTATTTGTGTTTATTGCAAAGTCAGATATATACAGAGAGGAGAAGAGAGTCAGAGAGGAAGATCTTCCAATGATTGACTGCCCAAGTGAGTGCAACGGCCAGTGCTGTGCCGATCCGAAGCAGGGAGCCCAGATCCTCTTCCGGGTCTCCCACGTGGGTGCAGGGTCCCAAAGCTTTGGGCCGTCCTTGACTGCTTGACTGCTTTCCCAGGCCACAAGCAGGGAGCTGGATGGGAAGCGGGGCTGCTGAGATTAGAACTAGTTTCCATATGGGATCCCGGGGCATTCAAGACCATGACTTTAGTCGCTAGGCCATAGCGCCGGGCCCTCTAGTCATGTCTATAGTTGATACATATTTTGTTAATGTAAACGTTCTTACATTTTAGCTATTAACATTTTCAAACTGGTTATTGCTGAAGCAAAAGCTAATTGTGTATGCTAACTTCATAAATCCTTTACTAAACCCTGAAATTTTTTCCTCCACAATAGGCAGGCCCACGATGCGCACAAATCAACATCTTTTTACATGCTTCTCGTTTTTGTTTCCTGTCATATTGCATTGGCTAGAACTTTAGATAAGAGAGGCTTTGTTTCTTTCTCTGGTAATACCTCTAGGTGACTTCAATGTTCATCCTTTTTTTAACCAAGCCGTAGGCTGCAATCCTTCAAAAAGCTAAGAATGTTTTGGTCGGGGACGTGTGAGGTTTATCACTCCCCGTAGGTCTGTCTGAACGCGCGCGTGTGCACAGGCGCGCACATACACACACACATACACATCGCACGCCCCAGAAACTCATCCAGGGCCCTCCAGGGAAGCCGGGCTCCCAAGAGCAAATGGGATGTGGTTCACCCCGGAGCGCCGGCAGCCAGCTGGCCAAGTCAAGTCCGGGCACTGGACGCTGTCAGAGTCCGCGGCCCCACGCCGCAGCCCACGCTGCCCAGTGCAGGCTTCGGGCTGACGGCGCCTGCAGCACGCTCCGCGTCCGGTCTTCCGGCTGCCACAACTTCTCAAAACAAAACAAAAACAAGCTCTACTAAAGCGAGCCTCCACCTGAGCGCCCGGCCCCGCCGCCTTACGCACCTGGGTCCCCAGTGCTGACGCGGGCCGCAGACGTCCCTCCGCGGGGGTCCGCATGCCGGCCCCGCGGTCCCGGGCGGAGAGCGGCTAGCGGTCGGCTCCCGAGCCCTGTCTGCGGCCGGCCGGCCGGCCAGTACCGCTGCCCATGGCGGGGTCCCGCGCCGGCCCGGCAGGAAGCGGAGGAATGCCAACTCGACGTCCGCGGAACAACTCGAAAACCGCCGTAGGACAACTTGCCGCGCTCGGACACGGCTTCCGACGCTGGCCGTCGAGCAGCGCGCCCCGGCGCCGCGCCCCGGCCGCGGGGCCTCCCGGGCTGCGGCCGGGGGGAGTCGGCCGGGCACGCGGCCCCAGGCTCGGGAGGCTGGCTTCCAGGCCGCACCGAAGTCCCGTCAGGAGGCAGCTACCGGGAGCAGCGACGGGGCCGGCAGGCGCTTCGGGTTCTAGAATGGCCCCGGGCCCCGCGCCGAACTAACGGCCGTAACGGAAGCACCGAAAGAGGAAGACGGCCGAGTCCAGGAACCCAGGGGCGAGGCGGGCCGCAGAGCCGACTGCCTCCCGCGCTTGCCCGGCCGCACCGTCGCCGCCGCTGCCGTCGTCGCCTCCTCAGACCGCGGGCTCTTCGTTGTCACGAGCCGAAGGGAGGGGGAAAGAGCCGGGAGTCTCCGGGCTCCGGCGCGCGGAGACCGAGGCGCCCGAGTCACATGCTGCTCGGCCGACCAATAAGCTCCGGCGGGCGCGGTGACGTCGGAGCGGCGGCGTGGCCGATGACAGCAAGTCCCTGTCACGTGGCCGAACCCACTCCAATGGGCGGCGCCGGGCCGACCTGATGTTCCCGGCGGCCCGTGCGTCGGCGGTGGTTGGGTGGTAAGATGGCGACTGTGAGTCTGCGGCTCGGCGACTTGGTGTGGTGAGTCCTCGGGCGACCGGAGCCGAGCGAGACGCGTCCGGGAGCTGACTGTCTAAGTGTAGAGTTTGCGGCCAATCCTGGAGTTCCCTTTCTGTGCGCCTCAGGCCGTGGACAAGAAGGGGAAGACGAGGTGCCAGGCTCTCCGAGCGACGCTGGGCGGAAGGGGCAGTTCAGCCCCGGGGGACAGAGGCCGAGAGTGGCCTCATAGGGCTCGGCTCTCAGTCCCAGAGCCGCTGGGCGAGGGCTGTCCTCGGGGCCCGGGTGTCAGCGGCCACCGTAAAAGGAAGGCTCCGAGGAGGCTGGGTCCCGGAGGGGGTCTTGGCCGAGGCTGGAGAGCCTTGAGATCCGGATTGGGACGGGAAGGGGGGCCGTCATCTCTCTCCGGACTCGCCCGTCAAAATCCGTGTTTGGTTTGAACTCGACCGGTCCGGATGGCTGGACAAGCGCTGTCTCGGGGAGAAATGGAGCCGGGACTTGGCAGTGCCCCCATGCCGTCCTTCTTCGGTTACCTCTCGTGGTCCTTGTCCCCGGAGACCGTCCGAACCGGGACTGCATGTCATCATCCTCGGAGCTGCGTGGTTAGCCTTTCCACCCTAGGAGAGAAAGCTCCCGTTAGCGTTTGTCAAAAAGTTGGGGGCTGGTCTCCCGGTGAATTAAGCCAGACCTGGTAAAGGGGAAGTCTGTGTTTACCGTCCCCACCCCCATCGCGGTCACGAGGAGGCTCAGCACGAAGCGACTCTCAGACAGTTTTGCTCGTCAGCACAAGAATGCACACCCGTGCACGAGCAGCCTGCGAGGCCACTCGAAGAACTACCCCCAGTCTGCCAGCTTTTGTTCTGGTGCCGGAGGCTGCCAACTGAGGTTGAGAAAAATAAATGACAGTGCGAGTGGGTTGGAGGAGATGAACTGGCTTTTCCAGGGCAAGTTCTGACTCTTTATGTTGCCTTTCAGGGGGAAGCTCGGCCGGTATCCTCCTTGGCCGGGAAAGGTGAGTGTCTTGCCATCCAAGGCTGATCCCCCGAGGTGCGGGTTTTGAGAAGGGGGGGGGAGGAGGAATGAACGATGCCCTCCACTCAGTTTCTAGCGTGAACTAGCTGGGACCGTCCGCAGTGTTAGTGCTTTTACGAAAGGTTTCTGTAATAGAAATGAGGTCATGTAACCTGCAGCCAGCATTTGTTTCTTGGGTCAAAGATATTTTGTGAACCCCAGAAATCAGTTCTAATTTTAATTGCTCTATGCTAAAGTCTAACAAAAGAAGATGGAAATGAATCAGTACATTCTTCAGGAAGAGAGATCTAAATGTAGTCTATTGAAAAGCCAAAGTATTTTTGTCCCAACTAAGTTTAAATCTCCCCCCCCCCACCATATGTGCTGTTCCAGTGCTTCTTTGCAGAAGTTAGCATTCCAGGATTTGCATGAGGTGATTTGTTGTAGCTTTCCAAATGTTCTGATTTTATATACTTGCTAGAAGCCCAGGAAATGTCTTCAGACTCTTTGTGATATGGTGTTCTCCATGCCTTAGTTGTCCTCTCTATTTTTCATACTCTGTCTGAACCCTGCCTGCACAGGAAATATGTTGAAGAATAGCCTGTATGTTTCGTCCACGTGGACAGAGTCAAGTTGCAGACATCTGGGTTGGGGTGGATGTCCATGTGGCTCTTAGTTTTAACTGCTAGTAAGGGATACTGTGTCTACTGGACAATGTGTTACATTCTAGTTATGGTAGAATATTCACAAAGGTCAATGTATCTCAGCAGAAAGGTACCAGATTTGGATAATACTGGTCCCTGGGTTCTTATTCAAGCATTTTTTTTTTTTTCTTTCCACTTTCAAGGTGTGGAAAATGACTGCCTAGCGGGCTGCTATTTCCTCTCCAGGGATGGAAGGTTACTGCCTGGCAGAGGGCTGTTTCCTTCAACCCATCTTTCCCTTTTGCCCTCCAGATTGTGAATCCACCCAAAGACTTGAAGAAACCACGTGGAAAGAAATGTTTCTTTGTCAAGTTTTTCGGAACAGAAGACCAGTGAGTAATATTTATCAGGAGTTTTGCCTTGCTTTTGTTATTTCGTATCTGAGTACAAGTTACTTCTGAAAGTATTCTGGGGCTCCTTAGTTCAGTCTTCTTGCAGTAGATGAGATAGGCACATCATTCTGGTTTCAAAACTTAACAAAAGGTACTATCCTCACCTTGTGGGAATTGTCCTGGCCGGTAACAGTGGCCATTAGGTAAGAACTAGGGTTTATCACCTTCTAAATATGATCAACATTTTTGATAATTGATCACCTATTTTTCTATCCACCTCACTGGCAGTTTTTTTTTTTCCTTAGGATTTATTTTTGTTGGAAAGTCAGATTTACAGAAAGAAGGAGAAGCAGAGAGAAAGATCCACTGGTTCACTCCTCAAGTGACCACAACAGCCAGAGCTGAACCAATCAGGAGCCAGGAACTTCTTGCAGGTTTCCCACAGGGGTGCAGGGTCCCAAGGCTTTGGGCTGTCCTCTACTGCTCTGGAAGGGAAGTGGAACAGCTAGGATATGAACCAGCGCCCAGATAGGATCCTAGTGCATGCATAGTGAGGATTTTAGCTGCTAGGCTACCATGCTAAGCCCCACTGGCAGTTTCTTTAGTAAGAACTGTATGTGATTCTCATGCCCGTGAAGTGTTGTGGTTCATTCATGAGACATATAATGCAAAGTAAAATTTTATTTCTCTTAGTATAAGTAATTGCTGAATCCTTTTTTGTGAAACTAGATGACTTTTTTTAAGATTTATTTTATTTTTTATTGGAAAGGTGGATAAACAGAGAGGAAGATCTTCTGTCCTATGTTTCACTCCCCAGGCGGCCGCAACGGCTGGAGCTGAGCCAATCTGAAGCCAGGAGCCTCTTCCTGGTCTCCCACGTGGGTGCAGGGTCCCAAAGGTTTGGGCCGTCCTTGACTGCTTTCCCGGGCCACAGGCAGGGAGCTGGATGGGAAGCAGGGCCGCTGGGATTAGAACCGGTGCCCATATGGGATCCCGGGCGTGCAAGGTGAGGACCTTAACCACTGCGCCATCGCGCCGGGCCCAAAAGCTAGGTGACTTTACTTAACATTGTAGTAGTAAAGCTTTATTACCAGATGTTTGCTAAAGTTGAAGAAGGCAGGGCCCGGTGCAGTGGCCTAGTGGCTAAAGTCCTCGCTTTGAACGCGCCGGGATCCCATATGAGCATTGGTTCTAATCCTGGCAGCCCCGCTTCCCATCCAGCTCCCTGCTTGTGACCTGGGAAAGCAGTGGAAGACGGCCCAAAGCCTTAGGACCCTGCACCCGTGTGGGAGACCTGGAAGAGGATCTGGGCTCCCTGCTTCAGATCGGCACAGCACTGGCCATTGTGCTCACTTGGGGAGTGACTCATCAGTCGAAAGGTCTTCCTCTGTCTCTTCTCCTTTCTGTATACCTGACTTTGCAATAAAATAAAATAAATCTTTTTTAAAAAAGTTAAAGAAGGCAGCACTACTACTTTGAGACTATTTGACTTGACACAAAGCCACACACAGTCACAAAGAGGGGAAGATTGTGTTGGTTTGTGTGATTTGTTTAGCTTTCTCCCTCATTCAAGTTAATTACTTGGGTCTAACTGTGTGGCTTGATTTCTTGTTTTAAATATTGTGTTACTTTTCACAATATTTATAGAAAAATACAGCTTTAGATTTGAAGAAAAGCATTTCTTAGTAAATGCAATACTGACGGTTAAAATATTCACCCTTTGAGAGCAAACATAATGTGAAGATCCTTTCTGTACTGTTCTTTGTTCATTTAGTTTGGATAACGGTGTTCTTCGCAGTTTAGTGCCTACATAGTATGTCTAATTTCCCAGTACAAATATACCTAGCCCTCAACTCTGTATCCTAAACTAATTTACCATCCTTATCTTGGCAGGATTTCATGGGGGTCAGCTAGTCTGGAGTGGCCAGAGCCACACTGTAGTAGCATGGATTCCGTGAGATCATCCAGCAAGTAAGGGTTGAACATCCACACTCTGAGCAGGGAATTTCTAGATAAGTGAGTGCTGCAGTACCCACCTTCCAGGCGGTCAGTCACGTGTCAGGACAGACAGTTCAGAGGAGGTTGTGTGTGGAATCAGCGGAGAAAGAGCTCTGCATTTGTTGCTGTTCTGACAGACATTCAGATCCCACTTGCCCCCGCTGTAAGGCCTGGGCAGTCTGTGTCACCTTTCTTAGCATCAATATCCTTTTGTGCATCAGGAGGTGATAACCTCTTGCCTCGTGGTTATGAAGGAAAAGTAACATCAGTTTTGTTATGGATTGGCTTATGGCAGGAGCGCAGCGGACATTTAGTCAGGGTATAAATCTGTTCCAAGAGAGGAACAATGCTGGTAAGAAACAAGTGTTCATAAGTAAAGAAAATTGTGGGCAACACACACATACACTGTCGGTGTGCCGGGAGGCAAGGGCAGAGTGTGTGCTTCAAAAGAGAAGACCCTGAGAATTAGAGATTCTTAAGATTGTCAGCCAGGAATGGCATTTGACCAAAAAGGCTTTGACTATAAAATAGTATGTGTAATCTGTTGGTTTTGTGCTTCTGTAGGAATTGGGTAGAACTAGTCGAGAACTTAAAAGGGGATCTAGTGAACAACAATTTGGCCTCTTGCAGTGGCAAAAACGAAGACTGAAAAAAGCATGATCAGAATTCATGAATGTATGGGCTTCATATTTCAGTGAGGGGAACTGTGAGTGGAGTCTGATGGGGCTGCATTTTAGGATAAACGGGAGAAGCACTGGATGAAACATTTTGAGAGGGTTTTATAGGAATGAGAACTAAGTTAGGAAGGACTGAGCTGTAAGTGGTGAACCTCCCTTACCATTTGACATCAAGTAGAAGCACGTGTGAGCTTGGCACATCCAGGGACTGTGCTCTGTTACTGGGCCCTACCAGTGGTGGCCTAACCCGTGGGTTCTTCCTGGGGAATATGAGGTTCAGAGATGTTCAGTTGCAAAACTGAACAAATAAGGGAGAGTATGTATACAGTTACAATGTTTTTATATTGGCATGAACCCTTATGCAAGAGCAAAGAGAGTAGTTCCTTATGAAAAGATATACACAGTAACTCCAATCTTCCAGAGAATTGTTTTTACATCCTGTGAGGAAGAGAGGGCCAGACCTGCCTAATCATGGTCCCTGGTGAGAGAAGGACTTAATAAGATAACTCGGTTCAGCACTCTGAGGCAAATAACCAAGGTAAAATTGCCTACAGATGCTTTTAGAAATTTTGTTTTTGTTTTGTTTTTTAAGAAAAAAATATGAAAAGAAAAATAACTTCAGCATAGTTTTGCTAGCTCCAACAAAGGGTAAGTGTCAGATGCATCAGGGACCGCCTTGGACTGGTGTGGTTGACGGTGGGTGTCTGTCTCAGCAGCGACCAGGCTCAGGGTTCCAGAGTTCTCTCAGTGTCTGTTGATGATGGAGTGAAGGCAGTGTTAGTGTAGGTTGCAGACTGACCAGCAGCGATTCAGGTAATATTGTGGGCGAGCAGCAAGTGATTTGCAAAATGGTAACAGTTTCCAGAGCAGTTCTTCACAGTGAATCCTCACAGAAGCTCTTTCAGGAAATGGATAGATTTATTGTTTGGATTCTTACTTTTTCACAGATGAAAAAACTGGGAGGCTAGGGATCGATGGGTTTCCCTGATAAGATGTTGAAGACCTCAGCCTTAAGTGCTGTTGATATCCACATATATCTAAGGTGGGCCAGATCCGACTGAGTGTGTCTTGTCAGAGTTGGTGGCAAAAGTAACCCTTGTAGGAAAATCTGACTTGTAATTCAAGTTTTGAGGTTGGAACTGTTTGAGTATTCAGTTTTCTTTTCACCTGGCACCTGATTGTCTCACCCTCCATACGTCCAGCACCATGGAGCAGTTGGAAAATTGAGCCGAGTGGATGGTCAGGACCACTGTTCCAGGTGTCACAGTGAGGAAGCAGTGTTCCTGTGCCAGAGTTGGAGTAGCTGTCCTAGAGAGCCTGGTTAGTGTCTGCTTTCCCTGAAGCCTCTCATCTCCTGCTGGAGTCTTCCTTTGTGGCTTGTGTGATGGACTGCAAGAGCAGGTGTCATGCAGAATTGCGGGGACTGGCCCAAAAAGCAGTGACTACCACATTGCATAGATATTGCTTAAAGGCATCATCAAGCAGTTGGAAATATTTCCAGGTTCTAGGAACAAAGATTAAATTAATCTTATTTTAAATCTTAGTTCCTTTAAGGTAATTATTGCTTGAAATTAACTGATACGTTCTTGATATGTGAGAGAGGTGTGTTTTCTAATACCTTCTGAATAAATTAGACACATTTGTAACATCTCAGTGATCTGTATAGCCTCTTTCCATGTTTTTACCAGCAAATGAATCAAACCCACAGCTTTTAATCTCGTCTTGTTCTCACCTTGGACATTGTGCTCAGATCATTGTGTTTGAGAGAGCTGAGATTTGTATAGCAATTGGAGTGGGAGGTTGTAGACTGATGTCTATAATGTATATGATTTTCATTTAAGGGGAAAGTACAACTTTTTGGAATTTATTTTTACTGGACTGCCCCCAAAGTGACTTAGTGGCAGTTCTGTGTTTGTCAGTGAAAAGATCATGTGGGAAGTCCACAGGGTCCAGCTGCTGTGCATGGATGTGTTACAGATGCAGTTAAACCAACTGCTAGGTGAGAACTAAGCCCCAGAGCAACCCTAGACTTCAAGGACTCGTGAGCAGAACCCTCTGAGGGACAGTCAGAACAAGCTTGTGTTCTGTGACAGAGGCCCATGGAGTAGTGATGTGTTGTTTTCTTAAAAAAGTATGTGTTTGTGGTTCAAAAAACAAAAAGCTGAAAATTGTAACAGTTCTCATTATCATCCCTCACCCATCCAGTTAGGCTGTGTTCTTGTCGTGTACCCCTGCAGCGGTAACATAATCTGTGCATAATGACACATAATCTCAGCATCATGGTTTACCAGCAGTGTACCGCCATGCTGCTCTCCAGCTTGCTGGCTTGCACTTAGCTAAATGCCCGAAGAACATTCAGCCTCTGCTGAAGGAAGAGACAAAACTTTTCCATAAAACCCAACAGCAGCAGCAGCCTTACAGAGCTGAGCACTTTGGCACCTTCCCATCCACTGGTTGAGTCGGCTGTGTAGCCCTCTGGACGTACACAGTTGCATTCCATGCCCAGCTCATGTGCCGCTACAGGATGGAAAAGCACCCCTCCTTTAAGAAGACGGAGAGCTTTGGTGGAGGATTTTGTCCTTAAGACTCCCCATCCGAGTGCAGATGTTCAGTTCCCGACTTTAAGTCAGCTCCTGGTGCAACTCTGGGAAGCACTGCTAGTGGCCTGCATTGAGTTTGGGGTTCCCAGCTTCCCTGCCCTGGCCATGGCAGGCATTTGAGGAGTGAACCGTCAGGGGAGTATAATGTCACACTAGTGCTTCCCCCCACCATCCATTTCTGCATCTCAGCTAAATGAATAAAACTGGGAGGTTTTGCAGTGTATCTTTTAGAGAAATTCTATTGAAATAGCCAAAATAATTTAAGTTTGATTTGCTTTGGCGGGCTGATTTATCTGATGTGACAGTATATCAGTTCCCCAAGCAGATTAACGTTTCTTGCATTTATCCATTTAAAGTCATATTTACACTGTCTGCTTCACTTAGCCACCTGTCTTAATGTTTCAGAAGTGGTTCTAGACAGGAAAGTTTCATTTTAGTATCTCAGAATACTATCTGTAGGGTGAATGTAATTCTGGCTGCTGTGTTCCATCTGGCAGAAATCAGTAATACATTTCAAACACGTCAGCAGCAAAATAGGTGTTGGTTTATTGGCACTTCCTCCTCCACAGGCATCTTCGCCCTCCATTCCCTGTGAGTCAGAGGTTGATATGAGGCTGAAGTGGAGGCAGGGGTCATGGTCGGCGAGGCCCTTGTCCCATCTCAAGAGGCTTCCTGAGATCTGCTCTTGTTCTGGGAAGGAGTGCAGTCTCGGCTCCTAGAAGGCAGACACCAGACGTGAGGGCTGTGCCTCTTTAAGCTCCATTTCTGACAGAACATGTGTTACCTCTGAGCCACCGGTTAGTACAGCCTTCCGACCAGTCTGCCTTTACACCAGTCTCATTCCAGTCTCTTTTGAATTTTTGATAAGTACATGGAAAGGCTGAAGAGTCAGTTTAGTGATGCATTTACCAGGAGTTAATGGAGTCCAGCGGTCCTTACACCTTTTCTCTCAGACTCGTTGGCACACGCTGGAAACTAACTTGTTCACTGTGCCAGACCAAGTGGTGCACCTGTCCTCCAACTACTGGTCTGTCTTGCTCTTGCAGGCTGGTGGTGCTAGGCTGCCGTGTCTCATCACAACTGCTTGTGTTGCACAACTCCCAGAGTCCAGTTGGCATTTTGTGTACAGACGTTAGCCATTTTACGATTAATATTGAATATTCTGTAGCTTTCTGTACAGAAGAAAATTTTTAAGTTAGTGAGGTACCCCAGTTTCTGTGTCTAACCTGATCTGCTTTTTCTGAAGGTCATGCTATGAAACGTGTGAGTTTTACAGGGTAAAACATGTATAAATTAATGGCTACCTGACCAAGCCATTGATCTCCTCTTTTACATTTGTATTCTGTGAGCTGAACATCATTTGGGAAACCCAGAAAGCCGGACGTGGCAGATTTGTTCAGACCAGAATGGTAACTACATTTCTTCATTTTCATGTGTTGCACATCAGTGATAGGGATTCAGACTTAAATATCAGAGGTGTCTTGTCTCCTGTCTACACTCTTGAGGAGAATCTCATTTTTAAAGATTTTTGTAACCACTGTACTCGTTCCAAGCTGTATGTTCTGTGTTTTATGTGGCGTGGTAGCCATGGATACCACCGATTGTGAAAAGCTTAGTGGCTGCTACTATCTCTTAGATGTTTGAAGATCCTGGACTTCTTCAGTTCTGGTCGCAGCCCCACGTCTCAGGTGATGGACAGATGGTAAATGTGATTTGCATGGTTGGTGCACAGCAAGTGTTTCCTTACAAGGAATCCTGCTTGTGATGCTGCCAGGTACCCTGACTGCTGGGAACCCCTGTGGAGCCTTTTGAGCTGTCTGAAGAGGACGGGGAGAGGTCTCAGGTTTCTTCTGTCCTCAGCAAGTGCAGCAAGGCTTATTTGGGCATTAATGGTTGGGGAAAAAGAGTGGTAATAAGGAGCCTGCGACACTGTGATTTCACATCAGGAGTGCTCTGGTTTGTGGTTTGAGGTGGTTGGGCATGACTTATTTCAAGAAAGCACACTTCGGGTTCCAAAGTTTGGGATGACTGATAACATGTTTTGCAAAACATCTGGCCTGTTCCAAAGTCCTGTTAAATCCAGTGGGTGCTGTGTACTGGAGAGGTCCTCGCCCATTTGTTTGGCAGCATGAATCCTACCCTTCCTTGTTTGTTTTCTGCTAGTGCCTGGATCAAAGTGGAGCAGCTCAAGCCATATCATGCCCACAAAGAAGAAATGATCAAGATTAATAAGGGCAAGCGGTTCCAGCAGGCTGTGGATGCCGTAGAAGAATTCCTCAGGAGAGCCAAGGGGAAAGACCAGGTGAGAGATCTTGGCATTCACTTTCTGTTGACACCAGACCCATTATTTTTGCACAATAATTAGCAGATGAAATGTAACCCAAACCCCAAACCATTGTTACAAGATGCTAATGGAGAGAGAGCTGTTTCTGTCTAAGGTATCAGCATTTTGCTTGTCAACTTGAGCTCCTTGCACTCTTCTCGCTGTTCTGGGCTTCGGTTGTTGCTTTTAGGAAAGTGGCTTGGATTCAGGAGAAATAGCTCAGCTTTAAAGTACAGCACAGGCTATTCTCCCTTTGATGGCTCAGAGACAAGGAGCACACCCACTGACACATGTACCAGCCTGGGCTCAAATCCTGCTTCTTGGCTTTGGGACCTTGGGCAAGTAACTTGATTTTTGTTCTTTCCCGAATGTGAGTAGGGATGACCCCAGAACCTATTTCCTAGGGCTGTTGAGAGGATGATACATCCAGAGCCTGTAGCCATGTGTGGCCCAGGTCAGTGGTGGTTTTGTTGGCGGTGGCAGCTGTTGTGGTTATCATTATTATTATTAAACTTTCAGACATCATCCCACAGTTCTGCTGATGACAAGAATCGGCGTAATTCCAGTGAGGAAAGAAGTAGGCCAAACTCAGGTGATGAGAAGCGCAAACTTAGCCTGAATGAAGGGAAGGTGAAGAAGAACGTGGGAGAAGGAAAGAAGAGGGTGACTTCAGGCTCTACAGAGAGAGGCTCCAAATCCCCTCTGAAAAGAGCCCAAGAGCAAAGTCCCCGGAAGCGGGGTCGGCCCCCAAAGGATGAGAAGGTTGGTTTTCTCCCTGCAGTTTCTGGGATTAGTGATGTCCCTTTGTGTAAACAGAGTTGAGCTTATGCTTATGGAGTGGGCATAGAGTCCCATGCCAGGTGCTGTCCTAAAGAATTCTGGAGACCAGAAGAGAGATGGCCTTGGTGCTGGCATGAGGTAGGCAGTCCAAAAGAGCATGCTAGGGCCAGCTGAGGAAATGCTTAGCATGAGAAAAGGGAAGTGTTCCAAAGATGGTGGCACTGCCCACCTCAGGCATGGTGCTGTTGAAAGTATTCTCAACGCTGCCATGGAGTTGTGGGGTCCCTTGAGGTCTACTTGAGAGTGGAATATCGGTCTTGACCTGGGTACTGTACTCCCAGCCGTGCGTCAGTCATGGAAGACAGAGAAGAATGGCTCAAAGTCCAGTAGATGTGTATTCATTTGGAATGACAGCAGATATTGGACGGAAGTGTCCAAAGGAAAGTGTGGTACTGGGTACCATAGTGATGAATGAGAAGGGAAAGAAAGATGAGTTTGTGTCATTCCTAGGGAAATGGCAATGACTTCTTAAAAGGCAGAGGAGCCAGGAGATGGAGCTGCTGTTACAGGAAGGAGAGTTGATGCTGCTTTGATTGTATTGAATTTTAGGCCAGGCTTCAACAGCCTGGGAATCTTGGACCTAAGTTAGGACTGGAAGTGAAGACCTGGGAAGTTCCTATCTAGGAAGGAATCTAGTTTGTGAAACTAGAGGAGTTGTCTTGTAAAGTAAGAAAAAGGTAAGAAGGGTAGAGGTTGCTCCACAAAGAATGCCATGCTTCGGGGCAAGAGGTAGAAGGCCTGGCAAGAAATGGTTATGTGGAAGGGGGATGCTTTTGTTTGTGTGCTGACAGGCTTGGGGCCCGGACTTGGATGTCAGGGAAGGAGGATTCCGATGTGAGTGGTGGTCTTGTGTCCACAACAGGGAACGGGAACAGAAGCTTGGAAAATACAGAGACAGTTGGTAGTAAGACTGTGATGAAACACTAGCCATCAGAGCACAGCTAGCAGGTTCAGATGCCAATGAGACTGGGCAGGAATGGAAACAAGTGAAGCTACCTAGACTGGAATCAAAATGGATTATGTGTGTGCCTGTCCAGCTTGAACCTGCCTCAGCACATAGGGCCAGAGGGCAGGTAGTGGCTGGGCGTCTGTGGAGGTCATTCTCAGCCCGTGGGATTTCAGCCAACTATTGCCAGGATACCCAAGTTTTTCTAAGACAAGCTGGGATCACAGATAGATTTTATGTAAAATATCCTAGTTTTGAATGTCAGAAGCTACTCCAAAATATGCGCTTTATGGGTTTTGTTCCTTTTTTAAAGGAAGAGCTCTCTGAGCTGCATTGCTTCCCTGTGGCTCAGGGTTAGAGAAGGTCCTTCTCACCTTAGGTCACCTTAGACTGAGGAAGCAAATAACAGTGAGTGTGGAGGTGGTGGCTTCCCTGGGCGACTGTGAGCCCAAGGGCAGAGAAGGGTTAGACAAGCAGCCAACTGCAGTGCTTGGGGAGCTTCGCCGAGAGTGCGCTGTTGAGTTAGTTCCTGAAGGAATCAAGGACATCATGTTTTATCCCTTTTCCAAGTTCATGCAGCCTTGTGACTTAGGTCAAGCATCTCAGCATCCCCTGGGTGGTCCTGAGTGATTCTCCAGGAGAATCTGCTTTTTGGCTAGAGAAGTGCAAAGGAGGGATTGGATCTCTGACCCCAGGGTTTGCTGCAGCTTTGGTTTCAACATCTGGTTGCTGGAATAGTAAATCATTTGTGCCTGGCAGCTTGTTGCGAGGATTAAGTGAGGAACATGGACTGAGTGATCAGAACATTACCTATGATATGCTGGGCATGTGCAGTCCTTCCATTTGCTTCATGAGTGGGAGCCAATCATGCATGACAGCTAGGCAAGCCTGTCAGTGCAGCCCCAGCACAGGCTCCGGGCCCTTGAGTCTGAGTTACTGATTTCAGGGTAGTACCATTTGTCTGGTTTTCAGCCCAAGAGCAATGTCTGCTGTTGATTTTCCACCTGGTCTTTGGGCTTGGCCTGGCCTGCAGTAAAAGGATGTGTCAGCAGGAGAGGGCAGGCTGTGTCTCTGGGAGAGAATGAAGCCCTTTCAGCGCCGCACCATCAGACTCTCAAGAAGTCTGGCCTTTGCATTTCAGTACATTTTATGAGCTCGTGTGTTCTGTGATCTCAGTGCATGTGTGTGTTTATTGCCATAGTGACTGTCACCTGGCTGGTCAGATCCTCTCAGAAACTGTGAGCCGTAGCTCAGGCTGTTTGGAGGCAGAGTGCCAGACAAATGCCATTATGGGTATAATCTCTTGTCCCATGAGGATTAACACAAAGGCTGATCTTGATAGCAGAAGTCTCAGTTACATGCCAGAAGGTCCAGGCTGGGTTTTGTGTCTAGCTCCCACGCTCTTTGGGGCCTCTTTTTCCCTAGTACTGAGCTAAGAACCACCACACAGAGGGAAAGAAGTAGGGTGGTCAGGCGGTGGCTCTCCCGACAACCAGATGGGCTCAGAGCAGCCATTTGGGAGTCAAGGCCTTTCCTTGGTGCTGGAGCCTTCTGTGTATCCCATGCTGGTGTTGGAGGTGCCTTGGCTGCCTTTGTTCAGTAGTCATGACCTTGGACAGGTCTCCAGGACCTCTTGCTGCCCCTGGCTACAGTAGCCATTGAAAAGTAAAAACATAAATGCAGCCTTGGGTTAGGCACTTGTTAGGTGTAAGTAGCAGGAGACTGCTTTATAAGACAGAATAGATAGGGAATATGTCCATGGTTGAAAAGAATTCTTCCAGGCAATGCTGGTCTCTCCCCTACCCCAAGACCTTTACTCAGCAGGTGTTTCCTAAACACCTCTACTATAGACCAGACAGGCATGAAGCAACATTAAGGACAGCCCACGGGCCCACCATGTTAGCCTAGCAACTAAAGCCAATGTCTTGCACTTGTTGGTATCCCATTTGGCCACCAGTTCCAATCCTGGCCACCCTGCTTCAGTCAAGGATGGCCCAAAGCCTTGGGACTCTGTGCGCCCATGTGGGAGACCTAGAAGAGACTCCAGCTCCTGGCTTCAGATTGGCACAGCTGCAGCCATTGCAGCCACTTGGGGAGTGAATAAACAGAAGGAATATCTTCCTCTCTGTTTCTCCTCCTCTCTTTATATCTGACTTTCCAATAAAAATAAAATAAATCTTAAAAAAAAAAAAAAAGAAAAGAAAAACAAACCATAGCCCTTGGGAGAGATATGTACTCATTTTATCAATAAATATTGAACCCTGATTTTGTGTCAGATAGTTCCCAGCATGGGGTACACAACAGGCAAAACTGATACAGTTCTTTACTCAAGCATGCTTAAAATTACATATCCTGGAGCCAAATTCCCCAAGTTTAACTCTTGTCTCAACACTAACTAGTAACTCTGTGATGAGGTTACCTAAGCCATCAGTGCCTCAGTCTTGTCTTCTGTGAAATGGAGATGTCCTAGGCACTTCAGGAGACCATCCCTGGGAAGTATTGCAGCTGACAGGGCGACACACCAAGCCCCACAGAAGGCTCCAGTGAGATCTCGAGGGAGCCTGTGAGCCGTGTGTGAAGGCCTTCATGGATATGAGGACACAAGGTTGGAGATCAGCATGGGGTCGCAGGGCACTGTAGGACCCTCCTCCTGTTGACCATGGAAATGAAGCTTCTTTATTCACCTTGTGTGGTGAAAGCCAATTTTGGGCAGAAAGGTGTCTGACCTGACTTTTTAGGAGATCACTTTGGCTGCTGTGTAGCAATAAGTTGTAGGAGTCCAGAGTGGAAGCAGGGAGATTTTTTTTAATCTGTGCAAGTGGCAGATGATGGTGTTCTAAATTTGGATGTTGATAGCAGGGATGGTAAAAAGGGGTTGCCTAGGCACCTGAGTGTAATGCTGCCATCATTGCTTACTCCAGGGTGCCTGTTAGAATTATCTGAGGTTGGGAGGGCTGCAGGAAGAACAGATTGGGAAAAATAAATTTAAAAAAAGAACAGATTGGGGACCCAAAGTCAAGAGTTGGGTGTGCATATCAGGACTCCTGGTAGGTGTCCAAATGGAGATGTTGAGAAGGGCCATTTTGGCTGCACAGAGCAAAGAGGAAGCATGGGAGGACGTGCAATACAGGACCAGATGTTTTCCTCACTGGACTGGTGACTCTTTGCTCAGGAGCAGTGTGGACCAGGCTGTTGGGAAAAGGAACTGCTCCATCTGACTAGGTCCTCCCTGGACCAGGCTCAGCAGTTACGTGAAGCTTGTGTATATGCAGTAAGAAAGTTTCTCACTGTAGACCACAATTGGACTAATCCACCCTGTGCAGTTGAGATGTAAAACAGTTTATTGTTAGAAGAATGGAGAACAGAGGCGTCCTTTGTGCTATGGGGAGTGAGTTGCTGACCTAGGTGTACACTCAGACCATGCCTATCCTAGGGGTTTAGTTCATGACACTTCTTCATGCTTTTCCTCTCCCTCTGTAGGATCTCACCATCCCTGAGTCTAGTACCGTGAAGGGGATGATGGCTGGATCAATGGCCGCGTTTAAATGGCAGCCGACAGTGAGCGAGGTAAAGAGCCGTCCTGGGGCAGCATGGCTGCTGGGGAAGAACTGCACGCCCCTCTTTTCCTTTTCCCTTTTGTCTGTGAGATTTGTTTACTACAAAACAGTGCAGAAACCCATGAGGTTAAAAAGTAAAGCTCTCCCTGCATTGGGGTCAGTACTTCTACTGAAAATAAGGGGTCCTAGACCATTTTGATCTCCTGCCATCATCTGACTGGCCACCTGTCCATGCCTGCTCTGGCTGGACATAGGATTGCTTTTCACAAAAGTGAGTTCATGCCACAAAAGTTCCTTGAATCCTTACTCACCTCCCTGCCCCTTGTCCGTAAGTACAACACTGATCAGCAGTGTAGGATGTTACCCTGTGTGACAGCACCCACAGCTGGATGCCACCTCACTGAGACAAGACCTTCACAGGTCTGCGAGCAGATACAGTAGGCTAAACCCTAAATTCAGAAGAGTTGATACAGCTTAGTGTGTTTGTCTTCTTAAGTGCCTCGCGAATACCAAATTTTAAAAATGTGAGTTTACTTTTTAATATTTTCCTCAGTGTGGGGATAATTTGTAGATGAGTCTAACAGCAACTATATTTCTTCCCACTTGAAGCTAGTTTTCCTCTGGCTGGAACAGGGGTTGTATATGAAAGGCTAAACCAAACATCGGAAAGGAGTTTCCAGACAGTTGGTAAAAAAAAAATGTATATCCCAGAAGTGTTTCAGTTAAGGGAGAGTCCAGTTACAAGGCAGAAGGAAGTAATCTTTGCTGGAAAATAACTTGTTTTATTTTGTCGTTTTCTGGTTTCAGCCCGTTAAAGATGCAGACCCTCATTTCCATCACTTTCTCCTGAGCCAAACAGAGAAGGTGAGTTGCTGTTTAAGGCTCTTGGTCACTGGTCAGGGGCTGGCTGGAAGGGAAAGCACTGCTGCCTGGTGACCTCACCCTGCTGGTGACACTGGGCCTGTATGTTGTCCAAAGCACTGAGCTAGAAAGTCCCAGGTAAGCCCACTTGAGAATTAGGCATCATTAAGATTAAACATAAACCAGACACAAAGAAGTAAAAAGTATTTAAAACTCAGGCAGATGTGCGGTGTAGACTTTCACAGTTAACTTTGGAGTCATGATTAGCAACAAGACATCATGCGAAGCCAACCCTCATGAAGGTGCTGTGTGCCCAACACCCATATCCCAACGCTCACTGATCAGAGCAGCATCCAGCCATGTAGATATGCAGGAAATGGTCTGTGAGGCCGTGGATTAGGCTGCACTTTGCCTGCACCCAGTGTTAGTTTGTGGCTTGAAAGTTAAAGACGGCAGCTGTCCAGGTGCGCTGACCAGCTCTGGAACTGTGCACGTGACTTTAGGCCTCTAGTTTCCAGTGTCATGGTCAGCAAAAGAACAGTGTGAAGAACTGTTAACTTTCCACTCTGTTTAAAATTCAGTAAAATTTCACAACAGTAAGTATTTAATGTTAATGTTCCACTTAAGTCCTAGCCTTTTAAAGAACGTTCAATTTGACAAGCAGTCTTTTTCCTCTCTCTATTAGCCAGCTGTCTGTTACCAGGCAATCACGAAGAAGTTGAAAATATGTGAAGAGGTATGTTAGGTTCTACACCTCCCCATTTTCCTTTTCACCTGGGACCTTGGCATGGGTAGACTGCAGTGATGATTTTTGCTTCCTGTTCCTAGGAAACCGGTTCCACCTCTATCCAGGCAGCAGACAGCACAGCTGTGAATGGCAGCATCACACCCACGGACAAAAAGTAAGAACTGGTGAAAAAGTTTCTGGTGGCGTGGGTTCTGCAGGGTGGAGCCCTGTGACCCCACAGGGGCATCAGCTAAGGGTAGTGTTCCAGCCCTGCCTGAGCAGCAGAGATTCTGCACAGGTGATATGGATATGATTGTGGAGGGTTAGTACAGGGCTCAAGCATAGAGCCTGCAGAGGACATTTAGAACTTGGGGAGGAAACAACACAATGTAGTCAAAAATAAAGAATTGTCCTATTCCAGGAATGGAAATGAAGTATAAGAACCAGAAGACACTGGGGCAAGATAAAAGTCATGTTGGTAGCAACTAGGCCCCCAGTTTCTGGGATACATGTAGGAGCAGCCTGAGGAAGTCCAGATTAGCAGAGCATGTCACAGAAGGACTGTAAGGTTCTGTAACTTAGAGAGCACTTCAGGCAGTTAACAGGAGAGACAAAAGACGGGCATGGAGCAAGAATTGAGTATTGGAAAAAATCAATTCCAAAGCCTGGATAAAGGACTTACCTTTGAAAAGGATGGAGAAGGCTGCAACTCTTGTAACAAGAGGGAAGCTGGAAGGGCAAAGAGTTAAGAGCCAGGAGGACAGAAGCTGGCAGAGGGTATGAGAACTAGGGCTGTTTCCAGCAGGAGAGGAAGTGGTTCGCGTGACTTTCATGGATCAAGACATGACTTATAGAGCATCTAGGCCTAGCTCTGCGGCAGGGAGCTGGTTAGGAAATTATTTGAAGAGGTAAAAACCAGTGTCCACCTGCTCACCATAATAGGATTGTTGGTGCAGACCCTCAGAGCAGCAGAACAAGATTTGGAAGTCCTCTGGAACTGTACTAGTCACACTTGCTGTATGGCAGTTGAAGGTTTAAGAAATGATTACTTAGAAGCCGCTGAACTTGACCGGACTATGAGATGCTGGACTCTATGCTTGGTGTATGCTTGCAATGAAAGAATCTCAACTAAACCTGAACTGTGGTTGTGCAACAGGGGGGAGGAGCCCACCATGGGGGAAGGGCTAGGGAGAGGGATGGGGGGAATCCCAGTGTCTGTATAGAACTGTGTCACATAATACAATGTAATTAAAAAATACATATTAAAAAAAAAAGAAATGACAAGCTTAAAAAAAAAGAAAGAAATGATTGCTTAAGTTTAGGAACACTCATGGACCATGGCATAAAAGGTACAATTTCAGTGCAGTGCCCTTGGTTTGTCACAATGTGGATATTCCTGGCCATATGAGGCCCACCTCCAAGGTTTCTTTGCAGGGGCAAGCCTTGTGTGCAAGAAAACATCTTCTAGTCCCTCCCATTCCATCCAGGAATGATCAGTGTCTCTCTTTCAGGATAGGATTTTTGGGCCTTGGTCTCATGGGAAGTGGCATCGTCTCCAACTTGCTAAAAATGGGTCACACAGTGACTGTCTGGAACCGGACTGCAGAGAAAGTAAGCCTCAAGGGGGGTGTCTGTCAGGCAGCTGTGGAGCTGGGTTAGCTCTCTGCTGGCCTGGTGGGGCCACTGGCCATGCCTGGCTGTGAATACTTAAAATGTGGCTAGCATAACTGAAGAACTGAATTTTTCCTTAGTTTTATTTAAGTAACCTTGTGTCTAAGGACTACTGTATTGGATTATGTGCCATATTGGACAGTTCAGAAGTTCTTATGTTTTTTAAATATTGATTTCTTTATTTGAAAAGAAAGAGATCAGGCCCAGCGTGATAGCGTAGTGGTTAAGGTCCTCGCCTAACACGCCCCGGATCCCATATGGGTACCAGTTCTAATGGCCTGCTTCCCCACGTGGGAGACCCGGAAGAAGCTCCAGGCTCCTGGCTTCAGATTGGCACAGCTCCAGCCTTTGTGGCTACTTGGGGAGTGAACCATATGATGGAAAATCTTCCTCTCTGTCTCTCCTCTCTGTATATCTGACTTTCCAATAAAAATAAATAAATCTTTTAAAAAATATATTTATTAAAAAAAAAAGAAAAGAAAGAGATCATCCAACCACTGGTTCACTCCTTAAATAGCTGTAATAGCTAGAACTTGGACATCCCAAAAGCAGAAGCCAGGAACTCCACCCAGGTCTGAAGCACTTGTACCATTGCTGCTTCCCTAGGCACATTAGCAGGGAGCTGGGTCACAAATGGAGCTTCGGAACCTGCTTATTGAGACAGAAATGCAATTTTTTTTTCATAAAGATGTTTGCTAGTGTCATCTATAGTATTTCTAATAATATAAAGTGTCATTTATAAAAAGAAAGCAGACTATAATGGACACGTGAGTTGTATAAAACACAAATTTTTTAAATATGAAACTGTACAAAATAGCAGGCTCAGAGTTTTCCAGTTACTTTTTAAAATACTTACAAAAAAAAGAAATATGCCAAAATATTAATGATTTTTTATAGGGTTCTAATGATTTTGGTTTTTGGAAAAGTGTTTTTATACTCTGCAGAAATCGTAAGCTGATAGTAATGTCAGAAAAGAACCAGTGCTGCCAGCCCACTCCCCGTTTGTGCACAGCCCTGGCGGCTCAAGGCCCAGAGCGCCTGCAGAGCGGTGCCACTCAGACCTTCAGGATACACCTATTTGATGCTTCCTGCGAAGTAGTGCATTGTTCTGGGCTCCAGGGATGCACTGACACAAAACATCATGTGGGCTTCCCTCTAACTCTGGTGCCATAAGGAGGCTGGCCAGTGGACTGACCTGCAGTCTCTGGCCTGGCTAATAGGCTTGTGCACAACCTGAGCTCACATGAGGATCTATGACTTTTGCAGTGTGATTTGTTCATCCAGGAGGGGGCCCGCCTAGGAAGAACCCCCGCTGAAGTTGTTTCAACTTGTGACATCACTTTCGCCTGTGTGTCGGATCCTAAGGCAGCCAAGGATGTAAGGATCCCCAGGGAATGTCTTCCCCCTCTGGGTAAGGGGATGGATTCCCCAGTCTAAGGATGTTTTAATATGGACTTCCTTGATGTCAAAACAGAAAGTGAAAATCAGTAGAAAGTCAGCAGTAAAATGATCCCTGAACAGGTTTCATGTCAAGTTGGAAGCTTCGGTGCTGTGTGTGAATTTGGTCCCTGTGTGTCATGTGTTTAATTTACATACATCCAAAGAATCCCCAGAGATACTAAGGTTTTGTCATTTTAAGGGTGGGGACAGTTAGAGCAACAAAAGCATATTGGAAATGCTTTTCTGTCCCTTATGTATTTAATGGCTCTTTCCTTTTTAGCCTTAATTGTTAACTCCTAATCTGGAAATGAGCCACAAAGCAACAGGATTTTTATTTCAAGAATCTGGGGTTTCTGGAGTACCTAGTGGGGAGCCTGGGCTATTGCTTCTCCCTTGTATCCCCACAGCTGGTGCTGGGCCCCAGTGGTGTACTGCAAGGGATTCGCCCGGGAAAGTGCTACGTGGACATGTCAACAGTGGACGCTGACACTGTCACCGAGTTGGCCCAGGTAGCAGCCTTGTCCAGCCTGGCTCTCCAGCATGTTTTTAGTTGGAGCACAAGACCACCAAGGCTAAGTGCGCATCACTGTATGCAGTTGGGTGACTCAATCCAAAGCCAGAGAGAGCAGAGTCCTGGGGTTGGCCTGGCATGCTTTACTCTCCACTCTCAAAGCTGCAGCATGTTTGCACTCTGATGGGGCAGGGCTGTCAGATCCTATGGCTGCCACCTTTACAATGAGAAGAAGTCCAGGCTGTGAACTTGTCCTGTCTGGCTTATTAAGCTGCCTGCGATTGACACTAGATTGAAGTGTTCCATCTCCCCAAGTGTCAGGGAGCAATGACTTTTGACCCAGGTATGTTCTTAATGTGGAGGATGTCAGGGTTGGGCAGTGTCCAAGGGGAGCTGTGTTTGAACTACGGTTGTATGGTTGTATTTGGCTTTAGTCTTTTAAGAAATTGAGGATAAGTGAGAACCTGTGTGAGACTCTAGCTGTTGTCTCGTTACTGTCATGTGGCTCATGACCTGGTTCTTCACCATGTTTATCCTGAATGCAGGAGTTAGCTTTGAGACCTCAGCCTGGGTGGTTTGTGCCTCTTTAATTGGGGGAGGTGTGATGAGAAACCATGCTCCGACTCTCTTGGAGTTGCAAGGCCTCCAGAAGCTGTGACTTTCCCTTCCAGGTGATTGTGTCCAGGGGGGGCCGCTTTCTGGAAGCCCCAGTCTCAGGGAATCAGCAGCTGTCTAATGATGGGATGTTGGTGATCTTAGCTGCCGGAGACAGGGGCTTGTACGAGGACTGCAGCAGCTGCTTCCAGGCGATGGGGAAGACCTCCTTCTTTTTAGGTAACGTGCCTGCCCACCCGTTGGGCCACGTCAGGCCTGGAGGCTGGGGGGCCACATCTCCCCACACTGCTGACAGCGTCCATCTTGCACGGCCTCTCTGCCGGGCACCCCCAGGGAAGGTTTCCTTTGGCTTGCACAGTCAGTGCCTGGAAGGAGGAAGAGCCAGTTCTGTCGGGGGCAGGTGAATGGGGCTCCCCTTGGTGCAGAGGTGGGTCTGAGCAGGGATGAGGGTGGGCAGAAGAGGCCCAAACTGGAGACTTATTCATATGTGACCATGACTCTTTGCACTGTCCAGGTGAAGTTGGTAACGCAGCCAAGATGATGCTGATTGTGAACATGGTCCAAGGGAGCTTCATGGCCACCATCGCTGAGGGACTGACCCTGGCCCAGGTGACCGGACAGTCACAACAGACGCTCTTAGATATCCTTAATCAGGGACAGTTGGCCAGCATCTTCCTGGACCAGAAGTGTCAAAGTAAGTTGCCTTTGACATCTGCTTGCATCTTATTTTTGAGGAGAGCTGGGGGCGCTGGGTTGGATAGCTGTCAGTTCAGCGTTCACTGGCTCTGAAAGATGGACATCTTTCCAAGCAGTCTGTGTCCCTGGGCGGCAGAGGTTCAGAGCCATGCTGGATGGATTTGGGGATGTGGGCTGGTAGCTCTCTTTTCTTGGATATTAGAGTTCGGGAGAAAACAGAAGGTCTATGCTAAACAAATGTTGGGTGTTGAACTCTGAGGTGCTACAAGAACTTTTATTTAGGATATCTGCATTCCTTCTGATCATTGATATTTTTTCCTCTTCAGATATCCTACAAGGAAACTTTAAACCTGATTTCTACCTGAAATACATTCAGAAGGATCTTCGCTTAGCCATTGCACTGGGTGATGCCGTCAACCATCCAACTCCTATGGCAGCTGCAGCCAATGAGGTAACTGGGCAGAGGGTGTGGCTCAGGCCTCCGAACCAGTGCCCATGGGGGATGCTGGCACCACAGGCCAAACTTTCACAGTTTGGAAGGAAGAACTTTCACAGTTCTTCCTTTTTTGCTTTTCTTCCTGGACTTTGTGTCTTCTCTTCTTTCCTTGTCTCTAGGAACATTTGAGTGCTTCCTGGGTTGTCTCAAAACTGCAGTGCTATTTCAAGGCCCTCATTCATTTTTATTTTTTTATTTTGTTTTGTTTTTAAGATTTATTTCTTTTTTTTTTTTATTTTTTTTTATTTTTTTTTTTATTTTTATTATTGGAAAGGCGGATATACAGAGAGGAGAGACAGAGAGGAAGATCTTCCGTCCGATGACTCACTCCCCAAGTGAGCGCAACGGCCGATGCTATGCCAATCCGAAGCCAGGAGCCTCTTCCAGGTCTCCCGCGCGGGTGCAGGGTCCCAAAGCTTTGGGCTGTCCTCGACTGCTTTCCCGGGCCACAGGCAGGGAGCTGGAAGGGAAGCGAGGCTGCCGGGATTAGAACCGGCGCCCATATGGGATCCCGGGCCGTGCAAGGTGAGGACCTTAACCACTTGTGCCACCGCGCCGGGCCCAAGATTTATTTCATTTTTGTTGCAAAGTCAGATATATAGAGAGGACAGACAGGGAGGAAGATCCTCTAGCCATTGGTTCATTCCCCAAGTGACCGCAATGGCCGGTGCTGCACTGATCTGAAGCCAGGAGCCTGGAGCTCTTCCGAGTCTCCCACACAGATGCAGAATCCCAAGGCTTTGGGCCATCCCTACTGCTTTCCCAGGACACAAGCAGGGAGCTGGATGGGAAGTGGAGCTGCTGGGATTAGAACCGGTGCCCATATGGGATCCTTGCACATTGAAGCGGAGGACTTTAGTTAGCTGCTAGACCACCACATTGGGCCCTGGCCCACATTCGTTGCACTTGTGACTTCCCTGAGCAGTGAATGGTTCTCTGTATTTTACAGTGTGTATTTGTATAAAAGAGCCATTCAATTGCAGGGACTTCTAAAGAGTTCCCCTTGTAACTTGGGCTGGGAAAGCATCTCTTTGAAGTGGTTTACATGTTGCTTCTGCCCTGACTGCAGGATTTGTTGGCTTGGAAGCAGCTTATGGTTAATTTCTCAGTAGAACCTGGTGCTTTCAGGCCTTAGCCTTATGTGAATTTAGGCTGCACATTCCTGGGAGTTGGGAGGTCAGGCAGGTATGATTGGCCTAGTCAGTTAATGTTCAGTGGCTATTGATAGATGCTTGCACTTGGAGTTTCTGCCTTATCAGCTGAGATCTGGGTATTAACTTTCACAGTTCTTCCTTTTTTGCTTTTCTTCATATAGTTGACATTTTTTTATAATTCCATTTTTATTTATTGGACTTTTAAAATATATTTATTTTTATGTATTAGAGACAGACGGACAGTGAGAGGCAGCCAGAGAACTTGGCCTTTGCTAGTTTTATGTTTAAATGCCGGGCCAGGCTGAAACTGAAAGCCAGGCGGTCAACCCAGGTCTTGCTGGGGTGACAGAAAACCAAGTACCTGAGCCGTTTCCTGCTGCCTTTCTGGATGAGCATCAGCAAGAAGTGGCATTCTAGAGTGGAACTGCAAAGTGAACCCAGGCACCCTAGAGCTTCCTTGCGTTACTACTTTAGTGTTTCTTCTGGCAATTATGATATATGTTCTTACCTTCGCAACCTAATTCAATTCATCTTGCATTATTTCATGGAAAACACAGCTACAGAGATCTGTTTTATGCCTCCTTTAAGCAAGAGTTCTCACCCTTGGCACTCCTGGCATTGAATGGGAGAGTTTGTCCTGAGTTTTGCTTGAGTTTGGCAGCGTCCTTCCCCTCCACTCAGAGATGCCACTGTCACTCTGCTACTTGACATTGTCTCCAGATGATAGTAAGTGTCCCCTGGTGCAGATTTGCCATGCTGAAAACCCTCAAGGGAGAGCTCATACTGTGGAGCGCAGATATCCTGTGCACACTTCTGCTTCTGTCTTAATCCCGTCAGACAGTGGTGTGACTTTGGCTTGAGGCGGTTATAGCTGGGGCTGGCCCCATGGTATAGATGGGTAAGCCTTATCCTGTGGCGCTGGCATCTCGTCTGGGTTCCAGTTCAAGTCTCAGCTGCTCCACTTTCAATCCAGCTCCCTGCTAATGCACCTGGGAAAGCAGCAGAAGGTGGTCCAAGTCCTTGGACCCCTGTTCCCATGTGGAGGACCCAAAAGAAGCTGCAAGCTCCTGGTTTCAGATTGTCTGAGCTGCAGCCATTGCAGCCATTTGGGGAGTGAACCAGCAGATGGAAGATCTCTGTTTCTCCTTCTCCCTATAAATCTACCTTTCAAATAAAAATAAATTTTTTTTTTTTTTTTAGATTTATTTTTATTATTTTTTTTATTGGAAAGGCAGATATACAGAGAGGAGAGAGAGAGAGGAAGATCTTCCGTCCGATGATTCACTCCCCAAGTGAGCGCAACGGGCCGATACTATGCCGATCCGAAGCCAGGAGCCTCTTCCGGGTCTCCCACGCGGGTGCAGGTTCCCAAAGCTTTGGGCCATCCTCGACTGCTTTCCCGGGCCACGGGCAGGGAGCTGGAAGGGAAGCGGGGCTGCCGGGATTAGAACCGGCGCCCATATGGGATCCCGGGCGTGCAAGGCGAGGACCTTTAACCACTTGCGCCACCGTGCCGGGCCCAAATTTTTTTTTTTTAAGAAAAACAAAAATTTTGAGTTTTTTTGCACTAAAATAAACTTCTCTTTAAAAAAATAAAGGTATTTGAAGGACAGCGTCAACAGCAAGAGAGATGTTTCATTTATTGGTATACTGTCCAAATGGTTGCAATGGCAAAAGCTGGGCCAGTCCAGAGCCAGGAGCTGCTTCCAGGCCTCCCATGAGGCTGCAGGGGCCTGATACTTGTATCTTCTTCCTCTGTTTTCTAAAACATTAGCAGGAAGTTGGATGGCATGGACTTGAACTGCTTCCATATGGGATCCTCAGCACTGCTAGTGGCTGAGACAGCCCCTTTGTAATTCTCGTCAAGTCTTTCATATTTACCTTGTGTCTCAAGGCACCTTTAGTTGCCAAGCATACTCCTCTACACCCTGGGGATGCTTTGCAATACAGTTAGCTCCTTTCTTTCCTTAAACACTTAACTTTGCAATGGAAGGAGATACAATATAGCAGCAAAAGCACTTGAACAAAACAAGTTTAGAGCATTTTAAGAATACAGTAAAGGGGAACCTGGTAGAATGGTGCAGCAGACTAATCCTCTGCCCTCTGGTGCTGACATCCATTCCAGCTATCTGCTTATGGCTGAGAAAGCAGTAGAGGATGGTTCAGGTTCTTGAAACTCTACATCGAAAAGAAGTTCCTGGATCCCAGCTTTGAATCAGTTTAGTTCTGTTGTTGTAGCCATTTGGGGAGTGAACCAACAGCCAGAAGAATTTCTCTCTTTGCCTCTCTCCCGCTCTCCTTCTCTCCTTTTTTCCCTATAAAATCTACCTTTTTTAAAAAAATGCAGTAAGGTCCAGCGCAGTAACCTAGCGGTGAAAATCCTCACCTTGCAAGCACCAGGATCTCATATGGACACTGGTTCTAGTCCCGGCAGCCCCACTTCCCATGCAGCTCCCTGCTTGTGGCCTGGGAAAGCAGTCAAGGACAGCCCAAGGCCCTGGAACTCTGCACCCATGTGGGATACCCATAGGAGGCTCCTGGCTCCTGGCTTTGGATCAGCACAGCTCTGGTTGTTGTGGCCGCTTGGGGAATGAATCATCACATGAAAGATCTTTCTGTCTATCCTCTCTGTATATCTAACTTTTCCAATAAAAATCATAAAAATTTTTTAAATGCAAAAAAGATATCATCAGGGTGTAGTGGGGGTACAGCTGCCTCATCCAGTGGGTGCTCCTAGAGAAACAGCCAGCATTGTGAGAGGAGCACATCTCATGCAGAGTATGGCCAGGCCAAGGACACACAGAAGACTCAGGACATCTTGGGAGGGTCATCTGTAGGAAGGGGCTTTATTAGCAGTTACTGCCAAGACTCAGCAGTCTTCACACACCTCTGTAGAGGTCACTGTTGTTGCTTGCTGCAGACCAAACACCACTGAGGGCTTAGGAAACTGTTGCAAGACCCATTCAGGATGCATACCAACAGCCACAATCACAGTCCCGAAACCTACTTGCCTCACTAGAGGCTCATCTCTACTTTGGTTTTACTTGCAGGTGTACAAAAGAGCGAAGGCACTGGACCAGTCTGATAATGACATGTCTGCCGTGTATCGAGCCTACATCCACTAAACCATCAACAGCCACCCTGCCCCTCTACTCTTTCCTCTGACCCCTCTTCCTCACATGGGGTCGAGGTCCTGGGACTTCAGTCTGGACCAGTCCATCTGTCTGTATTTCTTTTATAGACTTTGAAATTTGCCATCAGCACAGCACACAGAACCCCTCCCTGAGGCCCTGGGGAGGGAAAGACATCAGCAGGATTAGCTTATAGCAAAGCTCTTGAGCTGGGTGCTGGACCCAGACGCACAGTCTCTCACCCCTGGATAGAAACTGCCCAGAAACTGCTGCCTGGCTTCATTTCTTCCTCTAAACTTGACCTCCGAACCCTTCCAGCCAAGGACCTCGAATCAGCAGCAACCATGGAAGCCTTCCACAGCTCTCTGCAGTAGGAAGAGGCTGTGGTGTCCACACACCTGCTGGATCCCCTGCAGGGAGAGGCTCTGGGCCCAGGTGAGCCCAAACAGACCCCAAACAAAGGATCCCACAGGACCACCAGCCTCAGGTGAGCAAACGAGCAAGAATTTCTTGTCAGACAGCAGCGTACAACCCAACTTGCCATCGACACCTTTGTGAACTCAAAACGTCTGAAGACTGGCCAAGTCCTGCCGAGACAGGGATCGGAAGCCCACACCCTTCACTGCTGCTCAGCGTGCCTGGCCGTGCAGCCCTGAGCTGGCCAAGAGCCTTGCTTCCCTGCCGGGAGCCTGCTCCTCACCAGGCTATTAGTGTGTGGATCTGCATTCCAACCCTTGGGAAGAATGGAAGGAGACAGAAGTTCCTTCCTGTTTCCGTTATGCCACAGACATGTCAGCTGGCTCTGAAGAGAGGCACTGTGCTCCAGGCCCCTCCTTGCTCCCACCTTCTCCACTCTGCCCTGCACGGCCCCCGCATGCCCCTCTGCCTTCTGCTCCCTTTCCCCCAGGTAGACAGTGTTTCTGTCTGACCCAGACCAGCCTGACCAGTGGTGAGCCGCCTTGGGCTCAGCTTTGCTTCAGGAATGCGAGTGTCTTCACTCCAGCCAGCATCACATTGCGTGGTCCTTGGTGCTCCCCAGGCCCGGGGCCTGCCCTAACCTGAACTGACTGACCGCAGAGGTGGTCTGGGACAGCCTGAGGCCCTGCCTTTCTCCTTGCACCAGGGACCAGAAGGGGCTTCAAGTGCTGATAAGAACAAGGAGAAATCACCCAAAGGATGTCTGGTTTTTTTCCCTTCTGTGTGGGTTGGGGTTTCCAAAGTCACAATTTGTAGAAGGTCAGCATTTATAGTGAAATCTATATAACTATATATATATATATATATATATATATATATGAGTTGGTCATGGTGGGGTGAGGCCTCCTCACAACCTTGCCCATTTTTCACCGATTAAAAACCTGTATTGGAGGGTCTCAGAAGACATTGAGGGAGGGCAGGGGAGAAGCCCTTGGGGGTTTCACGCAGTTGTTTATTCCACTGGGATTTGGGGCTCCCTTGTAGAGTCCTGGGGATGTTGAGGGGTAGCAATGGGGGACATGCTGTAATGAAACCGGTTAGTCAATGTTGTCTTAATATTGTTGACAATTCTGTAAAGTCCCTTTTTAAGAATATTTCTGTTTAAGATATTTCACCTTTGTTTTGAAATCCTTCCCTTCTAAAGAGAAAATGTGACATTTGTGAAAAAGCTTGTAAGAGAGCCCCTCCCCCGTTTTTTTTCCTTTAAGCCTCCTTTAAACGACAAATCTAGGTAATTAAGGTTGTGAATTTTTATTTTTGCTTTGTTTTTAATGAACATTTGTCTTTCAGAATAGGATTGTGCGATAATGTTTAAATGGCAAAAACATGATTTTGTGCAATTAACAAAGCTACTGCAAGAAAAATAAAACATTTCTTGGTAACACAGCTATGCGCATCAATCTGTTGATTGCTTTGACTGGCGCCGGCCGCCGGTGATCCCGGTGTCCAGGCAGAGGGGAGGAAGAGGCCAGGGCCCATGGAGACAGGACAGCCCGGCCGGGGGAGTGTCCGGCGGACAGCAGGCTCCGCCTGCCCCCACCTAGCGGGCCAATGGGGAAGGCGAGCGCCAGCCGACTGCTCCGCGGGCCAATCAGCGGTCGCAAATGGAGCACGGCTCCCGTCCTGGGCGGCGTGGGGCGGGGCCAGCTCCCGACGCTCCCGCCTGAGGTCTCCGCAGAACGTTCGGCGCTTGAGGCTGGTGCCGGCCGCTGCGGGTGGGTCTGCGCAGCCGCCAGGCTCATTCCAGGGCTTTCGCAGGCCTCGTGAGCCAGGGCGGGTCCAGGGACGCCGACCAATCGCCGGTACGGAGGCTGCCTGTGGGGGGCGGGACTTCAGGCGCGCAGCCAATCCGTGGCAGGGAAGGAGGCGGAGCCGGTCGCCGCACAGGGGCTCCCGACCCGCGGGCGACCTGCTTGAGGGGCAGGCAACCGGCAGCGATGGCGACAGCGGCCGCGATGACAGCGACGGCGGCCGAGCGGGCCGTGCTGGTGAGTCGCAGGCGTCGGGCGCGGGCTGCGGGCGGTGGGGCCGGGCCGTGACCGCGCGCTGTCCCGGCAGGAGGAGGAGTTCCGCTGGCTGCTGCACGACGAGGTGCATGCGGTCCTGAGGCAGCTGCAGGACATCCTCAAGGTAAGCGCGCCTCCGCCCCTGTGACCGGCTGCTCTGCCCCTCGCCGGCTCGCCGCGCCTAGCTTCCTTCACCCCGGGGCTGAGTCCTGTCAGGGCAGCAAGGCCCAGCCGCGCCGCAGGGGCCGCTCCGCCTGAGTCTTGCCCGGGGAGGGAGCGGGGAGCACAAGGACATGGCCGGGCCGTCGCCGCCGTTGCTCAGCCCCTGTGGGCCAGCTTTCTTCCTCATTTGTACGGGGAAGGTGATGGGACTCGGGTCCCAAGGCTCTGCAGTGGATGTACAGAAGCAGGAATGTCTAGCATAGTGCCTGGTGGGGCCCAGAACTATGGGGTGGTCATCCGGGTCCACCTCTCCGCGCTCTTTGGTGGACATGCAGGGGGCTCTCAGAGCATGTGGACAGGGAGGGAGCAGCACGGTGGGAAAGCACCCCGGGTTTGCCTTGTCCCTCTTCCCGCCTGACCCAGGGGTTGGGGGCATCTGGGAGGAGCACGGGATGGGACTTGAGTGGCTTTCACATGGCTCCCTTCTGTCTGTCCTGCAGGAGGCCTCTCAGCGTTTCACTCTCCCTGGCTCCGCTGCTCAGGGGCCAGCCAAGCAGGAAAACTTCATCTTGGGCAGCTCTGGGTGAGGCTGGCCTGAGATGGGCTGCTGGGGTACCCTGAGGGGCTGTGGAGGAGGGCTCTGCTCTGACACCCCACAACCCACCTGTTGCAGCACAGACCAGGTGAAGGGTGTGCTGACTCTGCAGGGGGACGCTCTCAGCCAGGCGGTAAGCCCCTGTCCCTCAGCGGTCCCCCACTTGCTGAGTCCAGCTCTGCTGCTCTCTACCTGAGTGCCTTAGCAGGACCTGAGCCTCTCTGACTTTGGTCTCCCCATTGGGTTTATGTGAATCCATTGAGAGCTGCAACAACTGGGAGCCCAGAGTTGCTTGGCATGCAGCCTGGCTGGCATCTGGGCCCCTGTAGAGTGTGAACACTGGTGTGGCATAAGGTTGCCCCCAGATATCAAATGAGCCACCATCTGAGCCCCTGTTCCATCCCTGTTGCATGACAATCACCATTTTCCCGTCATCATGGAAGAGGCCACAGACCTTTCCGCTCCTAACCCTTTCTCAGTTTGTTTTTCGCCACTCTGGGGCCTGACTTCCTGTTTCCTAGCCTCCATCTCCAACACCACGCAGCCAAGGCCTTGGTTGGAAGGCTCTTAGCCATGCCAGCTGGCTGGGGCCTGAGCCACTGCAATTGTCACACACCCTAGTCCTTCATTCCTATCCCAGCTGAAGGGCCAAAAGCAGCTGTGAGTGGGTGGGGTGGGGAAGGGTCCATGGGCTGGGCTTACCCGCTGTGGCCTGTCAGGATGTGAGCCTCAAGATGACCCGGAGCAGCCAGTTGCTGCACTTCGCCTTCCGAGAGGACAAGCAGTGGAAACTGCAGCAGGTAATCAACCTAGTCCAGCCAGGCTTCAGCAACAAGGCAAGCAGAGGCAAGCCCAGGTGCTGAGTCTGCCTGAGGTCAGCCACAGTGGAGATGCTCTGGCTGTGGGGACTGGAGGCCACAGTAAGCCTCGGAGGGTGTGATCTGTGTAGGGACCAGCCATCCCCCTCCACTACACCCCGGGAGGGGATCATTGAGAACTACACAGAGTCTCTGGGGGTGTCCCTTGGCTCCTGGATCAGATGAGTCCATGCTGCCTACAGCTTCAGATCAGCTGGGCCCACTCTCCCTGCCCCATCTGCTCCATCTCCAGGCTGGTCTCTGGCAAAGCCTTTGTCTGTGCCCCTTCCCCTGGGTACAGTCCTCTCCCCTCCCCACTCATACCCTGTTTGCTTCCTTCTGGCAGTCGTGCAGAGTGTGATTACCCAGCATGTTTACTCTCAATTGTCTCGCCTCTAGAAGGTGAGCTTCTGGGGGCAGAGCCAGGCCTGCACACCCCACACTGCACCCAGCCAGGCAGGGTAGGGAGGAACCCATGTGCATGGGGCCCGGCAGAGGCCCTGTGCAGAAGCAGCTCCAAAGCCAAAGCCAGCAGAGTGTGGCTCAGTGACCACTGAGTGGGCTGTGTTTTCAGATCCAGGATGCCAGGAACCACGTAAGCCAAGCCATTTACCTCCTCACCAACCGGGAAGAGAGCTACCAGTTCCAGACGGGAGCTGAGGTCCTCCAGGTGAGGTGCTTGAAGGTGCCAGCTGGCCCCTGAAGAGCACTGCCCCAGGGGGCATGCCAGGCCCACAGCCTCAGGCTTAGCTGGAGTTGACCTTCACCTCTCTGTGCAATATGATTTGGGAGGTTCACACCCCCTCCCTGTGTATCTCACCGCTCATACAAGTAGACAGACCCCTTATAGAATCATGACTGCCCCCTCGCCTCCAGCGTAGTGTCAGCTCCCTGCCTCCAACAGACTCTGCATTTCCTGGAGTCCATGGCAGCGGCTGACTGGACTCCAGCAGGGCTGTGACCAAGACACTGGGAAGGGACAGGTTCCAGAAGGCTCCCACACTTACCAGTGTATAACCTCTGCTCCCAGCTTGGCTCCTCAGTCTTCTCACCCATGCAGATAAGGCTGCCTACGTGCCTCTGCTCAGTGGCCCACTTCCTTCTTGGGGCCTCCTCTGAGCTGCCTGCTTGCCCAGCTGCAAAGCCCATACCCCTTCAGCTCACCTACAGGGCGCTTGCATTCCCTGTTGAGCTGCTGCAGCCCAGTCATCAGGATCCCCCAGCTGGTAAAGGAACCCAGGGCTATGAGCTGTGACCACCTGGCAGGGGCCACCCTAACCTTTGTCCATGGCTGCTGGGGCTCTGCCCCCTGCCACTGGGCAGTGACTGTGGCCCATCCTTCCCCCAGCTCATGGACGCCGTGATGCTGCAGCTGACCAGAGCCCGTAACCGCCTCACCACCCCAGCCACCCTCACCTTGTCTGAGATTGCTGCCAGCGGCCTTACGGTCAGTATAACTGCTCCACGCTCCCCCCACAGATGTGTTGATCCTGCCCTGGGTCAGTGGATCCTAAATAGGGAACCTACCTAGAGCAAAATCTAGGTAACCCATTGTTTGGAAGGAGCAGCTCTCTGGAAGTGGAAACAGAGGTTCAGTCCTCCTCAATCCAGGATATAACTGTCCAACATGGGTAGGGGCAGGATAGAGGGAGGGATGCCTCATCCCACTTACCTCCCACAGCGGATGTTTGCCCCTGCCCTGCCCTCTGACCTGCTGGTCAATGTCTACATCAACCTCAACAAGCTCTGCCTCACCATCTACCAGCTGCATGTGCTGCAGCCCAATTCCACCAAGGTGAGCACAGCCTGTCCCCTACCCTGACCTACAGACCTGCAACCCTTCTCCCCAACCGCCCAACTTGGCCTTGGCCTTGGCCTGATCCTGTCTTGGACTCTTGTGCCTAGAACTTCCGCCCAGCAGGAGGTGCTGTGCTCCACAGCCCTGGAGCAATGTTGTAAGTGTGCAGGGGGGTTGAGGGAGGCTCATCCCAAAATGCCCCCGTAGCCCCAAGCACCCCTTCAGGAGCCTGCCCCTCATCCGGCAGTGAGTGGGGCTCACAGCGCCTGGAAGTCAGCCATGTGCACAAGGTGGAGTGCGTGATCCCCTGGCTCAACGACGCCCTCGTGTATTTCACCGTCTCCCTGCAGCTCTGTCAACAGCTCAAAGACAAGGTGGGGGATTTGCCAGCCCCTGCCTTCAGGGTGGGAGATTCCAAGGCCTCTTGTAATACCCAAGGAGTGCCCCCCAGAGCCTGAAGTCCTTGGTACCCGCACTCAGCATCAGACAGTGGGTTGTGGTGCTGTTGCAACCGTGCCCATGCCACACACACTGCCCTCGGGTGACCTTCCCATCTCACCTGGTCATAGATGGTGCAACCCACAGTTCCACCCCTGCCCCCACTGACTGCACCCTGGGACCCTCTAGCCATGCCCCCAACACCTGCTGACCGAGCTTTGTCCTCCACAGATCTCCGTTTTCTCCAGCTACTGGAGCTACCGACCCTTCTGAGTGGACCTCAGCAGCCTGTCCCCACCCCCACCCTCAGGAGTGTTGGCCAGGGATGGACCCTGAAGGCCATTTGTCTCCTTTTTACCCATCTGACACATATTGATAGCAGTGGATGTGCAACACAGAGGAAAGGCCTCGGTTTCCATCATGCTGGGAGAACTGTCAGGAAGGCCATCATGAGGTGGCCCATACTTTAAGCCCAGTCAGCTGAGTACCTCGGAAACCTTTGGACTCAGGATGGGGCTGGGCCCTGGACACTCCTTTCTCTCCCTCCTGGCTGCCAATCTGCCTCTGGTTGCAGGGTGAGGGCTGGGGAGGGGTGGGACCCACTGAGCCGGCTGCAGCTGTGCCCACATGTGAGCTGTGGTACCCCCTGCTGCTTTTGTGCTGCGCTGAGATCTCTAGGAAATACAGATCAAAAGACCCAACCTGCAGCCCTGGTCTGTCTGTGCTGTTGGCGTGGGGTCCAAGGGGGGATCCCCCGTAGTCAGTGACTATCAGCTTTAGGAGCTGGTGGATCTCTTCTCAGAACCCAGCCACCCCACTCCCAGTACCACACAAGGCTGGGCACAGACCCCCCTCTTTGAGAGCTCAGCCTGAGGTTGGTGCCCAGTTTCCCTGTTGTTAAGTAGGTGATGGGGAAGGGCAGGACACCACTCCCTGGGGAGGCAGGGTAGGAGGCATCATCTCAGTGGCGCAGTACGTCCCTCTGCTGCCCACCCAGCAGGGCTTAGAACACAGTCCAGACTCAGGCTCTGAGCAGGCAAGGCATTGTTAGTGTCCCTAGGGGGACAGGCAGGAAAGGGCTGACAGGACTCAGCAGTGTTAAGGTTCCAGGGCCAAGTTGTCCACTCCCTTGGGTCTCTCCTGCAAGAGAAGAACCCGTGGGGTTCGTGTTTGGATTCCACCAGCACCAGGCCCTCCCTAGGCCACACCCTGCCCTGTTCCTCTGCCACCCCCACCCACCATGCAGTACCAGCCTGCTGTGGCAGCAGCTAGCAGGGCTCACCTTCCGGGGGCTCCTGGGGGAGGCACTGCAGCAGCAGCAGCAGCAGCAGCAGTGAACAATGACCAGCAGCATCAACAGCAGCACAGTGCCTGGGGGAAATGGGGAGTACAGGGTGGACGTCCAGAGGAAGGGCCCAAACCCAAGGCCATACTCACCAATGAAAGTGAGGAAGACGATGAAGGCTGCAGTGTCCCACCCGGACTGGAAAAGTTGGCGGCTCTGGAGTCTGCCCAGCACATCCTGGGCCGTGGCCTCCATCTCCTCCACAGACACACTCATCTTGGCAGGTGAGTCCTGGGTGCTGCTCCCCCAGACCTGGGAGCCTCCTCAGAACCCTGGGCAGGTCTCGGGCCCAATCTGTCTCCCTACTGCCTGTGCCTCTACTCCAGGCCCGTCTCTCTGGCCTCCAGACTCCAGGATGTCTTGTCCAGCCAGGCGCGTCCTGGGGCCTAGGGAGTACAGTACTTCCTGCTTCCGGATCCACCTTACCTGAGGCCTTGGCAACGCATGCCCCACCCTCCCTGGGGCTGCCAGATCTCCCAGGGCCCAGCAGCTGTATGTTCCGCCTTCTCAAAGCCAGCCAGAGAGGCCCTGGGGCAGCTCAGTGCAGGGCGGAGTTGCCAGGTACCTTGTGGCTTTCCTCAGTCCAGCAGCCCAATAGCCTGGAACAGGTGGGCACCCAGCCACTGTCTCTTCACGCATGAGAGACACAGGAGGAAGAGCTTGTCTTGTACTGCACTTCTGAGCAACCAGTATAGCCAGATCAGACTGGACCTGGCTCCACAGGAGGAGTCTTCAAAGTCTTTATTCTGTTTTTATTCTCAGAGTAACCCTTGTAAAGTTAGTGGCTACCACCTCTCAAACTTTCTCATGTGGCCAGGGGTCTCTAATACTGATGTCTTCCCACAGACCAGGGTAAGCAGGTGCCCTTTCTGTCAGGACACCCATGGACTAGCTTCCCCCTCCCACCCCCTGCCTTCCTGCAACCCTAGTTATAGCCAGAGCTGTAAACTGTGGATATAGTTCCTTGCCTTCTAGGTACTTCTGGTCTAGCCAGGGACAGGCAGATTTATAGAAAGAAAGACCTTCCACCTGCTCCTTTACTCCCTCAATGGCCTTGACAACAGCCGGAGCTGAGCCAATCCGAAGCCAGGAGCTTTTCTGGGTCTCCCACATGTGTTCAGGGCCCCAAGGCTTTGGGCCATCCTCTACTGCTTTCCCAGGCCACAAACAGGGAGCTGGATGGGAACTGGAGCAGCCAGGACTTGAACTGGGCTCCAATTACAGAGGGAGAAAGGGAGAGACAGACATTGATCTTCCATCTGCTGATTTACTCCTCAAATGACCACAATGACCAGAGCTGGGCCAGGCTAAAGCCAGGAGTTCCATCCAGGTCTGCCCAAGTACTCGGGTGATCACCCATTGCCTTCCCAGGTACATTTAGCAGGGAGCTAATTGAGAAGTGGAACAGCCAGGACTTGAACCAGTATTTACTGGTTGACACCATTGTTTCAACTTCACTGATTGCACCATTGTGCTGGCCCCCAATCCTTGCATTTTTTGAACCTAAGACTCACCAATGTATGAGCTTAGATATGTACCTCCAACTCCTTTTCCCTGTTTCCTCATCCTTAGGATGGGTGTATTAACAGTGTCTACTTCCTCAGGTGGTAGTGAGGATTCAGCCAAATGATAAACCAACATTGGAGCCTCTGTAGCACCAAGGAGGCTCACATGACACATGCACTGACCGGCCGGGCACTGCGTCCCTGTGCTTCCAGGGCAGGTCCCTCCAGTCCTTTGCTCTCTGTACATGTCTGGGCTCAGCATGAGCCTGTCATGCTCGGCTCTGCCCATGTTCTGCATTCCTGAGCCCAAGGCCATGTGGGCTCCGTGGGCCTCACTAGTGTGACACAGTTCCTGCTGACACTCATTCCCGTTTTCACAATTAGATGTCACGTGTGTGATAGCTGGAGCCAGTGTCATCTCTGTACAGAACCAGCGGGGCCCTCCGGGAAACAATCTTCCCCTGGAACTGACTCCTTTGCTTCTCCAAAGGGCCCTTTTGCCAGCTTCTCTGAGAGCCTGGAGTTGCAGCCTGTTGAAATAGACTGGGGGGCTAGAGCTCTGGCCTGCAGATGAGTGATCACTTACAATGCCCACATCCGGGGTGCCTGCTTCTACTCAGGCTTCCTGCTATTGTATACGCTAGGACACAGCAGGTGATGGCATGTGGCTCAAGGACTCAGGTTCCTGCCACCCAGGTGGGAGACATGCCTAGCTTCACTCTGGGCCAGCCTTAGCTGTTGTGGCCATTTGGCAAATGAACCAACTAACGAAAGATCTTGATATTTCTCTCCTTCCATATCTGCATTTGAAGTAAAATGAAAATATCTTAAAGGAAATGGGGGTAGAAGGGTGTTGTGGCACAGCAAGTTCAGCCATTGCTGGCAGTGTCACGTGCGATCCCGGCGCGCTCAAGGCGAGGACTTTAGCTGCTACTCTATCACACTGAGCCCAACATAATTCTTTTTTTAAAAAGAAAGAATTGATAGGGACTTGGCATCAGACACCCCATCAGAGAGAGACACTGAGGAGGGCAGGTACTAGCTGGCAGCTGTGAGCAGGATCCAACGTGGTCAGGGTTCAAAAGTTGAAGGCCAGCTGTGCTGCTGACCAGCTCTTGGTCTAGGTGGAGGGAATTGTTCTGGGGGTCAGGCTCCTGACTCTGGTGGAGTTGGGGTATAACCAGGTCCAGGCTGGCAGGGTCTGCAGGAGCAAAGGGCTGGAGACTGCCTCACGATTCCCTGCTCTGTGGGAAGCTTCCAGTGGGGGGAGAATGGAGCTCAGATTCTTCGGTTAACTGTCACCCTCCCCCACTCCCCCTTGCCACACATACCAAAGCCTGCCAGGACTGGGGCACTCCACAGGAACCACACCTACCAGGTGCCCCTTGAAATGGCTTCTCTCTGTCTCTGTCCCTTGTAGGGTCAGCTTCTACTAGCTCCCTGCCCTTCTCCCTCAAGGGCCACTGTCCCTACCCTTGGCAGCCTGTGATTGCATCTTTGTGTCTCTCGTGGTCGCTCGTGTGGTATCTTACTCTCCCCCACAAGCATCACAAGCAGCAGCTTCCCCTGTGGTGCCCCAGTGCCAGCCCGCACTGTGTGCTTGTGTGTCCTCTGAGACACGAGTCCCCAACTGGGACTTGAGCCCTTACCCCAACCCCAGTGGCCCGTCCAAGTCTCCTGTCCAGTCATAGGCACATCACTGCCCTCGGGCTTTGCCAGGCCAACCCTGCTCTGCAGTGGGCAACATCTGTGAAAGGAGCCCCCTTCCTGTGAGCTGTGGGGCTGGGGGAGTACTAACCTCTGGAGCCAGAGCACCTTGGGATGGGGATTCGCCACCCCAGCCTTGGCCCAAAGGGACTCAGGGCAGATGAGAGGCCGAAGGTATGGGAAAGGCTGGAGGCAGAGTCTGGAAGGAGGTTCAGACATGAGGACCCAGGCTGGGCCCCCTCTGTGAGCCCCAGTAACGTGGGCCTTCTCCTCCCATTCCTGTGACGACAGGTATCCTTGTACCCTGGCTCATGGACCCCCTGCAGCAATCCCCCTCCCCCTGCACCTCCCGGCCCTCCAGCCCTAAGACCCCACCATGCGAAATGCTTGGTCTGGTGGGCATTGAGGCTGTGCTGGACCAGCTGAAGATCAAGGCCATGAAGATGGGGTTTGAGTTCAACATAATGGTGGTGGGTGAGTGAGGGCTGGGGTCCTGGGCAGGGCACCCACCTGGAGTGGCTTCAGTCAGTCTCCTCCCTGCGCCTCACAGGGGCATTATCACTGAATAGGTGGGAATTACTGGGTCAGTAGGAACTCAAATCCCCCATAGAGCTCAGCTCAGTGGCAGCAACTTGCCAGAGGGCTCAGTAACGGCAGTGTGGTTTTTTCATGCAGTTGTAACATAGGCAGGAAGGAAACAGGAACAGACCAACCTGTAGAGAGGGAACCCTGGGCTCCAAGCAGACACAGACACAGGGTGTCAGTGCTGGCCAGGACCTGTGGAGAGCAGGGGAGGGGAGGAGAACCAACATGGTATTTTTCTGGAGGAGGGGTGAAGGCATCCTGGAAAGAGATGGAAGTCTTAAGAGCTTGAGGGGCACTGTGGAAGATGCCCACAATCATTGCTGTTTTCTGTCACTCCAGGGCAAAGCGGGCTCGGCAAGTCCACCATGGTGAACACGCTATTCAGGTCCAAAATATGGAAAACTTCCCTGCCGGGCTTAGGCGTGACTACACCCCAGACACTGCAGCTACATTCAGTGACTCACGGTGAGTGTGCCCCCCACCCCCAACCCCCACCCTCAGATCCAAGCCCTCACCCCAGTGCTCCCTCCACAGTCATCGAGGAGAAGGGTGTGAAGCTGAAGCTGACAGTGATTGACACGCCTGGCTTTGGGGACCAGATCAACAATGATAAGTGGTAGGTCCTGGGGGCAGGAGCTGAGCCTGGCTATCCCAGCCCCATCCTTGCCTTGTGACCTCCAGGGAGCTCCGTAGCCCTGAAGCAACTGGCTGTGTCATGGCTGAACCTGTTTCCTCACCTGTGTAAGGGGTAGAGGGAGCTGAAAGTGAAAAGGTCTCATTTAGCTGCCTGGGATGCAGTAAGGACCTCGGTGTTAAGGTTGGCCAGAAGCCCAGCCTCCTGTCAGGACAGCTAGGTCAGACCACTCTCCAGCCATGGGAACCAATCACAGAAGCTCCCAAAACCCAGGGCTCCTTCACCATACCTTGAGAGTGATGACAGCATCCTGCTGAGCTACTTTAGGCTCTGAGAACAATGACAGAAGTGTACACACACACACACTCAAGTACACACACTTGGGTACAGAAATAATCACACACACACAGAGTTATCGTTATACACATGGACACAGCCACATGCGTAATACATGCGATTATACATGCATGAACAGTTAACATTCATACACATATAGGAATACATACATGGACACAGCCATATACATATACTGTCATACATATATTCACACATGCCTACACATACAGTTGTGCACAGACCAGGCACATATAGTTATACATAGACACATATGTGCACATACAGTTATACACACGTGGACACGGCCACATGTCTACACATACAGTTATACACACGTGGACACGGCCACATGTCTACACATACAGTTATACACACAGTTATTCATTCACAGACATGGTCACATGCATGCATCTACAGTTGTACACATGCACATAGCCACGTGTGCACACAATAACACAATTATAAACATACTTGACATGGCCACATATAAACATAGTTACACGCATGGACAGTCACACACATTGGCTCATATACACACTAACATGGTTATAAACACATGGGTACAGCTACATACAAGTACACACTGTCCCGTGCTAATATACATACAATTCATGTATTCATGCAGTCACATATACACACATACATACTTTTATGCACACCCTCATATACCCACACGTAGTTGTGCACACATATGCATGGACAGTTACATTTGCATATATATATATATACATACAGGAACAACCATATTCTTACAGGCATATGCAGTGACAGCTCCCATGCATGCTTGTACTTGTATGCACACAAACACATACACTGACGTACAGTCAAAAATCACATACACACACATCCAGACACAGCCACACAACTGTGTAAAAATGTACACAGACATATACATTCTGACCATGTGCCCCGTTCTGCCCTGGACAGAGCTCAGGTAGCACAGGTGAGCATCCTGACCTCCACGGAGTCCACACTGTCAGGGTAGACTGGAACAGACATTGAGCACAGCTGGGTGAGGCTAGGCGTGGCCTTCCAAAAGTGTAACACACTGGGACAGGAGGGCAGAGCAGGAAGGGCATGTGCGAACCAGGATCATACATGGCAGCTGGAGGCACTGCAACTGATGAAAGAGGACAGAGCAGGGAGGAGGGCGCAGAACAGCCAGAAAGGTTGAGGGGGGACCTTACTGAGAAAGGGATGCTGGAACAAAGCTTCCTGAGGATGAGAGGAGTGGATGTGGATGTGGGGGAGGAGCAGTCCAGGCAGAGGCCATGGTGTATACAAGAGGTCTGGGGTGCATGCCGTGGGGCAGGTGTAGAGGAGCGAGCAGGGGTGCCAGACAGTCTTTTCAGAGATGAGTAAGCTGTGGCCTCCACGCAGGAGTGGCAGGATTATGCTCTGTGTCTCCCTGATGGTGCAGAGACTGGGTGCTGCCCCCGGGGAGCCGGGACAGGGCTCCATTGCAAGGGAAGGGTTCCTCCACCACCCCAGCTGGGACCCAATCCTGAGCTACATCAACACGCAGTACGAGCGGTACCTGCAGGAGGAGCTGCTCATCACCCGCCAGCGCCACATCCCGGACACGCGTGTACACTGCTGCATTTACTTCGTGCCACCCACTGGGCACTGGTGAGGTGACTGGGCCGCCTACACGGGGCAGGGCAGAAAAGGAGGGCAAGGCGTCCTGGGGCAGGCTGGGGCTACCTGCCCTCTTGCATACATGCGCGCTGCCACCCTTGGCCCTACCCTGCCTGGGCAGCCTGCGGCCCCTGGACGTGGAGTTCCTGCAGCGGCTGTGCCGGACGGTGAATGTCGTCCCTGTGATCGCCCGGGCTGACAGCCTGACCATTGATGAGCGAGAGGCCTTCAGGAGCAGGGTGACCCGGGTGCCTGGGGTACTGGGCTGGTGCCAGTGTGGCAGGGAGCAGGGTGAGCAGAGAGGTTTGAGGCCTCCTGTGTGCTGGCCCAGATCCAACAGAACATGAAGAGTCACTGCATTGACGTGTACCCTCAGAAGTGCTTTGACGAGGACATCAATGATAGGATCCTCAACAGCAAGATCCGGGTGAGGGTCTGGAAAGGGGAAAAGGGCAGAGCACGAGGGGGCAAAGACCAGGGGACAGGGCACACAGATGGGGACAGTCTCTCCATGAAACCTTTTCCACCTAAATGCTGATCTCTACAACTAGGGAAATGTGAAGTTCCCTAGTCCTCCAGGCAATCAGTAATAATCTAGCCCCAGGAGGGGACAGACCACAGGGAACCATAGCAAGTGTAGCTGAGCTATGGGAGGCAGGGAGGAGTGAAAAAATGAGGCATGCACTTTGGAACCCAGCTGGCAGTTCCATAGCTGGCTAAATAATAGTTAATGCAGGACACACACATTCCAACAGCTTGTCCATGCGTACCCCAAAGTACTTGTCCAAAATGCAAAACTAGCTCATAGCCAATGTTCTACACACACCATGACAAGCTACTTGTATTAGTAATCATTATTGATTTATTCGAAAGGCTGAACAAGAGAACAAGTGAGTGAGCAATATGTTCCTTCTCTGTGCTGGCTCACTCCCCAAATGTCCATGACATCCAGGCATGTACCAGCCTGAGGCCAGGTTCTAGAACCCCATCCAGCTCTCCCACATGGGTGGCAGATGCCCAAGTACTTAATCTGCCTCCCAGGGTGCAAGTGCAGGGAGGAGTCCAGATCTGTGTAACTTCCACAACAAGACAAGACATACAGGAGAGGTTACGAGGAGCAGGCAGTGGGGAGTGACTACTGAAAGGTACAGGCTTGCTTTCTGGGCTACTGAGAACATTCTAGAATTAAAGTGCGTTGGTGGCCACATAACCTTGTCAGTGTATTAAAAACCACCAGAGTATGTGCTTTCTACTAGGAATGTGTTCTTTGGCGTGTTAGACCCCAGTGAAGCTATTGGCAGGGAGAAAGAAGAGAGCACATCTCTGAAACCACTGAATTCCTGCTCTCAGTCCCCTCCTGTTGCCTGTGTGGTGTGGTCAAGGTCAGCCCATCTGGACCCTGCAGAGATGGGGGATCCACCGTGTGCAGGCCACCACAGCTGCGTCCCCTTCACCCAGGGACTGTGGTGCCTGACCCTGTGCTTGTGCTTGGATTGGAAAATTGCAGCATGAGGAGCACTAGGGAAAGTTACGGAGGTACTACTTGGCCTGCCCGTGTCCCCTAGTAGAGCATGTGGGTTCAAGTCTCCGACCTGCTTCTGAGTTCAGATTCCTGCTGATGGTCACTCTTGGAGGCAGCACCCGGGAGGTTCAGGCCTGGCTGTCACAGATGTTTGGGAAGTGAACCAGCAGAGGGGAGATCTCTGTATCTTACAAATAAAATGAAAATTAATAAATTAGAAAGTAAAGAGGGGCTGGCGTCGTGGTGCAGAGGGTTACACCATCACCTGTGATGGCTGGCAATCCCATATGGGTGTCAGTTTTTTTTTTTTAAGATTTATTTATTTTTATTGCAAAGTCAGATACATAGAGGAAGAGAGACGGAGAGGAAGATCTTCCGTCCAATGATTCACTCCCCAGGTGACTGCAACAGCTGGTGCTGCGCCGATCTGAAGCCAGGAGCCCGGAGCTTCCTCCAGGTCTCCCACATGGGTACAGGGTTCCACGGCTTTGGGACGTCCTCGACTGCTTTCCCAGGCCACAAACAGGGAGCTGGATGGGAAGTAGAGCTGCTGGAGTTAGAACCGGCACCCATATGGGATCCCAGCGCGTTCAAGGCGAGGACTTTAACTGTAAGGCCACTGCGCTGGGCCCAGGTGCCAGTTTGGATCCTGGATGTTCCACTTCTGATCTGGCTCCCTGCTAATGTGCCTGGGAACGTAGGAGAAGATGGCCAGCCTCCTGCACCCACGTGGGAGACCAGATGGAGCTCTGGGTTCCTAGCTTTGGCCTGGCGAGTCCTGCTGGTAGGACCACATGAGGAGTGGACCAGCAGGTAGTGGTCTCCTTTCTCCCTGTAACTTTTAAATACATAAATCTTTGGGCCTGGAGCGACAGCGCAGTGGTTAAGGTCCTTGCCTTGAGCGCGCCGGGATTCCATATGGTCGTCGGTTCTAATCCAGGCCGACCTGCTTCCCATCCAGCTCCCTTCCTGTGACCTGGGAAAGTGGTTAAGGATGGCCCAAAGCCTTGGGACCCTGCATCTGTGTGGGAGACTCAGAAGAAGCTCCTAGCTCCTGGCTTCGGCTTGGCTCATCCCCAGCCATTGAGGCCACTTGGGGAGTGAACCATCAGATGGAATGTCTTCCTCTCCATCTCCTCCTCTCTGTATATCTGACTTTACAAATAAGAATAAATAAATCTTTAAGAACAAAAAGGCAGAGAGGGGGCTACATGGAATTTCAGTCCCGTACCGTGCAGTGTACAAACTACACGTTTGTTCATGCAGGCTCTGTCATTCACTAGTACCTAGTGTTTCTCCATCCTTCCTCCTTTCCCTCCCCTCCATCTCCTGCTGCTGGTCCTGAGGCAGCACAGCCACTGCTGGAACTGATTTTGGGAGAAATGTCCATTCTGAGACATATTTGGGCCTCCAGCACCCACTTGGAAGACCTGGACAGAGCTCCAGGCTCCTGGCTTTTGCCTGGTCCAGGTCTGGCCATTTGGGGACCGAACCTGCAGATGGACTAGGTGTGTGTGAGAGAAAGAAAGACTTTCTGAGAGAGAGAAGAAAAAAATAAGAGAGGTAGGAAGGGAAGCAAATGTAAATGGGCCTTTTGTAGTTTACAAGCTCGGGTTGCCACCTCGGCCCGTGTGAGGAAACCGTGTGTTGGCTAGCAAACTTTTTTGCAGAGGGCTGGATGACCACGACATCCGCTAGTGAAGTCACTCAGGTGTGCTGTTGTGGTTCAAAGCAGCTTTGGGTGACAGCACATGAGCTTAGCTGTGTGGTGATAAACTTCAATGGAAAGAGGCTGTGGGCTGTTTCCTCCAAGAGCCACAGGCTGCCTCCACTGCTTCACTAAGTTGCTTGCTGGTTGGTTGGTTCTGAGTGGGGTGAAGATGGAGAGAAATAGAACTCACATCCATTGATCTACTCCCCAAATACCAGCAACAGCCAGACTAAAGACAGAAGCTAAGGACTCCCTCAGGGCCTCCCTTTTGGGGGTTAGGGCCCCAATCACGACTTCCCAGAGCCTGCAGCAGTAGGAAGCTGAGTCAGGAATGCTGGGATCACATTGCTATCAATGCTGAGACTATATCTCTCTTACCCAGCATCATATGCCCTAGGCCTCAAACTGGCCCCTCTGAGCCTCGTGGTGACCCCTAAGGTGGGGGCTCTGGGTTCACGGCCCTCTCCCAGCATCACCCTGATAACCCTCTGTGACAAGGAGCATAATGCCTGGACAAGCACCACCAGGACCATGTCCCCATTTCACAGCCAACAAGGTTCCTGGAACTCCTTACTCCTTTGCATTTGCTGCCCCCAGACTGCAGTGCCCCGGTCCCCTCTATCTTTTCTTCCTACCTCACCAGCAGGGCCCATCTATGTCTCCTCCTTCCCCAGGACCGAATCCCCTTTGCTGTGGTTGGCGCTGACCGAGAACATCTGGTAAACGGGAAGTGTGTCCTGGGCAGGAAGACCAAGTGGGGCATCATTGAAGGTCAGTGTGGGCCGCAGGGAGGGTGCAGGGCATTCTCGGCATCCGGACGACCTGGGAAGGGTTCTCCCTAGCTGCAAGGCCTCGGGCAAGTCCCCTGGCTCTCAAGCCTCACTTCCCTCACAGTAGAATGGGAATAAACCTCTCCAGGTGGATGAAAGGGGAAGAGTCAACTGCATGATGCACAGCACCTAGGGGCTTTCCTGCTGGCCTACCGTGTGCTGTGCTAAGGCCCATAGTGACAAGGGCCCTGTCCACAGAGGACCAATGAGATGCTGGCAGGAGAGGGGACAATGAAAGAAACCATAGAGGGATGGGGAGAAGTGAAGGTGAGGCTACAAAGTGAGGCAGGAGAAACAGCAAGGGCTGATGACCTATTAGCAATAGGATAGAATCAATATCCAATGGACTCCTTGTGCCCTGGGGACATTATAACAAACTGACCAGTGAATCAGTGAACTAATGAAGGAGAGATAAGATCAAACAGAACCCTGGAGGCAGGTACCAGGCAGGTGTCAGGACCTCAGTGGCACCCAAAGGGGTTACACAGCACTCGTGACGCCCAGCTGGGTCCAGCAGAGCCACATTTAGCACCATGTCTTGCAGTGGAGAACATGGCGCACTGCGAGTTTCCTCTGCTGAGAGATCTGCTTATCCGGTGAGGGTGTGGGGAGCCCAGGGCTGGGCAGCCCTAGCGGTGGACCCTGGCCAGAGTTGACCCACTTACCATCACCCCAGCTCCCACCTCCAAGACCTGAAGGACATCACCCACAACGTCCACTACGAAAATTACCGTGTCATCAGACTCAATGAGAGCCACCTGCTGCCCCGTGGGCCCGGCTGGGTGAACCTGGCCCCAGCCTCTGTGGGCCAGCTGTCCAGTCCCGGGCCCTCAAAGGTCTGCAGAACAGCCCGGGACAATTCAGACGATGAATTCTGAGCTCCCCTAGCACATACCTGCAGGCCAGATCATCCAACAAAAGTAAATATTACTTTTTATGAGACACTGGGCTTGAAACAAAAGTGCTTTGTAGATGATTTCTCTGCTACCCTCTAATAAAAGTGTGGTTCCTTTTCAAGTCAGAGTGTGAGAGTCAGGGTCTCATGGCCATCCTACTCCAGAGCCAGAGCTCAGTAGTAAACTGGACTCTCCTACCAATTCTGACCAGGACCCAACACAGAAGAATTCCCTGCCTGGGCCCCATGTTCAGCCTCAAAGTCAAGACATTGTTTAGGAAAGCTGCTTCTGTTGGGTCTGGAATTTATCCCACCGCCTTGAAGAGAGGAGTTCCACACAAGATAATGCAAAAGCAAAGGAACTTTATTGCTAGTGCACTAGGGTCCAAGTCCCATCCAACACAGTGGAATCTTGACAAGGACCCCGACCATACATTTTACGTAGTTTATATAGGGTGTGGCTGCAGTTCCAGGAATGGGTCATTGATTCTAAGAACGGGCATTGACAAGATTATAACTGGTCAGTTTTTTGCCCGTGACCACTCTGATGGTCAGTCTCTTATCCATGCCCACCCTAGTGGTCAGCCTCTATCGCTATGACCACTTGATGATTAGGGATTTTTCAAATCTCCTCTGATTGGTCAACTCTGTCTAGAGTGTGAGGTGGCCCAGTTCGGGGTGAGCAGGTGCCTCAATTCTAGGGACTGAAACTTAGGCCTAGCCTGTCCGAGGCCTGTCATGGCTTTATCTTGGTTCCCCTTTGCATCAAACGAAGCACTTTTATAGAGGCCAAACTTAGTGGTTAGTTTAGCAATTAATCAGCATCATTCTAATATTATCTATACTATATTTTAATTACCATTACTCATCCAACTACTAGTTTCTATCTCTTAACCTTAATCTCTATAATCACCTAATGTTATCTTTTAACATTTACATATTTTTTCATTATTTTCTTTATTGCTAGACATTCATTTATTATTGAACTATTTCTTAATACTACTTCCTAATACTATTTCTTATTACTATCATTCTAGTACTGTTTACCTACTGCTTAACACACTATTCTCTTGATTCATCTATCACTCAGCACACTTTAGTACTGTTTAGCTCTTATTTTAGTTCCGCAGTCTCACACATCCTACATCAGAGAGCCTTGATCTGACACCAGGCTCCGGCTCCTTTCCCCAGTTTGCTGCTCGTGCACACCCTGCGAGGCAGTGGTGAGGACTCAGGTAGTTGGGTTCCCACCACTGCTGGCGAGATCTGGACTGAGTTCCTGGCTCTCAGCTTCGCCTCAGCCCAGACCCAGCATTGTCGTTTCTGTGATACACCTGCCATAATCTGGAGAGATGGCAAGAAGACAGAGTGGATGCCCATAGCATCCAGCCCACAGGACAGAGGAGTCCTGCTCTCCTAAAACTCCCCAGAACCCTCAGCAGCAAGCAAACTTCAGATTCCCACCTGGTCAGGGCCAAAGCTGAGACCGACAGGATAACAAAAGAAAAGAGCAACCTGTGTCACAGAGGCACATCTGCAATCATGCAAGGAGGGACAGCATGGTACTCATTCAATAGATAGCAGACAGAAGTCACTCCCTTCAGAAAACCCACCTGGCTTTTCCAGGTGATGAGCTTGCTAGCTCCTGTGTGTGTTACTTTCTGTTGAGTTCACACACACACACTCTCCCACTCTGCAAGGACAGGGCCACACCAGCACAGAGCAGGTGATGAGGACACGTCACTAACACGGAGTTCACCAGCCCACCCCTACACCAACAATCTGGGTGGACTCCAGAATCCAGGGGGCTCCCAGGATGCATACAGACCACCTACCCTCCCCCACATGGTGCTACATGGGGGCAGAGCCACCATCTCACACAGCAGCAGAGAAGACCCCTTGGTGCGTAGGGTACCTCTGTAGCTGTCCCAGAGCAATGCTCATCCCCACCACTACCTGCCCCCCGCCCCAAGCTGTTCCACTGCATCTCCAGTGAAGCTCCTACTGAAATCCTAACACAACTGACCCATGGAGCTGAGTCACTCAGCTTCCCACTGGCCTCTGGGCACAGGGTTGCTTAACAGAGGCCAGCAGCATCTACTCCATCGAGGCAGCTAAGAATTGCTCTAGGGTTTACCACACATCCCCCATGGGGTACAGTCTCCATGGCTGGATGCCAGGGATACACAAACACACGCACAGGATCCCACTGGTCTCACCGTTCCGTTGGGATGACTGCCAGCAGGGGACATTCTTTCTTCTTAAAAAAAAAAAAAAAAAAAAAAACTATCTTAATTGGAAAGGTAGATCAGATTTATGGAGAGACAGAAAGATGTTTTCATCTGCTGATTCATGTCCCATAGGCTGCAGCAGTCTGAGCTGAGCCAATCCAAAGCCAGGAGCCAGGAGCCAGGAGCCTCCTCTTAGTCTCCCACGTGGGTGCAGGTCCCCATGTTTATACTGTTCTCTGCTGCATTCCCAGGCCACATTCAAGGAGCTTGATGGGAAATGGAGCAGCTGGAACACGAACTGGTGCCCATATGGGATCCCGGCGCTGGCAAAGTGAAGATTTAACCATTGAGCCATCATGCTGCTCCCCTGCACCCATTCTATTTCAATCTGTGTTGCTATGTATGTTCACACAATAGCACAGATTGTGACTCTTCCATTTGTCAGGAGAATCAGCTGTCCGTGTTTGGCAGCAATGCCTTTGAGCCCAGGAAATCATAAGCTGAACTGCAGTTTTCCTCCTGCAGATCTGGCTGTTCTATTTTTAAAATGTATTTGGGCAGCACGATAGCCTCGTGGCTAAATCCTTGCCTTGCATGCGCTGGGATCGCATATGGGCACCAGTTTGTGTCCCAGCTGCTCTACTTCCCATCCCGCTGCTGCTTGTGGCCTGGGAAAGCAGTAGAGGATGGCTCCAAGCTCCCTGCCCCCTACCCCCAACTTCCGGATTTGGCCACGTGGGAGTAAACCAGTGGACAGATCTTTGTCTCTCCTTCTCTCTGTAGATCTGCCTTTCCAATAAAAATAAAAATAAATAAAACTTATTTGGGGGATGGGTGCCCAGTACAATGGCTCAATTGGTTCATTCTCCCATTGCAAGCAGCAGGATCCCGTTTATAAAAAACCAAGGTGATGGGCCGACCATGGTACCTTAGCGGCTAAAAGTGCTTGCCTTGTATGGGCCAGAATCCTACGTGGGCACCACCAGTTCGTGTCCTGGCTGCCCAGCTGCCCAACTTTCCATCCAGCTCCCTGCTTGTGACCTGGGAAGGCAGTGGAGGATGGCCCAAGTACTTGAGACCCTTGGCCCCTGGCTTCCCACCTGCCTGGGCCTTTCCAGGCGGGAAGAGGGACTCGGTTTCCCATAATGCAGCACGCTCCTCGTCCTCTACGAGCGACAGCCGGCACAGCCAATAGCGTGTGGACTACATTTCCCTTAAGTCCTCTCGTAGGCCCGGCTGTCACCCTCTGGGGTTGGGGCTTAGCGGCTCTCTGACGTCCTGGGCTGTCCAGCTTCGGAGCCTCCCGCGCCCTGTTCAGGCTTCCTGCCGGCGTAGAACGGCGCCCCGCCGGGCTGCTGGTGAGTGCTGGCGTGGAGAGGCCTGTGTGAGCTGGTCCCGAACCCACGCTCCGCGTCCACGGCCACTCCCCTCTGCCTGAGGGTGATGAGACCAGGTGACAGCCATTCCCGGGGAGCCCCGACCCTAAAAATGGAGGGTCCAGGGTGATCATCCCCTCGAAGACGACGTGACGGGCCCGCCAAGCTCAGCCACCGGGGGTCGGGTGGGGTCAGACTTCTGAAGAGACCTGTTGGGCTATGTTACTGTTTTCTCCGCAGAGGCCTGGAGTGACCCTGAGACCCAGGAAGGAGCAAGCTCCCCAACAATGACAACCACCCCAGACGTCTGTCCTCTCCCATCCCTGGGGCAGGACCTGGAGCAGGAGGAGATCCTGATTGTGAAAGTGGAGGAGGACTTCTGGGAAGAGGAGCCCTCCCCACAGACCCCAGATCCCAGCCCTGAGACCTTCCGTCAGCTTTTCAGGCTCTTCTGTTACCAGGAGGCGGCAGGGCCTCGGGAAGCCCTCAGCCGCCTCTGGGAGCTGTGCTGCCGCTGGCTGCGGCCGGAGCTGCGCACCAAGGAGCAGATCCTGGAGCTGCTGGTGCTCGAGCAGTTCCTGACGGTGCTGCCAGGGCACATCCAGGCCCGTGTGCGTGAGCAGCAGCCCGAGAGCGGTGAGGAGGCCGTTGTCCTCGTGGAAGGGCTGCAGCGGGAGGAGCCCGGGAAGCAGAGACAGCGGGTGAGGTGGAGGGCATGCTGGCTCTGCACTGAGGGCTGCCAGTGGAGGCGGCCTGGGCCCTGCAGCCTCAGCCAGTCCTGGTCATTGGGAGGACCTGGGGAAGGCACCTGCAGTGTTCCTCCACTTGGGCCTTTGGGTGCGCACCCTGTGGTTAACCGTACAGCCTCACTTACTTGCTCTTTTTTTTTAAAGCATGGGTGTGAGAGAGAGCAAGCAAGCTGTTCCATCACTGGTTCACCCCTTAGATGGCCTCACTCAACAGGACTGGGCTAGGCAGAAGCCAGGAACCTGCAACTCCAACTGTGTCTGCCTTGTGAATGGCAGGGGACCATGTTTCATTGCTTTCTCCCAGGTGCATTAGCAGGGAGCTACATTGGAAACGAAGCAGCCAGGACTTGAACGTGGACTCTGATACGGTGGGACAAGCTTTATCTGCCAGCCCTCACTACATGCTAGCTGTGGATAAGCAGGCAGATGTGCTGGCACACAGCACAGCCCAGACACCGTCTAAGGCTCTGGCAGTGGAAGGGACCAAAAGATAGAGGAATCCCAGAAAGTCCGTTCAAAGCTCTTGGAAGTCGCCCAGTTTCTCTAGGGCAGAACCGTCCAGAACAGCTACCAGCTGCATGTGATTCCTTACATTCTAAGAGTCAGAGAGATGTTTGCCTTAGTGGTTATTCCTGCTTGAGGGGCCCAACACAATGACTCAGTTGACTGATCCTCCCCTTGCAAGCACCAGAATCCCATGTGGGTACCGATTCATATCCCAGCTGCTCCACTTCCCACCTAGTTCCCTGCTTGTGGCCTAGCAAAGCAGTAGAGAACGGCTTGAGGCCTTAGGACCCCGCGCCCACAGGGGACACCTACAAGAAACTCTTGGTTCCTGACTTCAGATCAGCTGAGCTGTGGCCGTTGAGGCCATCTGGGGAGTGAACCAGCAGATGGAAGAGCTTTCCATCTCTCCTTTTCTCTGTAAGTCTACCTTTCTAATAAAAATAATTCTTAACAAAATGAAAGAACGCCCACTTTGGTGACCACCTTCTATATCAGAGTGCCTGGGCTGCAGTCCCAGCTTCTTGCTAATGTGCACTCCTGGGAGCCAGCAGGGGATGGCTTGGGCACAAAGATCCCTACCACCTTTTTAGGTTAGAACCTAGATTGAGTTCCTGACTTCTGGCTTCCTTCTGTCTGTTGTAGAGATCTGGGGAGTAAACCAGCCAGGTGGGAACCTACCGCACACCTTCTCTTTTCAAGTACAAGAAAAACATTTTTTAAAAGTCTAAATATAGTACCTTAGTCCTGCCAGTCCCCATGGCCGGTGACTGCTGAACATGGTGGCACAGCTGGGGGACGCAAGCATCACAGGACGTCCTGTGGACCGTGCTATCCCAGCGCGCGCTCCAGTTCCTCCCGGGCCCTTATGGAGAGTGTAGAAACTCCTCAAGATGATAAAGCACCGAGTCCTTTCCCAGTGCCCTGCCTCGCTTAGGCATTGGGCACATGCTGACAGGTTACCCCCCTCTGGCGGAGCCATTGGCCCCATGCTGTTGTGCTCTTTTGTCTTCAAAGATTTATTTATTATTTGAAAGGGAGAAGTCTAAAGAGAGACTTTCCATCCAGTAGTTCAAAGGCCACAGGAAGCCTGGGCTGAGGCAGGCTGAAGCTAGGAGGCTGGAACTCTGTCCAGACCTCCCTTATGAGTGACAGGGGCCTAAGCACTGAGGTTGTCTTGTGCTGCGTTCCCAGGTGTGTTTAGGATGCTGGCCTTGCAGATGGCTTAACCCGCTGTGTCACAGCACTGGCCTCACACCGCTGTTGTTATGTGTCCACTAGAAAGGCATCTCTAAAACCCGACTACCTATGAGCACTGCAGTGAGCAAATCCAGAATTGCCACCCAGCCATCTCAGCCTTGATGTTGGGGTTCTCAGCACGACCTCCCTGTGTCACCAGGCACACAGTAACTTGTCAGAGAGGGGCAGTCCTCTCACCCTCCAAGGGGACTGTTTCCTTCAAGACAGTGGAATGTTGGATAGGAGAGACCCTAAGATGTGCTCCCAGGGCCAGCGTGATGGCCACGGCCAGTGCTGCTAGCATCCATACGAGGTCTCAGCTGCTGACATGCTGAGGAAGCAGCAGATGATAACCCAAGGACTGGGGCCCTTGCTACGCATGTGAGAGACCTATGTAGAATTCCAGGATCCTGGCTTTGGCCTGGCTCAGCCTTGGTTGTTGCAGATATGTGGGGAGTGAACTAGAAGCTGGAATATCTTTTCTACTGTCTCATTCTGCCTTTCAAATAAATATAATTAAAAAGAATAGGCAGGGGTTCCCAGGGGCTGTGTTGCGGAGGGTCATGGTACTTAGCAGACAGAGTTCAGTTCTGAGACCCAGTTTTATCTAAGTCACCTCTTCTGGATCAGCAAAGTGGGCATCCAGTGTACCTGAAGCTTGGTAGGCTGAGAAAATCCAGCAACAGCTCTACCAAGCACTTCTGGAACGAAACCATGACTGATTGCAGGTCTTTCCGACTATGGGTTGCCTGGGAGAGAGCCTAGGAAAAGAGGGTAAGAACGTGACACCAATGCAGTAGGACAAGGAGAGGCTCGGCGGCTGGCTGGAGGAAAGGCTGTGTGGCATGCAGGCAGTGGACACAAGCCAATGGGAAACTGGCCCTGTGTGCTCAAGAACGGGTGCAGGGGACTTGGGGTGGGGGCTGGTGGTCCGGCCCTCTGGAAACTCAGTGGGCTGATCTCTCTGCAGGGCCCTGAGTTGCCCCCTGGGACAGGGGAATGGTGCTTGAGACACCAGGCAGAGGCTCAGCCAAAGGTGTTTACCACGGGGGATGGAGCTGAAAGCTGCAGCCAGCATCATGCAGCTCAACCTGAAAAGGGTCCCCTTCTGTGGACTAAGAAGGGTGAGTAGATGCCCTCTGGGGAGGGATGCTGGAGGTCTGGGAGCGGTGTGGGAGGTAGTGGCTTGCCCAGATGTGGGTACATAGCCATGTGTGTGTGGGGAATGGGTACTGCCTGGATGTAGGTGCACAGCTGTGTGTTTGTGTGTATATGATGTGGGTGCATAGTGTGTGTGTGTGTGTGTGTGTGTGGAGGGTGCACAGCTGTGTTGTATGTGTAGGTGGGGAGGTGCTGCCTGGGTGTGGATGCGGCCTTGAGGAGGGAGGCCACTGTCTAGGGGAGCTGTCTAGGGGCCTCACTCACTCTGCACCTTCCCAGGCCCAGCAGACTCCCGGAATCAGGAAACAGTGTCGTGTTCTGTCTCGTCAGCAACATCCTCCCTTCCAGGCTGGTCTCAGGTGAGTGGAGAGCTCCTGGACTACAGTGTCCTTGGGTCTGTGCTCCAGACCTGGGCTTGAGCATGCGTGGAGATCCTCACTGTTTCCCCCTTTGTGCAACCCTGGCCTCCTAGAAACTCTTACCATCTTGCCAGCTGCCACCTCAGTATTAGGCAGTGTTCCTGAAGATTTTGGGGTCCAGTAGTGAGGCAGGGCAGTGGCCTCAACCCCAACTTGACTCTGTGTTTCTCCCCTATCTGGTTGGCAATAGGTGTCTCCTTTGCTTGCTTGCTTGTCAATAACAGCTTTCTTGGAGTGAAGCCCACACACTATGAAATCCACTTGTTTCAGGTGTAGTGTAGTTTCCGGCTTGTGTATGGGATTTTGCAACATTTCTCTTCCTCAAAGCACCCATACCCATTGACAGTCCCCTCACTCCTTCCGCTGCTAGCAGCTGCTCACCTACTCCGCATCTTCGCGGCATTGCCTTTTCTAGATGTTTGCTTGTTTCTCCCCAAGCACCCAGGTGTCTGGTGCTGGCTCTGTAGCTACTGGCCTGGAAGTATTCCAAGGCCTCCTGTTGCCCTGTTTCAGTCCCAGGGCTGTGAACTTGTTTGCCTCTGGGGTGCAGGCTCCAGGGTCTGAGCATGGGGTTGCTGGCAGCTGCTCTGTGCAGCACAGCAGCATACTGGCAGCCCCACATTAGGGCGGTGGACAGTCATGGCAGCATAGGGGAACCACCATAATGTGAACTGTGGAGTGGACAGGGCCCGGCTTGCAGCAGCAATGGACAGGTTCTTTGGCTCAGTCAGGGTGACAAAGGGGTTCCTTTTGAGCCTGGACTGAGTAGGGGACATTCCAGCAGGTTCCAGAGACCCTGGAGGATGTGGCTGTGTATCTGCCTGGGGAGGAGCAAGAGCACCTGGACCCAGCTCAGCATGACCACACCTGGGATGTGTTGCCGGAGAGTGAAGGTAACAGCTGGGAAACCTTGTTCTCTGGGCATGTACAGCTCATGCCCCAGGGCCATGGCGGCCTGCAAGGCCACAGCTGCTAGTAGACTGTCTCCACTGCACAGGGCAGTGAGGGTACTCACCCATTGGCCAGGTCAATGCCCAGAGCTGCCTTGGGGTCCTTGCATTCTGTTCCTGCCACTCACAGTAGGTACAGCTTCACCTTGCTTCAGTTTCTGCCTCTGCCCTGGTGCAGGAAGCTGCTGCTTTGATGCCCAGCAGTCTGCCTGAGATCACAGCTGCAGTGCCATCTCTTCCTCTCTTCACACTGCTGGGAGTAAGCTGTGCAAGGAGAGTTAGCAGGAAGCATGTGCAGGTTTAGTCTCAGGAGTCCATCTGCAGTCAGGGAGGCCCATGTGTCCAGAATCCATAGGGCAGATCAGCGGGCTATAACTGAGATGGAGTGTGAGGCGCATGTGTTGATCTTGAGGCATGGGTGCTTCTCTGAGAAACCCGGTTTTGCCCTCAAGGCCTCTGGCCAGTTGGGTGCAGTCGTCCATGGGAAAGCTAGCAGTCTGCTTCTCTGACAGTCACATCTCCCACACACTCACACAGTAGCACCTGGGTCAAGTTCACGTGTGAATTCACCCTCCACACAGCTCCTTCTGTCCTTGCATTTTTCATAAGCATCTGCTGAGTGAATGAGTGAACGGACACATTGCTGCTGCCACATAAAGGCAGCACGCTGGGCCGTGTCTGCAGCTGTTGGACCTCTGCTCATTCTTTGGTCTCTGTCTCCCTATGTGTGACCACTCCGAGGCACCTACCTCCTGCGATGGTCCAGCCCTGGCCCTCTCAGAGCCTCCTAGCAACCTTCCCAAGGAGCTGAGCACCCGGGACCCTGATTCCTCACTTCCTCCCCTTCCAGCACCTCTCACTTGTCTGGATTTTGAACTTTGCCAGAGATTGCTCCCACCCTGTTTGATCTGTGGAAAGGAATTGTGCAGTCCTGGAGTTCTGACCTGGCTCACACTCTCAGCCACCCTTCTGGAGGAAGGGTGCCTTGGGCCAAGGCCCTGATTGTCTGCTAGGGTGACAGGGATGGCTGTCTGGTCTTCAACCTTGGTGGTTTCAAGCAGGGACAGCTGTGAGTCAGAGAGAAGGAAATGGAAGTTCCATGTTACAGTCTCCCCTTTCCTGAGAGTTTAGACCTTAATGTCTGTATGTATAAAGTTCAGGTTAAATAGCCCAGCCAGAGGCCGGCAGACCAGACAGTGTCTCAGCTCTTAGGAGCCCTGTAGTGTCAAGTGTAACTACTTAGTCCCATCCTAGCCCAGAAGTAGCTGTGACCAATAGGAAAAAAAATGGACGTGAACGTGCTGCATAGGTATTGTACTCACTGGAAGAGGCCTGGTTTGCTACCTTCTGGCTGAGGGTGAGCCCAGGAGACATGATAACCCCAGGAGAGGTTTGAGGGTCTCCTGGGCAGATGGAAGAAGGTTGGACTGGACTGTGGTACTTTATTTTATTTCTCCCTCTCTTTTTCACTTTGTCTCTCTCGTGCTCTTACACACACACACACACACACACACATGTTTTAACAATTGATTTAATTATTTAGGGCAAAGAGAGAGGAAGCACTTCCATCTACTGGTTCACTTTTTTTTTTTTTTTAAAGATTTATTTTTATTATTTTTTATTGGAAAGGCAGATATACAGAGAGGAGAGACAGAGAGGAAGATCTTCCATCCGATGATTCACTCCCCAAGTGAGCGCAACGGGCCGATACTATGCCAGTCCGAAGCCAGGAGCCTCCTCTGGGTCTCCCACGCGGGTGCAGGGTCCCAAAGCTTTGGGCCGTCCTCTGCTGCCTTCCCAGGCCACAGGCAGGGAGCTGGAAGGGAAGCGGGGCTGCCGGGATTAGAACCGGTGCCCATATGGGATCCCGGGGTGCAAGGCGAGGACCTTTAACCACTTGCGCCACCGCGCCGGGCCCTACTGGTTCACTTTTCAAAAAGCTGCAATAGCCTGGGCTGAGCTGGACCAGGCCAATAGGAGGCCAGAACTCCATCCAGGTGTCCCATGTAGGTAGCAGGGCCCAGTCATTTGGGCCCTTATCCACTTCTTTCTCAGGCACATTACCAGGGAGCGGGATCAGGATTTGAACACGCACTCTGATATGGGATGCCAGCGTCACAAGCAGCAGCCTAACCTTTTGAAAGACAGTTACAGAGGAGATAGAAATCTTCCATCCACTGATTGACTCCCTAAGTGGCCTCAATGGCAAGGGCTGGGGCCAGGCCAAAGCCAGAAGCCTGGACCTTCCTCAGAGTCCCCGACGTGAGTGCCAGGGCCCAAGCACACGGGTCACCTTCTGTTGTTTCTCAGGCACATTCGTAGGGGGCTGGATCAGAAGTGGAACAGCCAGGTCTCAAACCAGCATCCATAAATAATTCTGGTGTTTCAGGTGGAGGCTTAACCTAAAATGCCACAATGCTGGCCCCATTTTTAAGATTTATATACTCATTTGAAATGCAGAGAAACAGACCCCCTGGGGCTGGGGGCCAGGGATGCTGGTATCTCCACAAGAAATCTGTCCTAACCTAGACACTTTTAGTTTTTGGGTTTTTGTCTTTAAAGATTTACTTGTTTGAAAGACTTACAGAGGGCCTAGGACAATGGCTTAATTGTTTAATCCTCCACTTTCAACACCAGGATCCCATATAGGTGCTGGTTCATGTCCCGGCTGCTCCACTCTCATCCAGCCCCTTGCTTGTAGCCTGGGAAAGCAGTTAAGGACAGCCTAAAGCTTTGGAACCCTGTACCCACATGGGAGACCCAGAGGAAGCTCCTGGTTCCTGGCTTTGGATCAGCTCAGCTGTGGCCGTTGTGGCCACTTGGGGAGTGAACCTGCAGAAAAAAGATCTTTGTCTCTCCCTCTCTATCTAGATCTGCCTTTCTGATAAAAATAAATAAATCTTTAAGGGGGGGGGAGGAGTTACACAGAGAAAAGGGGAAACACAGTGAGTCCATCTCCAGCTGGCCACAACAGTCAGATCTGGCCAGGCCAAAGCCAAGCGCTAGGAATCCCATCCCAGTCTCCCACATGAGTGTCAAGGGCCCAAGCTGCCTCCCAGGTATGTTAGCAGGGAACTGGATTGGAAGTGAAGTAGGCTAGACTTGAACCAGTGCTTATACAGTTAGCTGGTGTCTAGGCAGCAGCAGGTCAATCCCCTGTACTGCATTGTTGGCCCCTGAAAAATTCTGACCATGCCTAGTGGTGGAGGGGTTCATCATTATCCCAGTTCTGCAGATGGGGGGACTGAGCCCCCAGTAAGCCCTGAGCCCACACTTTGCTTTCTAGAAGTACAGGTTTAGAGATAAGCAGAAAGAGTCTGGGGATGGACAGTGCCTTCAGGGGACATTCCAAAGGTCATTTCCTGTCACCTCCTTGCTGTGGAATCAGGGAGTTCCTGCTACATGCTTGGGGCACCACACAGGGACTCTCTTGATGCCTTCTGCTGCCCCCTGCTGCCTCCCCTGCCCACACACACTCACACACATACTGTCACATAGCCTGCCAGGGTCTGCTGCATCATTCAGCTCACTCTGTGCCTGCATTGCAACAGTGGTGGCTCCTGAACTTGGATCTTCTCAAGGGGTTCGGGCTGCCCCTGAGAATACGGGGAAGAGGTCCTGCTAAGGTGGTCCCAGGCCTCCTGGTCCTACTGCCATCAGAGGCCTCTGTCGCAGCACTTTTGCTATTCAAGCCTGGCGCATCTTCCATAATGGGGTAGACTGGGCACCCAGGAAAGTTTTCTGTACCTACTGGAGGCCCAGTACAAATTCTCTCCCCAGTCACAATCTGGAGGTCACAGCCCCAACTCTGGGTCCACAGCCCAGGCTCCGCTGCATACCCATCTGCTGACTAGGCCTCAGTTTCCCTATCTTCCAGAAGCTCCCGGAGTTCAGAACTGTAGGGTATTGACTTTGGGGTCTAAAACACTCCTGCTAGGGAATCTGCCTGCCTTGATCTTTCCCTGACTCTGCTTTCTGTCCCAGCGATGGCCATGCAGGTGGAGGATGGCGGTGATCCTGGGGAGAAGCCCATGAGGACAGAGTGGTACCGGGTGCTGTCAGCGCAGTGCTGGAGCTCAGCCATAGCTGAGCAGCGGAGAGACTGTCCCCCACCAGGAAGAGGGGGGTCCCGAGGACCCGACAAGCCGTTCGTTTGCCCTGAGTGTGGCAAAGCCTTTGGGAAAACATCCCACCTGACCAAGCACCAGCGCACGCACACCGGGGAGCGGCCCTACAAATGTCTGGTCTGCGGGAAGGGCTTCAGCGACCGCTCCAACTTCAGCACGCACCAGAGGGTGCACACGGGTGAGAAGCCCTACCCGTGCCCTGAGTGTGGAAAGCGCTTCAGCCAGAGCTCTAGCCTGGTTATCCACCGCAGGACACACACTGGGGAGCGGCCCTATGTGTGCGGCCAGTGTGGCAAGAGCTTCAACAACAGCTCCCACTTCAGCGCCCACCGCAGGACACACACAGGTGAGAAGCCCTATACCTGCCCAGCCTGTGGCAGGGGCTTCCGCCGAGGCACTGACCTGCACAAGCACCAGCGGATTCACTCTAGGGCCAGTTGTCCACCCCAGCTTCAGGAAGCTCTGGGAGCTGAAGCCTGATACCACCCAGGAGAGGCTCCATTCCACAAGTTCTCAGCTGCAGCATTTGTGAAACTGCTGGGCTCCCTTTCCATCCATGAGCTGACAGCATCTTGAGGCTGACTGCCCCTGTTGTGGGCAGGAGGACATGGCCAGAACACCTGAGGCTGGGAGGGAGCCAGAGGCCATGCTTCAGGGCTGCAGTCTGGCAGCAGGTATGCAGGTTGCACGAGCGTCCTGGGGCAGCTGTCCCAGGCAGCACCGATGAAGGCTTTGCCCATGGCAGCCTGTTCTAAACTGCAGGCCACGAGTCCAAAGCCAAACAGAGGCCCTGGGAATGATCCCTCACCTGCCCACCTGGCTCGTGGTATGCCTTGGCTTGCAGCCTCACTGCTCCTAACTCTGGCTGTCATCACAGCCTTCTGCCCGCTGTACTGTGACTCTGCCTTAGTGAGGATTTAGGGCCCTGATCCTCTGTGACCTCATCCTAACTGGTTATATCCCCGGAGATCCCCATACAGTTATGTCTCAAGGTTCTGGGAGCACTCGCTCAGCCCCCTCGGGGGACCTCTGCAACTGCCTCTGCAGCTGTGAGGCTCGAGGGCCAATTCTCCCAGCCCCCCACTGTCCCTCCAGTTCAGAAACAACCTTGCGAAGTGGGGCTTTCCAGGACTGCAGCAGTGTGGTGAGTCTGGGGTTCCTGGGATCCCATCTTCCTAACCAGGCCCTCTGGAGTCCTTCCCCAGGGTATGGCTTCCTTTGGTGGGATGTCTGGCACCTTCAAGCTACCTTCTGGCTTGTGAGAGGTGTGAGGCTGGCTGACCTGTCTGTAGTCACACCTGGTTAGAGGGGCCAAGGGGAACAGGATGGAAACCTCTGGTAAAGTTAGTTGTCACTGCAGTCATAGGCCAGCTGCTTCTAGATTATAGAATATATTGTCCAAGCAGTGAGGCCTGGGCCGTTGTAGCAGCCTGTGGTGCTCTGTTGCATTGTCACCCAGGTGTCACCTGGAGTTCTGTTTGCATAATAAACAGTGTCAGTCCTGATCAGCTGGTCCCTGCACCCTGAAGAGTACAGCCACATGGTCTCAGCACAGCTTTTCCCTTGCAGATGGTGCTGGCAGCCCTGGTGGGGCATGTGGACCTCAGCCACACGTGGCCAAGCCACCCTACCACAAGAGCCCACTGTTGTGGCCCACCAACTTTCCCTGAAACCCACGGCCTGGCTTGTTCCTCTCAGCTCAGATGGTGTTGCAGAAACTGTCTGTGGAGCAGCCTGGTTGGCTCGTGCCCTCTTCCCTGCCAGACATGTTCACACCTCAGCCCATGCCAGGGTCAGGGGCTTCTCCTGCGGGCCTCTGCTCACTCCTGCACCACCTGCCCCCCAACTGTTTGTTGGATGCAGGCGATGGTGTGCAGATTGCAGACAGCAGTGATGTCATCTCACGCAGTTCTGTGTTGCAGAATGTTATTTTTTAAAAGATTTTATTTGAAAGGTAAAGTTACCAAGAGAGGAATAGACAGAGATCTTCCATCTGCTGCTTTACTTACCGCATGGCTGCAATGGCAAGGGATGGGTCAGGCCACAGCTAAGAGCCTCTTCTAAGTCTCCCACCTGGGTTCATGAGCCCAAGCACTTGGGTCATCTTCCATGTGCTTTTCCATGTGCATGAGCAGGGAGCTGGATTAGAAGCTGACACTGACAGTGGCTTAACTTGCTATGCCACAGAGCAGACCCTGTCAAGATTATTTTACAAGTAGGTAGAGAATGGAGCCTCTGAGTGATGAACACTAGGCCTGGGTGGCAGAACTGGCTTGGGACCCATGTCTGAGCTCCCCAGCTGGCCTCTAAGGCATGGATTCATAGGCAGAGGTGAACTCAGAACAGTTTATTTTTCGCAATGTTTTGTGAAACATTCTGATTGAACCAAGTGGCACTGGAAGGGGCAGAAAGAGGAAGAAGTAGAGTTACAGGAAAAACCAGCATGGGCTGAGGGCTAAGCTGCCACAGCAGAGGCTGTGTGCAAGTGGAGGCTCCCCAGTGACAGGAGCTGGTATGCCGCAGGCCGAGGCCACAGTGATAGCATGTCTGCTGTGTCTTCTGTTGGAAACACTGCTCCCGGTGGCGATGGGGTTGGTGCCAGGGTCCCAGGGGACAGATGAGGGTGGTGCTGAAGAGAAGCCATGACCGTATCACTGGCGGCCTGCATCTGGGGTTGTTTGATGTTGTCACTGGTCTTGATGCAGAGACCCTTGCCCAGCCTCAGTGGCATGACAGCCAGCTGTGACCCCAGCTGAACACCACAGTGTCCTGCCAGGCTCCCAGTCCTGCTGCCTGCACCCATGTTGTAGGGGCCCAAGGTGATGCTTTTCTGCTCTTCCCTGGGGCAGGAGAGCATGGCATGCTGGAGACTTGTGGCAAAAGGAGGGAGTTACTCAGGACCAATGAATGATTCTAAAACAGAGGGACCAGGGGTCAGGCTTTAGGGTAACTGCCGAGGGAAAGTGGGTGCCCCCATGGGGTTTGGCCTGCCAGCCGGCCACCCCTCCCTGGTTACATTGTTAGCAACGAGGTTTCTAACTTTTAGTGTACACACCCAGCAAGTCCTGTGACCTCTGTGTGTCTTTATGCTTTATCAGGAAGTTTCTGCTGCCACCCCAACTTCCAAGCAGCTGGTTGGGTGTGCACTGAGGAACCTTCAAGCCGAGGTCTCCCAGAGAGCCACGTGTGTGACAGAAGTAACATGCCCATCTCAGGAGAGAGAGGAAGTGGATAGGGGTGGAAGGTCTTGGTGGAAGGCAGCATGGCAGCCGCCCCATCTCTCCTCCCGTCTCTTTCTGGGGTTGGTGCCATTTTGCTTCCAGGTTTGTTGTGCTTTGTGAGTCTGTGTTTACATATGTTCTACATGCGTGCAGATGTTGTCACTGAACTCTAATAGGGCTGAGCGACAGGCCACAGTCACCCATCAGGACCTGCATCCATGGGGAGACTGCCTGACCTGCTTCTGAGACCCTTCTATGGTTGGCCGAGGGGTGGTACCAGTGGCTCCCTGGCTGTCCCTGGCCCGGGGGCCTGGGACTGTCCTCCTAGGGGTTTGGTCTGGGCACCCTGCCCCTCAGGCCAGAGTTTTTCATGTTTCTTCTCAGCTCCTGATTGGGCCAGATCTTCAGGGGCCTGGACCTTCTGTCCCCCGCAGCTGTCCTTGGCAGGCAGTTGGGACTGAGCTGTCCCCTTGCGGAATGCCCTGAGCTGTTGGAGAAGTTGACTCTTCCCGGTGCAGGCCCTACAAGGAGATATAGCAAGCTCAGGCTGAGGCCTCCCCACCGAGAACACAGGCTGGCAGATGGCTTCCATTTCAAATGAGGCAGTGACATGGGCCTAGTTGCTAGTGGGAGAGGGGAAGCAGGTGGGGTGCCTGATGTTCCATTCCCGTGAGTGCAGCAAGACCTCACCACGTGGGGGCCCAAACATTCACACTTCCCCCAGCGACTTGTCTAGCCAGGAAGAAAGGCAGCGTCACCATCCACCCTTCCTGACTTCAGTCTCCAAATTTCAGTCTAAGTTAGTTACAGATCTGATTGAGGGGCTGGTGTGTGGTGCAGTGGCTTAAGCCACTACTTGCAACACTGGCATCCCATATGGGAGTGCTGGTTTGAAACCTGCTACTCCACTTCCCATCTAGCTTCCCTTGTCTGGGAAGGCAGCAAAAGATGGGCCAAGTACTTAGGACCCTGTCACCCAGGTGGGAGACCATGAAGGAGTTCCTGGCTTTGACCCAGCCCACAACTGACTGTTGTAGCTATTTTTGGGAGTCAACCATTGGATATGGTATTTTTGTCTCTCTTCCTCTCTGTTGTTCTGCCTTTCAAGAAAAAAAAAATTCAAATGATGGAAAATTCTAGAAGAGAATATGAAGACCAAAGATGCGTTTAGCTTTCCATTGGATGGAGTGACCAGTGCTCAGTCAGCCTGGGCCATGAGAACTCCACCACCTGCTGAGTACTTCTGTGTGCTGCCTTTGGAGTTGCTGGGGGCAGGAACTAAACCACCCCCTCCTCTCCAATTTTCTAATGGGACAGAGATTCACCGCCAGTCCCCACGGAATGGGAGAAGGCAGTGGTCTGGATTGCAGGCCAGGTCATTAGTTAAGGCAGGTGATACAGAGTTCACCTGGCAATGGGGTGACGGGGCTCACCTGGTACACACCAGCCCTGCCCGCTATCAAGGAAAAGCCAGTCCTTGCCGGGAGATACTGACAGGAGGCCATAGCCACTGTGATGCCAGGGGGCTTCCAGAAGTGCCCTGGGATTGTTACAGCAGCTGTTAGTGTGACATAGGCTTCTGACAGGAGACCTGCTGCCCATATGTTCAGTCACATTAGGGGACATGCTGGAGGAGATTTTGACAGTCACCAAAAGTAGGAGCCACGACATGGGGCTGAGGGGAAGCTGTTATGACCTAGAGCTGAGCCGTCTGAGAATTTGACATCTGTTCGTTCATTCCCCTTGCCTCTCCTTCCTGAAGGCTATCACCTCTGCCCCGGCCTTCACTCTCTCTTTATTTCCAACACTGACAGTAACAGGGCCACTTAACTCCCCATCAGCTTAGGGAGCTGCTTTTCAGACAAGTGGGACTACACCCTTATCAAGAATGTGCTAGGGCATCCTTGATGCCGTCCACACCCAGACCCTACCTCCAAGGCAACACCGGTCCTTACCCACTGGCCCTGGGCTGGAAACATGAGGCTCAGGAAGCCGGGGGCGGGGCAGAGATGGAACATTCCACGGCAGAGCCCCCTGTGGTTACCTCAATGCTGCAGGGCCCTGCTGGTTTCCCCGAGTCTCCTCTTCCTCTTCCTCCTCGCTGTCAGAGGAACTGTGACTGGAGCTGGAGCTGTAGAAGCAGTTGGGTTTATGGGGTGCCCCATCCACCAGCCAGGCTTAGCCACCACCAGGATGGGGGGTGGCAGGTAGCCGAAACCAAAGGGCTGTGGGACTTAGGCGGAGCGGCAGAGGCAGGTGTGGAGTGATGGGAATCAGTTTAGACAGTTTCCATAGAGTTCAGCCCAAGAGCATCTGCTCTCCCTTCTCTGCTTCCCTCCCTGTACCTTTCTGGGGAGAAGTGGTGGCCAGGTGGCCCTGCTTGCCGCAGGTCGATGAAGATGGTGGGGGGCTCCGCCTTCAGCCATCGGCCCTCAGCTCCCTTCTTGTCTGGCTCAGCCTGGAAGCCTGACTTGGTCAAAGCACACCTGCCATGAGGAATGCGGGGGCTCCTGAGCTGCTTCTGTATGGACTGAGACCTGGGCCGGCTCAGACATGACCTGCTTGTTCATGGGTCCTGGTTCTGCAGGGCAGTGTCTTCAGGAGTAGGGGCCTAGTGACACCGGGGGTCTGAGTGGACGCTTTGGACACACCAGGGTGTAGTACAGTCCTGGCCATGTCTGTTGGACACTCCCAGGGAGGCCTGTGGAGAGCCACAAAGGGCTCTGGGCAATGTCAGGTGGCTTTGGGGTCTGAGCCCTAGCTCTGCTGTTGATGGCCTGGGGGAATCAGGACCCCTGGACCTCAGTAGTCTTCTCTATAAAATGAAGTCTGTGGGACCACTTGCTTAATCTTGAGAAAGCACATAGCCAACAGCCCACCCTCAGTGAGCCCATTCAGCAAGGTCACTGACAGACGTGACATGACAGGGGCCCTGGCTGGCAGAGGCCCACCTGCTTCCAGCGTCTTGAGGGGTGACAGCAGGCGTCCTCCGGGCAGACGTGGTGGCTCTGGACTGGGCAGCACTCAGCAGTGCCAGCTGCTCCATGAGCCTGTCCTGGCCTCTTAACACAGTATGCTCTGAGGGTCACCAGAGGAGAGGAGGCTGCTGAGTCGGGGCTCAGGGTCCTCACAGCTCCCTGTGGTCTGCACCTCAGGCTTGCCCATGGGTCCTGGTTCTGCAGGGCAGTGTCTTCAGGAGCAGGGGCCTGGTGACACCAGGGGACTTAATGTGGTGAGGGCATCTCCCCTTTCTGCACTTGACCCCAGGTCCAGCTGGCCTCAGGGACAGTGCAAGGCACCATGTTTTTATACCCAGAGGATTGCCTAAAGCTTGTCCAGCTTCCCCCATGTCTGTACTCTTGGGTATCTCATGAGGAGTCCATGGTGTTGTGCTGCACAGCATTATGGGGTGTCTAACTCGGCTTACTGTTCCCGAGTTGGAGAGACAGAGAAAAAGATGCTGTAATCACTGGCTCACTCTTCAAGTGGCTGCAATGGCCAGAGCTGAGCCAGTCCGAAGCCAGGAACCTCCCCCAGACCTTCCATGCAGGCGCAGGGTCCCAAGGCCTGGGGCCATCCTAGACATCCCTCCTAGGTCAAAAGCAGGGAGCTGAAAGGGAAGTAGAACAGCTGGGACACAAACCAGCACCCACATGGGATCCCAACACATGCAAGGTAAGGACTTCAACACTAGGCCACCATGCCGGGCCCTAAAAGGCAGATTAACAGAGGAGAGATAGAGGGAAAGATCCTCCATCCACAGGTTTACTCCCCAAGTGACCACAGTGGCCGGAGCTGACCCTTTCTGAAGCCAGGAGCTTCTTCTGGGTCTCCCATGTGGGCATAGGGTCCCAAGGCCCTGGGATATCCTCCACTGCCATTCCAGGCCACAAGCAGGGAGCTGAATGGGAAGCAAAGTAGCTGGGACACAAACTGGTGCCCATATGGAATTCTGGCACATGAGTCATGGAATAAGGGGTGTAGGCACGCATCTGTTGAATGAGGGAATGAAGTCTGTTGAGGACTGGCAGTCTGCATGTTCAGGACAGTGATCTGCTCAAGGACAGTAAATGTGTGTCCACAGGACTGGTTGGTCCCCCCATGGCTCTGGAAGGCCCTATAAGGAGCAGCTGGCAGGGGTTCATTTGGGGTCAGGAGTTTGGGGTCAAACCTTGGCATTGGGAGAGGTCAGCTGTCCACCACACAGTCCCAGGTGTGCGACTTCCCTGGCTGTCATCCAGCCCCGACAGGCTCTGGAGGATGGAATCCAAATCCCAGTCTTCCAGTTGCTGAAATGGTCAGCCTGGTGGTTATAGGGTGTTCCAGTGGTGCGACCAGGGGATAGGGTAGAGGTCAGGCCTTGGGCATTGCCCTTGTCACCGAACCCAACATCAAGCTGCTTTTGGCCAAGCCTTTCTGTGGCTAACACTTTGGTTTTAGGTGCAAAGATGTTTGACCAGGAGGAAATCTATGTTGTATTTAAAGCCATCTAAGTTCAGGCAAGTCCAAAATCCACCTGTTCTTGGCAGGCGCCCCGCCTGAAGGGTGTGAGGGAGTGTTTATTATGTGCAGCCTCAAGTCTGCAGCCCTGTGGGTAAGGAAAAGAACAAATTGTCAGGGCTGAGATGAGCGGAGCACAAAGGCCGCTCTAGTTAAACAGTAATGGAGAAGGCTCATGTGGGGACTAGTGTTCTCTGCGTTGTGACAGAAACTACCTGAAGGGCCAGCATGGTGGCACGGTGGGTCAGGCGGCACCTCTGGTTCAAGTTCTGGCTGCTCCACTTTGAACCTAGCTCCCTGCTAATGTGCCCGGGGAGGCAGCGGAGTATGGCCCAGGTCACCTGTGTGGGAGACCTGGTTGGAGTTGCAGGATCCTAGCTGGCTTCCGGGTCCAAACCTGGCTGTTACATGCATCTGGGAGTGAATCCAATAGATGGAAGACCTCTGTCTATCCTCTTTTTCTGTCACTGTGCCTTTCAAATAAACCAATGAAATCTTTAAAAATTACTTCCAAGTAAGGAAGGCGCAGTGAGTTGAGATGCCTCACCTACCCATTGAGGCTCACTTGGCTTGCACAGCTCAGGGGGCCTACGTTTCACCTTGAGACTCTGCCATGGTCAGAAAGGCAGCCACTGTGCATCTAAGGTAGCAGCTGGGGACTGGCCTCGCCACAGTGCTGCTTCCCTCACTGACGTGCTGAGGTCAGCATGCACGGTACCCTGAGTCCAGCCACAGTGAGGAACATTTCCCCAGCCCGGGAATTATACACCAGGGCAGATGCTCAGGATCTGATCCTGGGACTGTACTCCTTTCGTTTTCTCTTCAGGCAGGCTGGGTCAGCATTCTCTCAGAGTATGAGACGTGGGGGGACTTAGTGTGGGACCATCCCACACCCACCAAGACTGCTGTTCCCAGTGGTGGACCTGGGACTCTGGGCTCCGCGTCCCCACGGGCCAGCTGGGAAGGTGGTCGTGCTATAGGGCACAGGCCCAGGGATGAGGGTGCAGCAGGGGACACCCACCTGGAGTGAGAGCACTGGTGGCCCTTCCAGAGGTCCCATAGGGTCTTCTGGCTGGGGACCTGACTCTGCAGCTGCGCAGGGCGCCCCCTGGGGTTGGCTCTGGGTACCGCAGGTCGGGTCCTGGGCATCCCAGGTCACTTTGTGGAGGATGTCCTTCTCAATCATTTTCCTCCTGGCTCGGCGCAGGGCCCTGCGGCCTGCAAAGTCTGGAGGGGCAGCACCCTGGGGCTCTGTGTCTTGGTCTCCGTCTTGGAGCAGGAGGATGGCTCCTCCATGCATGTGCCAGGGTCGACTCTGCGACCCTGTGGTGTCAAAGGACTTGCTCCTGAGGTCCCCATCCAGCCGCGTGAGAGTCTCTCTGGCTGTCCCGGGAAGACAGCTGGTCTCACCACAGCTCTCTGGAGCTCTCCCTCTCCCAGAGGCTGAGTCCTCTGTCCTGACTCTGCAGTCAGTCCTTGGCTGTGTGGTCTGCTCCACAGGCACCAGAACTGCAGCCTCAGTTCCATCCTCAAAAAAAAAAAAAAAAAATAGCATGAAAATCTGCACAGTTCAGTGACTGATGACATTCCTAAGACTGAAACAGCCATCACCACTATTTCCAGTGATCATTTGCTTAGCCTTGGGCACCTGGGGCCCCCGGGCTGTACTGAAGGAGGCTGCTCAGTGCTCTGATCCATTTCAGCACCAAACTGCCGTGCAGGGTCTCCTGAGAGCCCTGGGGATGCCCCCCAACTCTCTGACCACAGGGTGCCCTGAAGCCCCCCAACCCGCAGACCTGGGAAGGAGAACCTTCAGCCGCAGGGACCCAGGCCCCAAACTTGACATCGTCGGCCAGGTCTTCTGCCAGCTCCTCTGACAGGTCTGGAATGAGGACAGTTTCATTTCGCTGGAAGACGAACAACTCCTCTTCCCCACTATCCAACTGTGGGCAAACAAGGGTTCCTGGGTTACAAGGTATGGGTTCCAACCTCCCCTGCCAGCTCAGGCCTGCTGCAAGGAGAACCTGAGGAGAGCCTGTGCCCTCTGCAAGGGCCAAGGACTTTGACATGGGTACGGCAGCTACACTGTGCCCAAGGCCTGGCCTGCGGCAGGTGTTACACAAGTAACGGGGCAGTGAGGTGGTCAGTCTCCAGTCAGCAGTCCTGAATGGTTAAAAGCATTTCTTTTTTAAAATGTCATGCAACTTTTAAAAATGTGTCTTCCTTTGTGCTATTATCACACCTGCCCCCTTCATCACACTTTTTAGAGGGCAAAGGCTTTATACTGGCCTCTCCCCTTCACAGAGAGCGAGACTGAGAGCAGGACAAAGCCCTGAGCACTGAGCTCTGGGGTCACCTTGCTCCTTAGCCTCAGCAACCACTGTTCGTCTCTGCAGGTGCCCGGGTTGACTCTGAGCCCTTGCCAGGTCATGTGCTGAGGAGCCTATGGCTGACGGTGCTTGGCACCCTAGGGGCTAGCTCAGGGACCCCAAGCCAGGACTATCCCGAGGTCCTGGAATGGAGAGCCGAGAGCCAGAGTGGGAACACCAGGACACCCCTGATCCAGACTAAAAGGGACTCAAAAGCCAAGTGCATGGTCCAAGGGGCAGGTCTGCAGAATGCAGTGCCCTGCGTGGCAGCTGGCAGTCACCTCTGACTCAGCTCTGGCCCAGTGCAGGGTCCCTCCAGGAAACTCTGGCTCACCGAGGAGGAGTCTGAGTCCAGGGATGGAAGCTGGTCTCTGACAGCCTGTAGGATGGCGTCCCAGGGGGAGCCCAGCGAGGGTGTTAGGTCTCTGGATGCCATGGTGGCCCAGGCTTACGGCTTGCTTCAGCGTGCTCTCATCCTAGGAGCCCTGTGGAGCACAGGGCAGGGGGTGTGGCAGGCAGAATCAAGGTGAGTACTGCTGGGGTGACAGGTGGTAGAGAGAGCAGCTGCCATCACGGTTCCGTAAGCTTACAGAGCCAGGGACCGTGCGTGTCTCTGTGTGTCATGTACACAATGACCTTGTGTGTGCAGCATACATGGACATAGCAATCATGCATGTGTACACGTGTGTGGTGTGTCATGATACCCAGACACCCCATAAAACATAATATCTCCGTTTTCTAGACATGGAGAGGAGTGTCAAAGGAAAAGACGGCATGGGAAAGGGAAGGGGGAATTTCAAGCCCTCTTCCAGCACTGCTCCAGGCCCCTTTGTGGTCCTGTGTTTGCAGCTGCCACTCAGATGCTCTTGCCCCACTAGTGGGGCACCTGGACCCTGGGGAACAGGCAGTTGTTTTAGGAACGCGGAGAGGGGTGCTGGCACTGTAGGACCAAAGTCTGGAACAGGGTCTCACGAGGACCAGCAGGGTCTAACTTGTGGAGGGAAGGCTCATGGCTGAGGGGAAACAGGTGTCACTCCCGGCAACGTGTGGTGAGGACCGACCAGATCCTGAAGGCTCACAGCCCAGCGCCGCAACCCCTCGCCAGCGAGGGCGTAACCCTGAGTCTTCCCCGAACCCCGTTTCTTGGCCGTCTTCTCCTGGTCCGTTTCTTGGCCGCAGCCCGTTAGCCCCACCCACGAGGCGGCCGGTTGCTGTGGCAACCGTGTGTGTTGGGACGGGGGTGGGGTGGGGGTGCTGATCACATTTTAAATCCGAACCAGGGAAACCCTTGGTCCTCTCCCCACCGCTCCCGGCCCGCTTTCCGCGTCCCGTCCAGTTTATTGCTCCGCAGCCGCGGCAGGCCCGAGCCCACTCACGTCGGGTTCGCCTCCGCTTCCCCACCCTGCGCGGTCCTAAGTCTCCGGCGCGTCACTCCGATTCGCGCCCCTCGAGTCACAGCGCAGCTACCAAGGGTGACACACGCTTCGTGAAGCCCCCCTCGCGGACCCTTGGGTCACCGGCCCGCCACAACGGTTTCACCGTCTCCACTTTGGCACTTCCTGTCTCTCCCGCAATAGGATTGCTTGTCTGATGAGTGAGGGGCGGGTGAAAGGCGAGCTAGCCCTGCTCATTGGCTGCTCCGTGCGTCACTCGGTGAGCTGGGGAAGCCGGTCGGAAGGTCTGGATGAGAGATGGGTGGATTCCCGGGAACTCGGGAACTGCTTAGGCGTGGACTCGCGAGTGTCCCGGCGTGCTTCGCGCCCCGCCGCAATTACTTCCGGGGCGGGAGTCGGGCCGCGGGAACGGGGGCCGGAGGTCCAGCGCAGGTAGGGGGACTCGGCCCCTGCGGCTCCAGCTGGTCAGTGCGGACGGGCGTCCTGTGAGGGACGCCGGTGCTGGAGGCGTCGGAGGCCGCGGGGTCGCGGGCTGGTGGAACGGGGACCGGCCGTGGGGAGGTGGGAGCTACGAGCGCGTTTCGGGGCACCCCGCCCCGTGTGGTGGTGTCAGCCCTCACCTGCGTCGAGTGGCTCATTAAACGTCCGATTGAAACTGCCTGCGGGCCGACCGCGCAGGAATAGTGTGGCAATGCAGAAGTCCAGTTCTCAGCGCCGCTTCCCGAAGGTCATTCTGGAAGTGAGATGGGCGCGCGCACGCACACACCCACATACCCAGTGAGATGTGCGCACTCCCACGCACTCACCCACCCACCTACCCTTCGTTTTCGGAGCGTGCAAAGGAAGTAATTAAGTGGCCGGCTAGTCACAGGCATCCCCTTCTCTTGTCGCTAGTTCCTGGGCGCTTTGGGGTCGGCTTGGGAGGAGGAAGGCACTGCAGGGACCCTGTGCTGGGCTGCTATGGGCTGTGCTGGCTAGGTGTGGAATGTAGGGGCTGTGTGGTCGCTTAACTGGTGCTGCCCATCCCACTCACGTGCATACTGCAGCCAAGGCCCTGGGATTGGTCGGCGTGTGTGTCATTTGTCCTTTGTGGTTGTCCCCAGAGCTTGGAAGATTGCTTGGCAGCATTCTTTGTCTTTGTTATGTTTTTCTAAAGCTTTTATTTAGAAGGCAAAAAGTTACAGAAAGAGAGATGGTGAAGGGAGAGATCTTTCATCTGCTGGTTCACTCCCTAAATGGCCACACACCAATGGGGCTGGGCTGGTCTGAAGCTAGGAGCTGCTTCTGGGCCCCCACCAAGATGCACAGTCCCAAAGACTTGGGACACACACTGCTGGTTTCCCAGATGCATCAGGTGAAAGCTGGATCAGAAATGGAGCAGCTGGGACTTGAACCGGAGCACATGGGATGCCAGCATCACAGGCGGAGGCTTAATGTGCTCTGCCACAGAGTCAGCACCTGTTTTTAATTACTTGAAAAAAAGGTGGGGGAGAAGGCGAGGGGAGGGGTATCTCTGCCTCTGAGTTGCTCCCACACATGCTCAATCAGCTGGGACCAGGTCAGGCGACACTGGCTGTTGGGATCAGCCGGTCTGTGTTGTGAGAGAAGGTCCTCCTCCTGCTCCCCATGTGTGTACTGGACCTAGGGGTCTGCTAGGAAGCGAGCAGCATGGCTTGATCTGGGGGGGCTTCCCGGATTGCAGGTGCTGCCATGCCACCCCACCAGCGTCACCCCATCCCCTGTCTCTCTACCTTCCAGGGGTTGTGGATACATTCCTGTCCTGCTGGGGCACCCCAGTCTCTGGATTGGGACTGGCTTTCTTTCTTTTCTTTTTTTTTTTTTTGCAAAGAGGATTTAAGATCAAGATATCAAGATACATTAAGATTCATGTTGGTGTCAGAAGCCAAATGTATGACCACAGGTCGGCTTCCCCCAAGTTGTACACTGGGTCCATCTCCCCCACTGATGGACTGGCTAGTCCCTTGGCCCCTCACCTTTGGTTCCTCTGGCCTGGCCTGTAACCTTTAATAGCATGTGCTATAAACGGCATTACACAGTTGACAACCTTTCGGGTGGCTGCTTCTGTTTGGCCTGTGTGTTTCAGAGTCGCTCATGGGCTGTGTGCAGCAGCTCTTGGCTTCTGTGTTGCTAGTGGTGCCCCTTGCGTGTGTATTTTGCTTTGTGGGAGTCTGTTCTTCCTTGTATTTTGACTGAGTCCTTCCTGAGGGTGTGACAGTGGCTGCCAGCTTACCTGTTGTTTGCATTAGATGATGGAGAAATAGGGTCGGAGCTACTGAGCAGCAGGGCTGAGCTAGGCTCCCGCCTGGGTTCCTGGGCTCTTTCCCCTCACACCTAGGCACTGGTCGGGCTACATGACCCCGTCAGCATCTGTTCACTGCCTAAGAGGCTGTGAAGCTGCTGGAGCCCTGAAGAATTCCCTTCTGGAATTAGGAGCCCTCCCTCCCCTGCCCCCAGTGAGCATGGCTGTTCTAGGACGGGGGGTGTCTGTATTAGTCCCAAGGTCCACCGCATCGGTGTCCCCCTGACAGAATGGGACCCAGAAGCTAGTTGCAGGTTGGACTTGACTGCTCAGTTCATTCCCCAGAACAGCTCGGAAGGAAAGATCTAATGCCCGGCCTCTCTCCGCAGCCATGTCTGAGCTCAGTGACGAGGCCAGCGAGCCAGAGCTGCTGAACTGCAGCCTGTCCATGTGGCATGGGTCAGGGGCCCAGGTCAGCCGGGAGGAGCTGGACGTGCCCCTGGATCTTCACACGGCTGCGTCCATCGGCCAGTATGAGGTGGTGAAGGAGTGTGTGCAGAGGTGAGAGCTCTGGGGAACCCATCTTCTCGCTGCAGGTGGGGTTTCCCACACAGGTGCAGCTGGTGGTCAGCCCTGCCCATCCCAGGCCACTGGCCTTAGTGACTTGGGGACTGGTGCTGGGGCAGTTTTTGTTACTTTAGGGGGAAAAAAAAAAAAAAAACTGGCTTAAACTTTGGCCACAGACGTGTAAGCATTAATTTACGGTGTGCTGTACTCAGTACACACTGCAGGTCTTTGGACAGCCCCACGGGGAGGAGCCAGGTGGAGGTTTATTCCTCAGAGGCCAAGTTGGGTCTGAGGGAGCTCGAGGCAGGGTGGTTCTGGAAGGGAAGAGCTGAGTGGGAGACCTTGAGGCCGAGAGCTGCTGTGCTGCTCTTGCCAGCGTGAGGCCTGGTGTGACTCCACACAGCTCTCTGGAGTGTCGGCTGCTAGGTGTGCGGGGCCAGGAGGTGGCTTGCTGGTTGCTCCTGTGACAGAGGCAAGGACCACAGTGGGAAGGCCTGTGGGCTGTTAGCTGTGCAGGATGTCCCTGGATGTGGGGGTCCTTTTAAATGGGGCTCCCGTGTCCAGCTGCAGAGTCTGGCCAGGGAAGCTCATATTGTTGTCCTTGTGGAAGAATGCTTTCAGATTTGTAAAGGGAGCCGGTGTGATAAGTGGGGTTCTCTGGCCTTAGTGTCACAGGAGTGATGGTGCAGAAGCTGGCTCAGTGGGACCTGAGCTTTTGACAGTCTGTTGGTCAGTGTCCACTCCACGCATCCTCAAGTGGTGCCGGCAGAGGGGGAAGGCGGGGAGGCATCCTCTGTGGGGGGGTGGTGATGTGGGGAGGTGTCCTCTCTGTCAGAGGGAGGCGGGGAGGCGTCCTCTCTGTCAGGGGTGTAGGCAGAGAGGTGTTCTTTCTGTGTGTTGGGGGGAGGCGGGGAGGCGTCCTCTCTGTCAGGGGGAGGTGGGGAGGTGTCCTCTCTGTCAGGGGGAGGCGGGGAGCCTCTTTGTCGGACCGTCCTGTGTGCTGTGGAATGTTGAGCATCCTTGGCTGCAGGTCAGCCATGGCTTCCTTCCCCAGTTGTAGTCACTGAACATGTCTCTAGACCTTGCTCCAGGTGCCCTGGTTGAAGACCCTCTGTGAAGGAAGGGAGTTGCTGTTTGTGGCCTGGGCAGGAACAGATGCAAATATGGAGGTGGAAGGGAGGCAGATGCTCAGGGCAAGGCAGGCGGGTGTTTGGGCAGCCAGAAACACTCCCTGTTTTCTTACTCCTGCCACAGCTGCATACCTGGCAGCACAGATGCTTCCCATCAGCCTGACCCCCAGGGATGAGCCCTAATTTGAGGCAACTGGGTGTGTCTATCTTCCTTTTGTTTAGGGGAGAGTTAGATTTGAATAAGAAGAATGGTGGTGGCTGGACTGCATTGATGTATGCCTCCTACATTGGACACGATACCATTGTGCACCTGCTGCTTGAAGCAGGGGTGAGTGTGAATGTGCCAACCCCGGAAGGGCAGACTCCACTGATGCTGGCCTCCAGCTGTGGCAACGAGAGCATCGCCTACTTTCTCCTCCAGGTGAGCCTGAGGTGCTCCCTAGCTGCCCTGCCGGGGGTGGGAGCACTGCAGGTGTGTGCGGAGTGGGTGTGCTGGTGTAATCACTTCCCTTCTTTCAGCTGAGGGCCTGGAGGGTGCCCGCCCGCCCGCGCAGAGGAGACGAGGCCGTAACCAGCATTCTGTGTTCTCTTGAAGCAAGGGGCGGAGCTCGAGATGAAAGATATTCAGGGCTGGACTGCTCTCTTCCACTGCACCAGTGCTGGGCACCAGCAGATGGTCAAGTTCCTCTTGGATAATGGAGCGAATGCCAATGTCAGGTGATGACTGCACCTTGCATGACTGTGGGCTGGGGCTGGAGTGACCCTAAGGAGGGCAGCCATGGAGGCAACAAGTGAGAGCTCGGGATGTCCCTGAAGGAGTTACTCTTTGTGAAACTGCGGGCACAGAGCCCTTCTGCTGTCTGCCCGGTGACACGGGTGCATAAGTGTGGGTGCTCTCGGCCTGGTTCCCTGTATGTGAAAGCTGAGGGTGTCAGTACCCGTGTTGTAGGAGACTCACCTCTCGCTGGTTGCCACGGGCCTGCTAGAGACAGTGTGTGTGTAAGCCTTACATTGAACGCGACTTCCTTTCTCTTGTGATCATTATCTGTGTCAGGTGAGGTGATGCTTTGAAAGCAGTTTCCTAAGATGGAAGAAGCAGGAGAGAGAGAGAGAAGCATGCTGCTAGTAAAAGTTCTAGTTGTTGTTTGGGTTTTGAGACCCATTGTATTCTCTGAGATGTTAAAATGAAAAAAATAATATTAGAGTGAATGAAAGTCTGTATTTAACAGGGTTACTGTACTTTATTTATTTGAAAATTAAAGAGAAGAATAGAGACAAAAAGATGTTCCATTCATTGGTTCATTCCCCAAATGACTACCACATCCAGGTCTGGGCCAGGCTGAAGCCAGGAGCCAGGAACTCCATCAGGGTCTCTCACATGTGTGGCAGGGGCCCACATCCTTGACCATCTTCTGCTTCTCAAACGCATTAGCAGAAGGTTGGATTCCAAGTAGAGCAACCAAGACTGAAACCAGAGCTCTGATATAAATGTGAGAGGCTGGAGTTGCAAGTGGTGGCTTACCGGCTGCAGCGCAGTCCTGGAAACCATTCCTGTCTGTTGGACAGTAATGAAATCAGTCAAGGTGAGGACCCTCCGGGCTCGGAAGATAAGCTTCAGGCATTAAGCCTGGTAGGGACAGACTTCAGAGGATGCTGGACTGGGGGAGCCCAGCTCTGCGACAGGAGGTACTTTTGAGCAGGATTAGAGTGGAGACAGGAGATGGCTGGCTGCAGTCGCCTTGACAAAAGGAAGATTTGTTTGGAATGAAAAGCCCATGCTGAGGACACACACAGGGGAGCATCAGCTTTGTCATCTCCAGAGGGAGCCACATGCAGCTGCCGAGCTTGTGTGCCGAGCTGGTCCTACCTTGAGCAGAGGTGCTCCGTGCCCCACCTGCCACCTAACCACCTGGCCTGCCTTGCAGGGAGCCTGTGTGCGGACTCACCCCTTTGATGGAAGCCGCTGCTGCGGGCCATGAGATCATTGTGCAGTATTTTCTGAATCACGTAAGTGCCCAATGCTTAGCTAATCACTTAGCCCAGCCAGTGTCCTGTGAACTGTCACAGAATCTTCCAAGGCTTGGCTGACTGACACCACATGGTTCCATTGATGCCTGCAGATGTCACATTCTGTGATGGGCAGAATCAGTACAGGATGGAGTTAAAGCAGATACTCACTCCTATAATGATTTTGAAAGTGCTGTTTTTTTTTTCTAAAGATTTATTTATTTTTATTTGAAAGATTTACAGAGAGAGGGAAAGACAAAAAGATTTTCAGTTCACTGGTTCACAGCCCAAGCGGTCACAGTGGCCACAGCTGAGCTGGTATGAAACCAGGAGCCTGGAGCCTCTTCTGGATCTCCCATGCTGGTGCAGGATCCCAAAGCTTTGGGCCGTCCTCGACCCAAGCCACAAGCAGGGAGCTGGATGGGAAGTGGGGCATCCGGGATTAGAACGGTACCCATATGGGATCCCAGCACATGCAAGGCGAGGACTTTAGCCATTAGGCTACAGCGCTGGGCCCTCTTAAGTAGTATTCTACAGTCTGTGCTATAGCTATGTTTTTGGTTTTTTTTTAAAGATTTATTTATTTATTGGAAAGTCAGATATACAGAGAGGAGAGACAGAGAAGAAGATCTTCCGTCCAATGATTCACTCCCCAAGTGGTCACATCTCCCAGAGCTGCGCTGATCTGAAGCCAGGAACCTGGAATTTCTTCAGGTCTCCTATGCTGTTACCACTATTGCAGGGTCCCAAGGCCTTGGGCTGTCCTCCACTGCTTCCCCAGGCCACAAGCAGGGAGCTGGATGGGAACCAGGGCTGCTGGTGTTCTTGCACATTCAAGGCGAGGACTTTAGCCACTAGGTCATCTCGCCAGGCCCAATCCTTTGTTTTCTTTTTTTTTTTTCCTTATGATTTATTTATTTTATTGCATCATCTCTGCTTCTGAGTTTAGAATTTGACTATGCAAATGGAGGCTGCCAGGGATAGGGCCATTTACGTGACTCCAAAAGGGAAAGTGTTGTGAAGTCAGAGGCTTGACAGATCTGCCCTCTTGTGGCACCTGTGCCTTCCAGCAGGTCCTCTGGTGGGCATGATGTCCAGGCTAAGCAAGCTTTATTTGTTGTGGAAAAATTATGTACCAGATTGCTTAAATGTTAACTTTCCTCTCATTAAAAAACCATATATTTATTTAACCATTGGAGTTGCAGAACCAGAGGGAGCAACAGGAACTCTGTCTGCTTCATTCCCTGTGTGTCCGTGGCGACCAGGGCTAGGTTTCATCTGGGTTCCCTGCTTTTCCACATGGGTAGAAAGGGCCATATTTTGCTGCTTTTCCCAGGCCATTAGTTGGAACACACAGACTGCGCCCATAGGAGATGCTGGTGTTACTGGCTGTGGCTTTACCCGCTGTGCCACAAGCTGGCCCCCTCTGAACTGATCGATCCAATTTTTGTATTAGAGCGAATGTTGATCATGTATTTCTCGAGTTACAAGTTAGTACATTATAAAATAGCAATAAAAATAGAAATTAAAGTATAAGTAAACGAAAATTCCATTTTACCCCTTCACTTAGGGACTTTGGTTTTCAGTTTTGTTTCCTTCTTTTTACAAAAGAAAAGTATGATTGCTTTTTCCTTCTTATGTATAATTTCGGTTTGATTTAAACAGATGAGGGGCCAGATGGTGCAGTAGACTCAGCTGCCACTTGCAGTGCTAGCATCCAGTGTCAGTGCCAATTTGAGTCCTGGCTGCTCTGCTCCAGTTCAGCCCCTGTTGGTGCTCCTGGGGAAGCACAGAAGAGGAGTTCAGTTCTTGGACTTGTGCCACCCAGTGGGAGGGCAGGATGAAGCGCCTGGCTGTGTCCTGCCCCAACCCCAGCTCTTGTGACCATGTGCGGCGTGAAGCAGTGCACACAGACCTCTGTCACATCTCTTCTTTGTCATTTCGCCTTTCAAATAAATAATATAAATAAACATTAAACATGTTATTCTTTAAAGCCTTGCAGTAAAGATGCCGTTGTTGAAAACGTTTGGGTTCTTGCTGTGGATTTTGGCTGGAAGTGTCTTGGAAAGCTGCCGGTGTCGTAGCTTACCCTCTGACCAGGTGCTGGGGGAGCACATTGCCCTTTTGTGACACTGTCCTTTTTCTACTAGAGGGGCTTATGGGAAGCCCTTTCTGTGCTGGCCCAAGGCTACATGAGTGTTCATTATACCTGTGTGCACACCTGCCATCAGAGCTGGAAACCACAGGGCAGCGCAGGTTGCTCACCCTGACCAAGCTAAGGGACCTAGATTTTGCAGACAGGTTTGAAGTCCACATGGAGCCCTGTCCATGCCTGTCCTACGGGGGAGCTGCCTTACCTAAGAAATGTCCCCTCAGTTCTCTCAGCTCCCTTGGCTGTTTTTAACCCAGTTCCCATTGTGCTCGGGGCTGCAGTGCAAACCCTGATTCAGTGTGATGCCTTAATTATTCCCTAGGTTAAATTCCCGGGAGAATTGCTGGGTCAAAGGGTATGCATGCTTGGAATGTTTAAAATTCCTCCTGCCTTGTACACTCCATGGTAGAGTGATGATATTCACCCGTCTCCACTGTCAGGAATGAGACCACTTTGTTGAAGCTTTTTAAATTTTCTTTTAAAGATTTATTTATTTTTATTGCAAAGTCAGATAGATATACAGAGAGGAGGAAAGAGAAGAAGATCCTCTGTTCGTTGATTCACTCTCCAGATGGCCGCATTGGCTGGAACTGAGCTGATCCAAAGCCAGGAGCCCCTTCAGGTCTCCCGTGCGGGTGCAGAGTCCCAAGGCTTTGGGCTGTCCTTCCATGCTTTCCCAGGCCACAAGCAGGGTTGTGGGGCTGCTGGGATTAGAACCGGTGCCCATATGTAATCCCAACTTGTGCAAGGCGAGGATTTTAGCCGCTAGGCTAGTGCACAGGGCCCTGAGCTCTTTTTGTTGTTAAGATTTATTTTATTTTTATTTGAAATGCAGAGTTACAACAAGAGAGAGAGATGTTCCATCTGCTGTTTTCACTCCCCAAATGACCACAATGACGAGCTGAGCTGAAGCCAGGAGCCAGAGCTTCTTCTCAGTTACCCACATGGTCATAAGGTTTCAAGGACTTGGGAAAGCCTCCATTACCTTCCCAGGCCATAAGCAGGGAGCAGTGGAATAACCAGGATTTGAACTGTGTGCATGTGGAATGTTGGTATTATGCTGTGTGTAGGATTTCCTTCCAACTCCACAAACCTTTTTTTTTTTTAATATGTTTTTGATATGTATCTACTCTTTTTTTTTAAGATTTATTTTTATTATTTTTTTTATTGGAAAGGCAGATATACAGAGAGGAGAGACAGAGAGGAAGATCTTCCATCCGATGATTCACTCCCCAAGTGAGCGCAACGGCCGATACTATGCCGATCCGAAGCCAGGAGCCTCTTCCGGGTCTCCCATGTGGGTGCAGGGTCCCAAAGCTTTGGGCCGTCCTCCACTGCTTTCCCAGGCCACAGGCAGGGAGCTAGAAGGGAAGCGGGGCTGCTGGGATAGAACCGGTGCCCATATGGGATCCCGGGCGTGCAAGGCAAGGACCTTAACCACTGTGCCACCACGCCGGGCCCCACAAACCTTTTTTTTAATTTTCATAGGCAAAACGACATAGAAAGAGCTCCTCATGCCCCTGTTCACTGCCCTTGCACCTGTAATGTTGAGACTGAGCTGGGAGTTGGGATCTCAACCTGTGTAGCTCATATGAGTGTCAGGGTCTGGTTGCCTGAGCCATCACCTCTGCCTCCGTGTCCACTTGAGTCGGGAACCAGGGCTGGGTGAACCTAGGCACTCTAAATAAGGAATGGGGGTTATTTTACTTTATTTTTTATATTTACTTTTTATATTTTTAAATACTTATTTATTATAGATGTATTTTGGGGGTGGTCTGGCACAGTAGCCTAGTGGCTGAAGTTCCTCCCTTTACGTGCACCAGAATACTATATGGCTGTTGGTTTGTGGCCTGGGGAAGCAGACGAGGGCGGCTCAAAGCCTTGGGACCCTGCACCTGTGTGGGAGACCTGGAGGAAGTTCCTGGCTCCTGGCTTTGGATTGGCTCAGCTCTGGCCTTTGTGGCCACTTGGGGAGTGAATCATCAGACGGAAGATCTTCCTCTCTCTCTCTCCTCCTCTCTTTATATCTGACTTTGCAATAAAAATAATAAATCATAAGGGAAAAAAGTAAAGCTTTTAGCCAAGGATCCGACAGGCCTGTCCCTCTTTCTCACCCTCTTTCCCTCCTGGCAGAGGTAGGCAGAGCAAGGGCCTCTGAGGGGCTGCTTGCTGATTCTTGTTCCCTGGTGTCTTAGGGAGTCCAACTGGACACAAGAGACCACAATGGAGCCACAGCCCGCATGCTTGCCCGGCAGAATGGGCATATGAAGATTGTGGCCTTGATGGACACTCACTCGTCTGCTCTACCCAAGAGCCTCTACCGGAGCCCAGGTACGTGCCCGCTCTCCCATGGGGCAGGGGAGCAGAGGAGGACAGCCCCCTCTTCTTACTGACACATGCCTGCTGAGGTTTCGGTCTGGTATCCTTGTGGGCGAGAGCCTCTCTTGCCCTGACACCATTGTGAGTTCAGGCTAAAGCTCCTGATATGCCACGGGCAAACGGCGGACAGCTGCCGTGCTGACGGGAGGCGTGGGACACAGGGTGCAGGCCTACGGGGCGGGAAGTGTCACAGATTGGTCCTTTCTGATTGTTTGCTTTGCCTTTCCCTGTCATTATTGTTGCCGTTTGCTTTCATTCTATGTTACCAGAAATTATTATGTTCTTGGACACCTGCCACCCATGTGGTCGACCCAGAGCTCCTGGCTTCAGCTGTCACTTGCCTTGCCAGGTGCACTCACAGGGGACTGAGTCAGAGGTGGGCAGCCAGGACGGACGCTGGGGCTGTGACGTAGCTGCTGACTGCTGGACAACACTGAGCCCTCAGAAATGTTTTCCACAGTCCTAGAGAGGACTGTGAATGGGCTTTGTACCACTGCTAATGTGGCATGCTTTATTAATGTTTATCATCACAGTGAACAAACTGTATTCTTTTTTTTTTTCTTATTTCCCAAAGATTTATTTTTATTGGAAAGGCATAATTACAGAGAGAAAGGGAGGGAGAGCTCAAGATTGAAATCTGGTTCACTCTCCAGTGGCTAGAGCTGGGCTAGTCCCAATGCTGGAGCCAAGAGCTTCCCCATGGGCGTGGGGGCCTAAGGACTAAGAGCCATCCTCTATTGCTTTCCCAGACCATTAGCAGGGAGCTGGATCAGAAATGGAACAGCAAGACTCAAACTGGTTACCATATTGAATGCTGATGCCGTAGACTGAGTCTTAGCATACTGAGACACAACACTGGCCCCCACTTTATAATCCTTTTTAAAAAAATGTATCATGGGTCTGGCAGTGGGGCCTAGCAGCTAAAGTCCTCGCCTTGAATGCGCCGCCTGGATCCCATATGGGCGCTGGTTCTAATCCTGGCAGCTCCACTTGCCATCCAGCTCCCTGCTTGTGGCCTGGGAAAGCAGTCAAGGATGGCCCAATGCTTTGGGATCCTGCACCCGTGTGTGGGAGACGTGGAGGGGCCTCCTGGCTCTTGGCTTTGGATCAGCTCAGCTCTGGTTGTTGCTGTCACTTGGGGAGTGAATCATCGGACGGAAGATCTTCCTTTCTGTGTCTCCTCCTCTCTATGTATCTGCCTTTCCAATAAAAATAAATCTTAAAAAAAAAACAAATATTTTTTTTTTAAGAAGCCAGGATCCAGGAACTTCTTCCGGATATCCCACATGGGTGCAGGGTCCCAAGGCTTTGGGCCGTCCTTGACTGCTTTCCCAGGCCATAAGCAGGGAGCTGGATGGGAAGCATGGCTGCTGGGATTAGAACTGGCACCCATATGGGATCCTGGCGGGTTCAAGGTGAGGATCTTAACCATTATGCTATTGCGCTGGGCCCAAAGATAGATAAATCTTTAAAAAAAAATGGCAGAGACTCATGGCTTGCCGCCTCCCAGGATGGGTATAAGCAGGAAGTTGGAATTGGAGACAGAGCCAGGATCTGAGCCAGGTACTCTAATGTGGAACAGGGTTTATTCACTGTACCATATGCCTACCTCATGTATTTAAAAATTTTCAGTGTCAGTCATCTGGCATAGTGGATTAAACCACCACAAGCAATCCCAGCACCTATTAGTGCTGGTCTGAGCTGGTGTGCCTGAGAGTAAATGAGGGTGTGAGTGCCCAGGCCCAGCCATCCACGCAGAAACCTGGATGGAGTCCCACGCTCCTGGCTTCAGCTGCCCAGACCTGGCCGTTGTACCCAGTGGGCAGTGAACTAGTAGGTGTTAAATTTTATTTATCTGTGTCTCCTAGACTCTGATGCTCTGCCTTTCAAATAACCAAATTTTTTAAATCAGGGGAAATCCTATGCTGCTTCCTGGGTGAGAAGTCCAGTGAGAGCCTGCTGGCCTGCCTCGTCCTTACGGAGGGCTGCTTGCCCTTGCTTCTACCTCAGTGTTCTGTCCGCAGCGTGGCTGGTCCCCGCTGGCTTGGGCGAGGTCGCTGGGCTTGCTGCAGCTCTGTTGGAACTGCCCTTTTGTGCCCCCTGGTTATGTTCAGCCTGAGTACTGCTGGGCCAGCAGGATCACAACTGTGGCTTATTGGCTACTTTGCTGGCCTGGTCTGCCCTTGTCCCGTCGCTCATTCTTGCCATTCTTTTTTAAAGGTATGTTTATTTTCACTGGAAGGCAGAGAAGGAAAGACAGAAAGCTAACTTCTGTCCCCTGGTTTACTCCCCAAATGGTGGCAACAGCTGGAGCTGAGCTGCTCTGAACACAGAGCCAGGATCTTCTGGATCTCCCACATGGGTACAGCCTAGGGCTTTGGGCTGTCTTCCTCTGCTTTCCAAGGTCTCAAACAGGGAGCTGGATTAGGAAGTAGAGCAGCCAGGACACGAACTGGCACCCATGTTGGATACTGGTGCTTGCAGGCAGATGACTAGAAGTTGAGCCATTTTGCTGGCCCCCATTTTTGGGTTCTAAGGCTGCTCTGATTCACAAAGCCCCTGTTGTTTTAGTTGCCTCCTGGTTTTCCTGTTCAGGTTTTGTAAGCTGTTTTTTGCTTGCATGGAAGCATTTTCTTGTGGTGTATGTCTTTGAGGGCGTGGGAGTGTTTAACGATTATGGCTTGTGTGAGCAGCAGCTTGCCAGTTCTTGGCTCATACTGCAAGAACTCTGCCCAGTGTCCTTGTGTTGGTTCACCACTAAGGACTTGCTAGTTTGTTCATCACTGAATACACTGTCTTGATTTTGGTATTCAACCTGCAGAGAAATATGAAGATCTGAGCTCTTCGGATGAATCCTGCACCATTCCTCAGCGGCAGCGGCCTTCCCGTAGGAAAGGCCTCAGCATCCATGAGGGCCCGCGGGCCTTGGCTCAGATCACGGCCATCGGCCTGGGTGGCAGGGCCCCACAGCCCCGCCATGGTAATTCGCACCTCTGGTTAAGGTCCTGACACTCTGCCCAGGTCTCACCCCCCAGTGAAGTGGGCTCCTTCCCTGCCTCTGCTCAGACCCCCCCTGGGGCAGGTGTGGATGGCCCTTCCTGTGCCAGGGCAGGCCCACTCTGCCCTCCTTCCTAGAGCAGGCGAGTGCTGCCACAGCATCCTGGGAGGGCTGCAGCCCTGGACTCTGCCCTTGGGTTCCCAAGCTGTTACGTCGTCATCACCTTGGTGATGTGTGACGCTCAGGTGGAGTGGGTTGGGTGCTCACTCTGCTTACCAGTTCGAGCTGTGGCATGGTTGGCTATTCCCACCTATGACAGACATCTGCCCACCTGGGATGGTGGCCGAGTGTCCTCCAGCCACTGGCAGGCACCATCCCAGGGTGAGGCCACTCCCTCTACCTGCAGTGCTGTGCATGTACCCCGGGAACCCTGAGACTGTCTTGTTCTGAGTGGCACCGTCCATGCCACCTATGCTCCTCTGAGCTGGGCTGCAGGTTAGGGGGACAAGTCCTGTGGGGGCTAACTAGCAAGTGGTGCAGCTCTGGTTCAATGCCAGCCCCACAAATGCTTTGAAAATAGAATTCTGAAAGACAAATGGTAAGCTCCCACAGGCCTACTGGCCGGGCATGTCTTGGGTGGTGGGGACCTGGTATAAGGGCCAGGGCCTGGCTCCTCACTGTCCCTGCCCTGGGCCATAGCTGATGGCAGCACCCTTGCAGCCACTCTGCTCCCCTGCTGTCCGCACGTGCTGGCCTGTCAGTGAGGTTTCTGGGAAGCTCCTTCTGTCCATATCCAGGCCCTGAGCAAGGGCCCTGTCAGTACCATCATGTCTTCACATCTTTGTTCATGTCCCTTCTTGTGCTGCCTTTCACATACAGAGCAGGGGCCTCCCCAGGGCTATCTTACCTTCTCCAGCGGCGGGGAGAACCCCCCAGAGGGGGAGGGCCTTTGCTACCGGGACGTCACCTCCCCCATCAACGACCGGGATGTGGAGAGCAGCAGCAGCAGCAGCCGAGGTTCGTGTGCCCCTGCTGCCGGTGCAGCTGGCCTTGCCCTCTGACAGGGGAAAGAGACACATGGCCCAGGTCTTGTGAGGGAACCCAAAAACGCAGGTCAGGTAGGAAGCGCTTCCGGTTCAGGGTCCCTGTGCCCTGCTGAACCATTCCTAATGGACAGGCTCACTTCTTTGTCACCTTTGAGGTCCCGCATGTTTAACGTGTGCACCCAGGCACACACTGTGCTGACCACCACCAGAAGGGTTCGGGGTAGGCTCAGGGCTCAGCCAGCCATCCTGCAGCCACCATCTGTTCCCCTTTCCCAGAGGAGCAGGCGTTCTGTGCCCAGCTTGGGGCCATGCGCAGCAGCAGCAGCAGCAGCGAGGGCCTGAGAGCCCCAGGACTCAGCAGTGAAGCCTCCCTGGAGAGCAATGAGGTGAGGCAGCCTTGTCCCTCCTGGTGCCCCGGCAAGCCTCCCAGGTCACCCCCAAGACAAGCCTCAGGCTTGCGTGTGGCAGGGTGTCAGTTCTGAACTCAGCCAGCTTGGGCAGCAGGTCCTTCCCTTCCTTCCCTTCCCTCGGTGAAACACTTGCCTCTCCTGCAGGATTCAGACCATGCACAGCAGAGCTTGGCTCGCAAACAAACTAAGAGCCACATCAAGACTAAGAGTCGCTACAGTAATAGCGACAGTTACTGGACTTCCAGCATGGGGACTGCCGGGGCCACCTGTTCCCCAGGACTGACCCCACACATGGAGAGGGCACCTCACTCAGGACAGCAGGTAAGGCCCCGTGGGAACAGGTGCTCAGTGGGCACTGACTATGGGGTGGGCAGTGGGGAGGACAGTAACAGGCTGCAGTGTTGGATCCAATGCTGTTTGCCGAAGGACCTGTCCTTAAGCCTGTGGACCCAAACCAAGGGGCATAGTGGGGAACACCCTTAGAAAGCATACTCCCCCTTCAAAGAAACCAAAAGCAAGTTCAGGGATTAAAAATAGAGCCGACACTTGCACTAGCCAAGCTAACCAGCAGACAGGCCCCTGCAGGAAGCTGGAAGCCAGGTGCAGGAAGTGATATAGTCAGAGGACCCAGCACAGCTCCTTGAAGAGTAACTGCTGGGAAATGTCCATGGATACACCTCACAGTACACCTGTCATCCCAGGCAGGGATAGCAATGATGCACCACACGCAGAGGACCATAGTGTGGACAGTGGCCGGGGCAGGTGCCACCCTGAACTGTCACCTCAGGACAGGCTGTGGCTTGAGGAGCTGGTCCCCTGGCCTATAGCTCGCACCCACCTGTCTGCCTTCTAGGACCTGGCCTCGCTGCTGGAGCAGATCGGCTGCCTCAAGTACCTGCGGCTGTTTGAGGAGCAAGATGTGGACCTGCGCATCTTCCTCACCCTCACTGAGAGTGACCTGAAGGAGATTGGTGTCACGTGAGTGCACATGGCCTTGCAGCCAGGTATCCCACACTGGCCGGTGCTCATTGCGGCATGCCACGGTGCTCCCTGGTTGGCACAGGCCTTCTGCCCGACAGCCATTGCACTATCACCTGCTGGCTTAAACATGTGGCAGCAAGGTGCCAGCTCTCACTCCTGATACTAAAATGTGGGGATCCCACAATGGCTCTGGTCACCATTCCACTAGACAGGTAGCACAGTGATTGGGGTCCTCAGCGCCCGCTGTCTTGGTATTGGCTGTGCGCACAGCTCCACACTGGCTTTCCCCTCCTACATCCCATCAGCTGGCGGGGGTGGGGAGCTGGGGAGTTGGCAGGTCTCCCTCAGTCCTCTGGGTGCGTTGGCCCACTGCCTTCTCGCCTCAGGCTGTGCTGATGCCCGCATGGCCACTGTCCTCCCAGTCCCAGGTGAGGGTCCTCAGGCGTCTGGGGCCTACATCCCTCAGACGTGGCGACTGCTCAGCTGTCACTGCTGCACGAGCTCTGCCCTGCCCTTTCACCCTGCCAGCTCTGAGGCCCTCATGCCTGTTGGCTCCTTCAACCTTTTTCCCCATTTTTCACTCATTTACCTCTACTCTGGTTTGTCACTGAGTCCTTTTTAGGGAACTTTCCCTTCTGTCCTAGGGTTTTCTCTGTTGAGGTTCCCGTTTTGCATGTCTGCCACCAGGTCCTTGTTGGGGCTGGGGCGGCCTGCTGGCTACTGTCCCTCCAGGGGCCGAAAACTCGACGCTGCAGGCTAACTGATGGCCCAGCCCCTGGGTGGGCTGTCTTCCCCTCATTGTGGGAAGGATCTTTCTCTTCTCCCCTGGGTGTGGCTGCCATGGAGTGTCTCCATGTCTAGTTCCCAAAGCGGGAGAGGAAGAGGAGGAGGCAGCGCAGCCTTGTGCACCCAAGGCAGCCACGCCAAGAAGAGCAAAGGTGCCCAGTCTGTGCCACCCAACTGGTTCTGGCCGGTGGCAGAGAAGGTGGCCAGTCAGCAGCACCTTGCCTTGGCCTCAGCATTCTGGAGCGGCAGATACCTCTGAGTACTTGCCAGTTTTTAAAACAGGGACCTCGGGTTCTGCCAGTGCAAGTCAGGGGGCAGAGAGAGCCCCAGAGTCTCCACCGTGGCTTCCCAGAATCCACCGAGGTCCACATGGAGAGGCTCCCAAGGGCCATGAGGCTTATGGGTAGATGGGATGTCCTTCAGCTGTCAAGATGCCCATATTATTCCCAGTGTGCAGCTGATGCCAGTATGTGTCCCTGACTCACTCTTGCAGGCTGTTTGGACCTAAAAGGAAGATGACCTCTGCCATTGCCCGCTGGCACAGCAGCGCACGCCCCCCCAGCGACGCCCTGGAGCTGGCCTATGCTGACCGACTGGAAGCTGAGATGCAGGAACTCGCCATCCAGCTACATAAGGCAAGGGAACTACAGCCAGCCAGCCCGGGCAGCTGAGGGAAACTTACAGACAGGACACAGGGCAGTAGCTGGAGACCAAGGAGGGGTTGGTGGGCAAGCATGGCAGGTAGCAGGGCAAACCTGGGACCCAGCCACCACGGTCTTGGCCCCCTCCCAGCCCACGTCTCTTCCTGCAGCGCTGCGAGGAGGTGGAGGCCATGCGGGGCCAGGTGTCCCAGGAGCAGGAGCTGCGGGCTGTGGTGGAGAGCTGCCTGCTTGAGCAGGACAGTGCCCGCAAGGACATGCATGCCCGACTGCAGGAGACCTGGGCACTGGCCCACGACGCTGCCCTCATCCTAGACCAGCTGCGGTGAGTGGGCCCAGCAGCCCTGGGACACACTGCGGCCAACTGGCTGTCGGCCATCTCTGCTGAGCCGTTTCTCATTTTTCCATTATTTGGAGGGCAGAGCTCCTCTACCATCCAGTTCACTCCCCAACCACCTACAAGATCCAGAGTCCGAGTTGTCTTGGTCTTTCATGTGGGTGGCAGGTCAAGGCAAGGATCCAAGAACCCTCTCAGCCATCTCCCAAGAAGCTGGTCCTTGGCCCAGGTACTCCAATAGGGCATGGGGGTGTGCTCACCCCCAAACCAGGGGCCTTTCTGAGCCTGGGGCCACTTATACCTCCACCCTACCTCAGCAAGCGTGCAGAAAGTTCTCCTTACCCAAGTGTGGCTGAGGCTCTGCAGCCAGGCCCTGGCCTCACTGGCACATGCTCATGTCTGCAGAGCTTGTCAGGACGAGCTGTCAGGCCGTGTGAGGCAGGAGCAGACTCCAAGCAAGGTCCCCCTGGGACCAGCCCTCCCTGCTGCTGGTAAGGAGACATCGGTGGCCTGCTGCGGGTGGGCAAGGGAGTGTTGAGGCCTGAGCAGTCACGTGGGCGCCACATCATGCACAGCCTAAGGGGGAAGGTGCCCGAGCCCCTGCCTGCCTTCCTCACCGGCTGGGCAGGACAGGGCCACCCAGCCACCTCAGGGCTGCCGTGCATGGCGAGCAGACACTGACGTCCTAAGTGTGTGCTCTTGAGGTGGGGAGGAACACAACATGAGGACTCCTGCCTTGGCCTTCAGGGTCCCCCAGGTGCTGACAGCTGAGTCAGACCTGCCCGAGCCAGGGCTCAGGACACATAGGCAGGGCTAGGCACATGCAGACCCCAGCCCCACCCCAGCTTTTGCCCACAGAGTCCAAGGGCTGGCGAACCTCCCTACAGGCCCTGAGCCTTCCTGAACTGGCGGGAGTTTTGGAGGACCGTGTGCGCGAAATGGGTGAGGTTCCAGGGCCTTCCTTATCCCCCTGCCTCCCGGGCGGCAGGCCCTGCCCACTCAGACCCAGGGTTATTAAGCTCAAACTGAGTCCCTCAACCTGCTGCTGCCCAGGGTGGGCGCGGACAGCTGAGCGGCATCCCCTCCACAGGGCACGTGCTGTATTCTGTGACCCAGAGTCTGGAGAAGCTGCAGGTGCTTAACGGGAAGGAGACGTAGCGAGAGCCAGGAGGGCCGGTGAGTGTCCCTGCCCAGGCCATCCCTGCTAGGGCTCGTGTCCCTCTCCTTTCTCACCAAGGCCTCTTCCTCAGAACTGACGTCGGGTGACCAATCCACCCTGAAGTTGTGCCAAGAGACAGCAGGCCAGGGAACAGGGGCTGCCAAGCCCAGGCCGCAAGCAGGGCCAGAGCACCAGACCGAGGAGCAGCAGATGGAGGCAGGCCGAGGGCGGCGGCCCCTGCCCGGGGCAGCTCGGGCGTCATGAGGCAAGATGGGGCCACTCACCCAGCACTTGGTGGTAAGGCCCGAAACAGCAGGCCTTGGGAGAGACAGCATGTCTCGGCACACGCACACCTCACAGTGAGGTCTGACCTGGGGGTGAGGTACAGCTGGGGCATCCAGAGGAAACCCATCAGTTGGAAAATAAAGTTAACATCGTTGGTGAGAGGCTCATTCTGGTCACATGACATGTGGGGTAAGCTCCCCTGGGAGAATGTGCCAGGACACAGCCCCAGGACCTCGCGTTCTGGTAGACAGCAACCCCTCTTGCTGCCACCCTGGGCACCTGTGCTCCGTGAACCCATGGGATCACTCAGAACCCAGGTAAGCTCAAGTGGCTGTGGCAGCTAAGCACACCCAGGGACCACGAGTGAGCAGGGCACAGGTGTTTATTTCTGTAGCAACGTGCCTTTCCCCACGCTCGGCCTCGGTGAGCAGCACCTTCCTTACCAGGCCAGGCGGAGGCTGTGGACACTCCCGCTGTACCCTGGTGTCTTCCAGGTCGCAGGCTGCAGGGGACTGCCAGTGGTGGCCTTCCTGTGCAAGATGGCTCTGCTGGTCTCACTGCCCACTAGGCCTGCGCTTCCAGACCATCCCCTCGCAGGTGCCTGCAGACCGGGCTGAGGATGGAGAGAGGCAGGTTTTCTAAGCATAGATCAGAGTTTGGGGTCAGGGTCAGCAGGGGAGCCAGCAGCTGAGCCCCTGCCAAGGACAGGGTGCCAGGGAGGAAGCCCCTCTCAGCACAGGTTTCCACCCAGAGCCCAGGTCCCACGGAACAGCAGAACTGCCTCCTGGTCTCCAGTTCACACAGCCAAACCCCAGCTGTCCCTGGGAGACCAGCCCCATACGGTGCAACCTCCACCAAAATCAACAGCAAGCTGCCCAGCCCATGTTGGCTCTCCAGTCCTGGTGTTAGCTTGGGAGGGATGCAGAGACAAGGCCACCAAGACAAGACACCCTCCACCAGCACAGAGCGGCTCCTGAGGCTCCAGGGCTGTGGACCAACAGGCTCACGGGGCCTCCAGCAGTTCCGCCCTGAGCAGAGGAGGTGGAAGGGTTGCCAGCTGTCAGAGGCCCGCTTCACCCCAAGACCAGAGCCCCAGGGTACAGACAAGCTGGGGAGGGTGACACACAGCGCCGGCACGGGGAGCACCTCAGGAGGAGGCGGGCAGCAGCTTCTCCAGGGCCTTCTTCTGCTTTTCAGTGGCTGCGGCCAAGGCCTCAGCCAGCTTCTCCTGGGGCATCATGTTGAGCACCTTGAGGGCGAAGAGCAGCTGGCACTTGGCAGTGCTGACGAACGCATTGCTCAGGAAGTTGGGGAAGCCACCGACACGATCCTTTTGAGTGTAGAGAGGTACGCGTACCAGGCCCAGCACCTGCAGGGACGGGAGCCGGGGTTCAGGGCAGGTCCCTGATGTGCACAGCAGGACTGTCAGCAGCTAGGCGAGGGGCACAGCAGCCAGTTTCGCCAGGGAGATGGGCGACCAGGCCAGTCAAAGCCGTGCAGGCCCCTCGCCAGGCAAGCTGGGCCCCATGCTCTACCCAAGGGGCATCTGCGCTGGCAGGAAACTCCACATGCACACCCTAGCCGTCCCACATCCCGTGCACGCCCCATGCTGTCGCCCTCCCCGGCCTCCAGTGCAGCCCCAGGAACGCCCGTGGGCCCCCCTCCCGTTTCAACCCTCAGCCTCCTCATCCCATTCTTCCCTCCGGACCCTCCCTTTCCCCCCTCCCAGGATTGGCAGTGGCAGGCAGCCTGGCAGATGTAACACAGCCCCGAGGGGCCCCGTCCCGGCCGCCCCAACCTTCCCCGGCCCCAAACCGCCGGCCCTTCTCCCCGCCCCACTGCTGGAAACAGCAACAGCCCCCCAGCCCGGCCAGGGGACCCTCAGGGATGTGTTACCCATCGGTGCCTTCAGCGGAGCCAGAGCCAAACCCCTGGGCGGAGGACGGGCCCCGGGCGGTGGCCCCACCTCCAGGCCGTGGTCGCGCGAGTGCACCGCGCTGATCTCCACGGCGTGCAGCTGCTCCAGCGTCAGCTGCCGCGCGTACAGGTGCGCCACGACGCGGTGCGGACCCTCGGTCAGGTGCGAGCTCAGGTAGTCGGCCTCGGTGAGGCGCAGGCAGCCCAGGCCCAGGCCCAGCACGCGGTTCAGTCCGTCCTCCAGGGACCAGAAGCGCCGGTCCACGAAGCCCCCGGGGAAGCCCAGCAGCCCATCAAAGCGCATCTGCATCTGCAAAGGGAGCTCGGGTCACGGGTGCGGGGCTGGCGCGGCGCCCCCAGCCCGGCCCCGCCGCCCGCGTCCTCACCAGCACCGAGAAGCGCATGGGGATGCGCCCGAAGAGCTGTCCTGGGTTCGCGGCGTAGAGCATGGCGTGGCACGAGTGGCTCCAGCCGGGCCCCAGGCGCATCGCCTCCTCCCGGCTGATTTGCTTCAACTCCGGCACAGCCGCCGTCGACATCTTGGCAACGCACCCCCCTTCCGAGCCCGCGTCGTCCCTTAAGTGCATGCGCAGTTCTACCTGCTTCGTGTCCCGCCAATCAGCGGGCAGCTCTGCGCCTAAGCCCCGCCCCCTCACCAATGGCTGCAGGGCACCCAGGCTTACCCCATCACGGCTCCCGGGGCGTCGTTAGGCAGCGGAGCGGGCAGTGTGCAAAGCCTGGGGGCGGTGCACGCCCCGCTGCCATCCAATAGCGGCGTACCGCGCTAGGAGGCTGCGCTCACCCAAATAGCCGTCACCCACTCCCAGCCTCCGAAAACTACAACTCCCAAGATGCAGCGCACCAGACCAAAGCTACGGAATAGGCTTTCGTGCTGCAGACCATCTGAGATAAACTATGGGGACTCCAGCAGGACAGCCGGGAATGCCAACCAGTGGGTCACTGTCTTTCTCCTTGGGAGCCTGGCCTGTGCCCATGCGTGCCCGTGAGCTCCGCCTGCAGGAACCTTCAGGGATCTCTGTTCAGCTGACGGGAAACCCGAAAGAATCCGGCTACTCCTCTGCCCTACCAGAGCCCAAGAGGGCAAGGACTGCAGGGCCTGACTGGGCTTAGGCCTCCCTGGACCCAGCCTGTTGCCCAGCCCCCAGGCATCCTCAAGGGCTTGCCTAAGACACCGCCAGGACCCCGTCTCATCCCCGGTGTCCCCAACAGAGGAACCCGATTCCGCAGGGGGTGGGTGTCAGAAGCACGGGAAGCTTCTTCCGGGTGCTCACACAACTTCCTGCTCACAGCAGGATTGGCTGAAGGAGGGAGCCTGCACTCCCATCCCACTAAGCCTGCTGGGAAGCCCCGGCTAAAGTTCTCACCTTGCCTTGCACGCCGGGATCCTATATGGATACTGGTTCTAATCTCGGCAGCACCGCTTCCCATCCAGCTCCATGCGTGTGGCCTGGGAAAGCAGCAGAGGATGGCCCAAAGTCTTGGGACCCTGCACCCACGTGGGAAACCTGGAAGAAACTCCTGGCTCCAGCCATTGTAGCAGCTTGGGGAGTGAATCAACGCACAAAAGATCTTGCTATATGTCTCTCCTCCTCTCTGTATATCCCTTTCCAATAAAAATAAATATATCTTAAATCAACAAACCTGCTGGGACAGAAACCAAAGTCCAGGATGGGGAAGGTTTCCCCGAGCAGGCATCTTAAGAAGGGGGCAGGACCCACCACAATCATCAAGTGCATGATGGCAGCAGGAAATGGATGACCGCATCAGATGAGAACAGCAGCGCCTCCCAGGTCCCCCATGCTGTGGGGCACCAGCACCTGGCAGGAAAGCCCCTTTGCCTGCCAGCGGGCATTCATTAGCAAGGGGCTGGGGGTGTGGAAGTGAGACAACGCATCTGGCACCAGCACCCCATCCAACTTACTGCACCAGACCAAGGTGTCAGAACAGCCTCTGGGTCAGCAACACAGGAGTCCCTGCACGGTGGGCACTTGCTGTGACACCATGCCCTGCAGCTGCCCTTCACCCTGTGCTCCCCACAGGCAGTGCTGGGGGCAGCTGGCCGGCCTGACCCCTGAGGTGAGTTCTAAAGGAACAGCCGAAGCAGCCCTATGGCTGCAGGCTCAGGAGGCTCAGGCCTCCCAAGTATTCCTTTCTCCCTGTGACTGTTCCTCACCACCAGCCCATCCCCAAGCTTGTTCCCAACAAAAAGCAAACCCTCACAGACTCAACCCGCTCACCTGCTCAGCAAGTCACTGGCAGGAATACATGAGCCATGCCAGCCTGGTTAACCCTCTGTGGGCACACAGTGAACACTCCATATCCATGCAAACCAACCAACCAACAGGCCACGACGCACAGCTGGAGGCCCTAGGCTCCCTCAGCACCACGCAGGAGCCAGAGCCCAGCACTCAGGGGGCAGGCAGGTCGCACACAACTGGGCGTCCTCACTGGTTGGGCACTACAGCTCCATCTTCATCCTGTCTGCAGCCCGCGCTGTCACTGCCATCCACCCACACAGGCTGGGTGCTGGGTGGGAGCCACTCTCCCTACCCCGCCCCAGCTCTGATGCACACACAGTGCTGAGTCCCAAAGGAGCAGCAGGTGGTATTGCTGCATGGTTTTATTACTATAAATATACAGTAAAAATGAACAAAAAAAAAAAAAAATGAGCCAGAGAACATGAACTGAGAGCCCAGAGTCCAAGGCTGGCTGGCTGGGCTGCAGCCTGGCCTTGAGTACTGGCACCCATGGGGGTCGAGTATGAGGACAGTGCCCTGCCCACAGCTCAGTCACAGACAAGTCAGCCCCTGCAGGTTTCTCCTGAAGGTCCTGCTGGGAGGGCATCATGGCCAAGGCCCAGCCCGTCAGTGATGCCCAGTGTGATCTGCTCTACAACCATCCTGCCTCAGGATTGCCACCAGGGGCTCCCCGCATGCAGGCCTTGGGAGCTGCCCACACTGGTTGGCTCAAGGCCCTGAAGAGGGACACTGCTGCCCGGGAGCTCCATCTCAGACGCCACACAGAGGCAGGACCCCCAATAGAACACACCGGGAGAAACACAAAGGGACTCTGAACTGGCAGAGGAGGAGCTGCGGGGCCTGGTAACAAGGGAGGGGCAGAGGCAGTGCAGGGGACAGTGAGGAGGTCCTTGGGGCCAGGAGAGCCTCGACAGGGCAGAAGGCAGCAGGGCCAGCCAGGTGGCATGAGTGTGACATGCACAGGGCAGAAGGCAGGCACTGCTTCCTTCTCTGCCTGTCCCCAGACACCACCAACTTCCTCCTGGGAAGGACTTGGGCACCTCAGTCCTCCACGCTGGTGTGCTAAATTTATGGGGCATCTACCCCTTCCCATGGTTGTGCCAAGCCCCTGCCAGGCCACAGGGCATGCCAGGCGCAGGGCTGGAGAAGGCTGCTGTCCTTCATCTTGGACCACATAAAAACCAACCAACTGTAGAAAAGGGGGCAGAGGACAGGCAGACCACTGTGCTCTCTCGTCAGGGTCACTGTGGCACTCAGAGTCTGGTGTCCACCTGGGCATGCAGACAGGACAGCTGGGGTCACGCCGGGCTCCAGGCTGGCCCCTTGGCACTCTGGGCGCTGAGGGCCCCCAAGTCGCCAGCAGTCAGGCTCAGAGTGGCGTCAGCTCGGTGCTCCCAGAGTCAGGAACAGTGCAGCCAAGCGGGGGCCAGGGGCCGCCAGAGGCACCAGGGCTGCGGGGCGTCTCCATGGAGGTAGACCATCCTGTAGGGAGGAGCACAGGGGCAGTGGTCACACTCGGCCATGTGGCCCCTGAGACACCCATTCCCGCCTGCTGCAAGCCCTACCAAGACAAGACCTGGGCGAGGTGGGACACATGAACCCAGCTGAGACCATGCCAAAGGCTAGGGACACCTCCATCCTGGTCGGTGCCTCCTGGGAAGGACTCGGGCAGGTGACCATGGGAGGAAGGCAGTGGACCCTACAGTTGGCCAGCCTCTCCAGGTCCCCTGCTCGGGCCTGTGCTTCCTGCCAAGACAGAGACAGGCTGGAGCCTGGCTGCTTCCTGTCAGGCCAGGGGAGCACAAACAGAATGGGCGAGGGCAAGCCAAGGTTCCCAGGCAGGAAGGGAGGCCTCCAAAAGGCCTCTTGTCCCCAAACCTTCACCCCCAGGGCACACCAGAAAAAGTGTTGGCCCCCTGGCCTCCAGCTGTGAGCAAGTGAGGGAGCCAAGGGCCTCCAGTGGAAATGGGTCAGGCAGAGGCTGAGGTGAGGGATTCAGGGTAGCTTCAGGCAAAACGGCTGAAGGCCTGACCCTAACTCCCCAGCCTTGCTGCTTCCAAAGCCCCATCATGAAACTTCTCATGGGATGTGAAGAGAAGGGGTCTCCAGCCCCCTGCCCACTTCTGGTGGCACTCCTGTAACTGTGTTCCATACAGCCATTCGGCCACTGCACCAATGAGGGGCACTAGCCCCACATGGAGCTTCCGAGTCTGCTGGTGGCCCAGAAGGTTCCACAGACAGAAGGGATGAGGCAGCCAGTAGCAATCACCCAGTGACTTCCAGCAGAAGGCTCAGCCATCCACAAGGGCACAGCAGGGCAGAGGAAGAGACAAGCAAGTGGCGCAGTAGTGCCTGGGGCACAGCAGCCTGGGCACACTTCCTGGGAGCCACGTGCCAGAGTTGTCCCCTATCGCACTCCTCACCCCAGGAGGCCACCTCTCAGAAGCACAGCAGCAGTGGCTGATGGATTCTAACTCAGGGGCCCTGAGGGCACAGAACAAGCAGTAGCTCCACAGGGTGGGCAGGACGCCAGGCAGAGGCCCGCAGAGCATGTGCAAGTGGTCACGTACCAGCTCACTCCTCTATACCAACAGAGCACGCCTCAGGGCCCAGGGCTGCACAGACAGGAGGGAGAGACAGATGAAGCAGTTAGCAGGCACCCGTCGGCCACCTCGCCCAGGCGTCCCGCAGCACCCATGCCACAGCAGCCGTGACCAAAAAGAAAGAGCGTGAGCAGAGCACGCCTGGGCCAGTCGACTCCAGGGACACATGGACTTGCCCTTTTCGCTGGGCTCTGAGGCCCAGCAGGTGTACCAGGGCACCACTCCACCTCTGGCTTCCACAGGGACGTCTTGGACGTGGGAATGGACATACAAGATCCCAGCTGGAAGCTCGGGGCTGGCTGCGAGGACCATGCTGTCCTGAGTGTCCCCCTTTCTTTCGTCCCACTCCCAGGGGTCCCAGGCTAAAGAAAATATGTGCTCTCCTGGCAGCAGATGCCATGTGGTCCTGGAGAAAGACAAGGATGGGTGGGCATGTCCCAGACCAGGGCCCAAGTGGAGACACTGAAGGACACTCGAGACCTGGATTGGGGAGAGCAACAGCAGAAGGCGCCTTGTGGTGAGAATGGGACAGACACGCATGCCACACACAGGCAGCTCACACGGACCAGGAGCCACACGTGGGGCCGACTTGGTGCCATATGTGGCCTAGATGCAGATTCTGCCACCTCAACAGAGGACCCTCCCCAAGAACCTGGCCTGAAAGTGGGCACAAACCTGAGGTCTTAGTCTCA